AATCAATTAGCAAAATCCCAAACCTAACCACTGCTGTTGACACATTTAAAGCTATTCTTAAAGCAATTCTTTAGTGTCATTATAGATTGTTATATGCAAATTAAAATAAACATCAGTTATCGAGCTTACATATTTACATCACGATATTTTTACTATCGCTGTCATGCGCAACTACGTCAAGCAAGGAGGCAGGGCGCCATACTGATATTTAAAAATACTTTACAGCACTATAAACAATGTCTGAAATAGAAAAATTAAATAACCAAGATACTTTTTTATATATGTTTGCTGTTCCAGTTTAATTTCCATAAAAATAAACATAACGATAACATATTTAAGCTATCGCTTCTAGCGCTACTGCATCATACTTTGGCGCCGAGATCAAATTTTTTTATAATAAACGGCACTGTATATAGCTTTATGTAATTCAATTCGTTTTTGTAGTATACTGAATTTCATTATGAAAAGCAAAAAAGCTATTTTAAATTAATTTAACTTATATTGATACAAAACATTTACATTTTTACGTCACGACCTACTGAACTTGCGCCTATCGATAGCTGCTCATTGCGTAACTTGGTAACTCGATAAGCCTTGTAAATTTGGTCATCAAAAAAAAAAAAAGAAAACACAGAGATATCATTTATCGCACACTTGATATCGATATACCGATATAATATCAACAATCCTAATTCTGGGCAAAGATGGCTGCTTTATTTTTCATGGAATTTTTTGTTGCTGTAAAATTAGTACGTTCTGTGCGTTAAAACATTGTTGTGTGCATGCGTGTTAATACTACTACTTAAACGATGACAGCTGCGCGAGCACAGGAGTAAAAAAGAAAACAGCATAACAAATGTGTGGCAGGTAGCAGGAAAAGTGTAGAAAATTCCACACAAAAAACCAGCAGCAAGTTGGGCCATATATATATTTATATACATATATATGTATATATATATCTATCGGTGTGCGGGCGTCGGTGTGTGTGTGCGTGCAAATGTTTATAAATAATTTATAATATTCGAAATTAAAATGTGCATGTGTACGATCACTGCTTGATGGGCGACCAGCGTCGACGTCGTCGTCAGCAGCAGCAGCAGCAGCAGCAGCATTGAAGGCGTAGTGGAATGCCAGACAGCAGCAGCCGCCGCAGCAGAGCAATAGGAAGCAGGTAAGGTGTAAAATGTGAATGTAAATGTGCATATGTATGTGAGATTTTGGTGTTGTTTTGACATAAGGACTACCCAACGCCCTTTTTGCGCGTCGTGCTGTCTGCTTGATATCAGTGCGTATGTGTGCGTATGTGCGTGTGGGTGAAAGTGACGAAAGCTGGCGCAAAAAGGATAAGGCAATCAGCCTGGCTGCTGTGCCAATAAGAACTAACGTATTTTGGTGCTCTCTTTTTTTTCTATCTGCCATCTTCCCGCATTCCACGCACATGGGCGCGCCTTGGCAGCTGTCTCCGTCTGTCTATGTTTGTGTGATTGAGAGCAGCTTGTGTCTGTGTTTGCCTAATATTTAGCTGTTCAAAATTGGGTAAAATATTTTTGGCAATGTTGATAAAATTGCATAAAACATCACGCATGTGTTGTTGCAGTGATAAAAACCATAAAAATGCAAACAAAAGATTTGATTAAAAATCAAAACAAGATTTTTTATGTTGGTTGTCTGAGGTCAAACTATAGTTATATGTAAACGCTTTGAGAAGCCTTTTGAAAGCATACATACATACAAATATATATATGTATGCGCATATGTATGTGCACATATATTTGTTTTTGCCTTATTTGACGCAGCCAAAAACGAAAGCAAAAAAGAAACAACAACAAACTACGCATTTTTGTTCGGCAACAACAGCAACAACAATATCTACATCAGCAAAACAAAAACACGTTTTACAACTCTGCGCTCCAATAGCGCGCAATTTTGTTGCTGTTGTTGCCTTTTCGGCTTATTGTGAATAGCAAGCGAGGCTTCACATTCACATACACACAGGCAAACACACTCATATGCACGCATGCAAAACAAGCGGCTCCATGAATGACCAAATTCAATACAGCTACAACAACAACAGACAACAATAATTAACGGCAATAACCGAAGCGTATCGCATCGTAGTTTCCGTTGTAGTATATGTATGTATATGCGTAGCCTTGTTGTTGTAGTTGCTCTTGCTGGTCAGTCGGCAAAATTGTTCGAGTCGCTGACGTCACACATTTGAAATTGTTGTTGCGCCCAAGCTTTTGCTTTGTTTGTATATTGCAATGCGTGTGGGCGTTATAAACAGGCGCCTGCCTCTGTTTCTGGTTTGTGTGTGTGTGTGTGTGTGGGAATGTAAATGTCAGAATTGCGTGAACTTTTGCTGCATTAGTGTTAGTGGATTTGCTACGCTGATCTTACAGTGTGTTCTAATTTATCATCTGATTGGCTCGCTTGTACTGTCCAATTGGAAATTGTTATCTATGGCAAGCAGTATTAAATATTAAAAGGTGCTAACTGCATATCTCCGATTAGTGTGATACATTTGTAATTTGCTTTGACCTTTCGACTCTTATCACATATTGCAATGTGACATTATTTTTGCACAATATTTAACATTGTTTACATAACTAAAGTAAAAGTAAGCGCTTATCTCTTCACATATGTACATATACATACACCTGTACATGTATATTATGTTATCAGTCGTCCAGCGCGTGGGTTTTCATGGAATTACATTGCAGCACCTGTCGTTATAGTTATCATCGTTATCGTCGTGCAAATTGATTATCGCCAAGACACGCAGCAGAGTAAAAGCAACTTTGTTGTTGTTTTTTTAATTAAACATGTATTTTCGTTGTGCTCATTTTTCGCATTTGCTTGCATTTTGCTCTCACTGCATATTTGACCTGAGCTTTTCGATTGTTTTTTGTTTGCCTGCGCTTCTTCCTTTCTTTACTTTGTATGCGGCTTTTGTTTGTGTTTTACGTGAATTTGCACACAGATTTATTTTTAGCACACTTCGGCTGCTGCCAGTTTGTGCGTGTGTGTGTGTGTACTCCAGTGTTGTCCGTTCCGCACTTTGTCGTCAGATCTGGCTTAAGTGAGATTCCGGCATATATTGAAAACAAAGAGCTAGAGGAAAATATCAATTTATGGATTAAAAGCCGGTAGTTATTGCATAGATTGTAGAATATATGTGATATATTAAAATATATCAATATTTAGTTAAATATATTAAAAGAGCAAGTATATTTTCGTTTCATTTATTTGAATTTAGCCTTTTTTAAGTTTTTTTTTGCTCATAATTAGCTTTTTTAGCTGCTCGAAAGTGGGCAACACTGGTGCGTGAGCGTGTAGATGGCTAGCTTGTTGCAGTTGTTGTTCGAATTCCATTGCGAATTCCAATGCAAGCAGCCTGCCACTGTTGGTGACGTCAGCATCAGCTCTCTCGCCTCAGCTCGCTCTCTTTGTGGATGCCGTCTCCCTTCTTTTTTTCGTATGCAGTTTCTCTATTCACATCTGACTGCTAAACTTGCACAGTTAGAGTTTGATGTGGGCGAAGGGGGGCGGTCGTCGAGTGCTAACTGTTTATGCGCTGGAAATATGCACATAAAATGCGAAGTAGTGAAAATTGGCAAAATATCACGAACTGCGCAACAACAACAACACAAACAAAAACAAATAAACAGCGCATTTGTTTTTAATGCATGTCTGCAGTTTTTATTTATTTATTTTTTTTTTTTTGTTTAATTCCCTATGCAACAACAACATGAACAACAGCTTGCCTGCGAAACGTAAACAAAAGGAACACAAATTGACATATGAGACATGACAGACCCAGCAACAAAAGCAACAACACAAACGACAAAATTAATTAAAATTTCCAGCCGCAACAGCGGGCAAAACAATTAGAACGTATGCAAAACAAAAACAAATAGAAGGCGAGACGAGAGTAAATTATAATAAAAAAGAAAATACAGGAAGAAAACGATAAACTAAGCGAAGGCAAATTGATAAATAAATTAAAGGAAAAAATATTGAATTGATTCAGATCTAAATATAAGGGTAATACATAATCACAAATAAAACTATGTGATTAATAGAACAGACTGTATTTTACAGGGTATTTGTAGTTGATCTGCAATATAATATAATAATTAACACCATTCTAAAAAACTAATCAAATTCATTGCATTAATTAAATGAATTTTTCGTAATCTCTTTGCCCATTCAAATTAATTAAAGTATTTATTTCAACACATTTGAAAAGCACAGCAGCTGTCTCGCTCGCACAGTGAAGCTTTCGCAAAGTCAACTTTGGCTCTTTTGGTTAAATGTCATTTGACAACAAAATGAAAACGAAAAAAAATCTAGTGACTTACTTATTTTGTCGGCCAACAAATATGGTCAAAACGTTAAAAAGAATCGCTGAAAATTGAGCAACATTTGTTATTGTTAATTATGCTTGGCAATTAATTTAAAAGCCAAAAATTGCTACCGAGCGCCGAGTGCGGCGTTCACAAGTTTCTATCGCATGCGATAAATGTGTGTGTACGCATATATATTCATAGGTGCATAGGTGCGTCTCTCATGCGAGAAACTAATGCACTTCAATCGCATGAGAGCGCAGCGACCAAGAGAGGTTTACTTGAACTGCAGCTGGAATTGCTGTGTTTGAGAGTGTGTGTATGTGTGCGCCTTGAGAGTAAAGTGCATACTGCATGCTAGACGAGAGCGCAATAACGCAAGAGAGCTTTACTGGAGCTCCAGCTGAAATTGCTGTGTATGAAAGTGTGTGTGTGTGTGTCTGGAGAGGAAAGTGCATACTGCATGCTAGATCAGCAGAGCGCTGTTAAGACGTTAACGCTCTCGCATACAGACAGCCAAGCTTGACTTAACAGTCGCTCGCTGCGCTGGGCTCTCTCTTCTGCTTGAGTCGCCTCGACTCGATGCCGGTCGCAGAGCTCGAGTCAGTTTGAGACTTGCAAGCAAGCCGCGCGGTTCACGCATCTCACGTCGTACGTGCTCAGGCGCAACGAACTTTCGTGACGTCGCGTGTTCAAATTTTGTTGTTGCCAATAATCGAATTGCAATTGCCTTGTTTTTTTGTTTTTTGCAATAACTGACAACATTTAATTAAAGCTAACGGCAGTGTGTGCAAATAGCTGATAATGCAAACAACGATTGTGTAACAAATATATTTAAAAAATTTGTAATAATTAATTAGATGCATGCGAAATTTTCGGCTTATTTTATTTTCGTTTGCCCCGAAGGAAGCTCAAGCTCTTTACATATGCAAATTCCATATCAATTTACCATACAAATTATTGGCAAAATATAAAAATACAACTAAGTTGTGATTATTAAAATAAGATATATGTTCCGAGTTTGATTTCAAGTCGAATTTTTTGGTGGCGCAACGACCTTTTTGTAGAGAGCTTTCGATTTAATTATGGGTTTTGGATACACTCGTGTGGGGCTGATCATCAGAAAATGCTAATATAGATGGAGTGCCACATTAATAATTATATAATTACGTTTTATATAAATAGTTTGAGTGGTTTCGGCCGGGTCTCGATTGGCATTTCGCACAGCAAAGTGAATTGCAAATCTCTCAAAGTGAATTCGAAATGAAAAATAAAAACTTGAATACAACTTTTTTTCTGCCAATTCACGCCTTTATTGTTAAGCATATAAAAACCCCGTCTTAGTGCTTAATTTATATTAAAAACTATTTGGTAACAGAAGGACATATATTTCCGATTGGTTTTTCATGCATTTTCCGGCCAGAACAAGCGATTTTTAATTTTTTTATTCAATCCATTTCCACTCATTTTCCGACGTCCTGGATGGAAGCTTAGTAAAAACTTAAAACATATTTTAAAATTGTTCTTCTTCTAGCTAGATTCCGTAATCTTCATGCTAATCCCTGCATATTCTATTTTTCACTCACTTTGTTATAATATCTTCAATTTTGTCTGTTATGTCCCAGTTTAAAGCTTTTTATCATTAAGTCTACTTTGATTTTCTCTCTCTGTCTCTTGGCTAGCAATTTGTTTATAGACTCCCCCTCTAGTTAACCAAGCCCCGGTCTATCGCATCAGGGCACAACTTATTCATGAATTGCATGAATCATTAGATTTTCGCAATTGATTTCCACGCTAATTTTGGCGACGTGCTGGCACTCCAGACAAGCGACTTTGACAAAAAGCTCGTGGGTTTGAAGCTCGTCGAACGGCGAAAAGTCATTTTCAATTTTCCAGCGCATTAGTCACCGCCGCGCTGACTTTGGGCCTTAAACTGTAACTAGTTTTCACGCGCGCGCCTGTCCGCTTCTCCTGCCCTGCCCTGCCCTGCTCCGTCCCGCTCTGGGCCACATCTCGCCAATTTTCTGGCGGCTAATCCACATGAAACGTCATCATCCTGAGAGAGTTGCCTCTTGGCCAAGTGAAAGTGGACAAAACAACAACAACAACAACAACAACAACAAGAGCAACAACAACAACAACTGCAGACGCGTGAATTAAATTTTAATGTTTTCTTAACGCTTTTGTGTTCGGTTTGGTTGTTGTTTTTATTTTTTTTTTTTTCGTGTATACATATTTTCCATCTACTTAGGCAATTTGCCATTCACTGCACACGACGCTAAATGCTAAAAGATAAATAAATAGAAAGAAGTAAAATAAAAACCGAACCGATCCCAACAAATAGCCAAACGTAGCCCGTAGCCCCAACAATCATCAGCCAATGGCGCATTTCATTTTTCAATTGCATTTCATTTTATTTTTCCCCTCATTTTAATGTTTTTCTGCTTTTTCGCTTCTCTCTTTCTTATTTTTATACTCTTCAAGTGTGCGTGATAATTGGGGTATTTTGGATTTTGAATGCCGTTTGTTGCGCTTCTCTAGAGTTTAGTTTATTTATACTTTATTATTAGGTAAAAAGTGTAAAAATTTAGAAGCAAGGAGAAACAAAAGAATTTTAAAAACTAATAAATATAAATAACAACAGGATTTTATAATGTCATAATTAATAATGGAAAATCTTTTTAAAATTCGTTGATTTTAATAGACGACAACTTAACGTTACGTAATGCAAAACTATTCTTTTTCTGCTTATATCTAAAGTCCATAAAGTCCATAAAATCTATATATAAAACTGTTTGTCATGACTGACTTACTGAATGACTGACAGACTGACTGACTGAATGACTGATTGGTGATTCGCCTCTAACTCATTTTCAAAGATCTGTGTTCAAATTCATAAAGGTGTTTGATTCCAACTTTATTCGATACACTTAATACATACATATGTATTTTCAAAAAGATCGTGGAATTCAAGATCGTACGGGTAAAAAAAACTGGCTGATAAACTCGGATCAAAAATGTTAACCACAAAACTTGCCACGGGCAAGGCCGGGGAATACGCGCTGGTAAAAATATGCCACAATATAATATATAATATTATTGAAGTACTCCTATTCATTTCTTTTTCATTTTTCGTCAACTTTTTCAAGGGATTTAGATCTCTTTCTAAATAGTTTATATATTAATTATTTTTTAATTATTTACTAATTAATGTATCAATCATTTATTTATTATAAACAAATTAACGCATTTTTGTTCAGCTCTTAAAGATTTTCTTTTACGAATTTGAATCATGCTAATATACATATTGTATTTAGCACGTTACAAACTTTGCTTTCCACAATTTCAATTTCCACATGCGTGCCTGACTACAAATTAATTGTAATTTTTTCAATTAATAATTAAACTTGACTGCAGCGCCCTACAAAACGTACACTGAGCTTTAAAGAAAAGCGCAACTTTCACTGCGCACTCGCCAAAAAACTAAACACCAGATATATACCGAATATATATATACACACACACATATATATATATATATATATATGTACCTATGCATATCATGCAACAGGTAACGCTGCGGGTTACCAACAAAAAAAAAAAAAACTGATTCGAGTCGGGCCTGAGGATATCCGCCGCAGCGTTTCACGCATTTTTAGCTTGTGGCCCATTGTGTTTTTCGCTGCTTTTTATTAGTTTTTGTTTTTATAGTCTTTTTGTTATTATATTATTGCCCAGTTTGTTTTTACTCAAGAGCTGGTTTTTGATATTTTTGCGTAGTTTGCTTTTATTTTGATTTCGCTTTTCATTTTGCATTTTGTCCAAGCGACAACAAAAACTTGTTGTGTCATATTTCAATTTTTGTTGTTGTCTTTCTGTTTTTTAATTAGTTTTTTATTTTTCCTTTCGTTGTCTCTTCTTCAACTTTGACGGTACCTGAAAAGCACACGTTTTTCTATGCCTGTTTCCCGCTCGGAAAGAATTCAAAATTTTGGTCTCCCGATAAGCAATCACTTTCCACGTGCCCAATTCTGTGGCTTCCAACTCATTTCCATATTCGGTTGTTCATTAGCTGACATAGTTGTAGTTGTAGTTGACATTTGTATGGCAAAGTTCTAAAGCTACGAAATGTAAAAAGTGAAAAGCTCTTGTAACGAAATGGAATATTGTGAAAACCCTAATTAAAACGATGGGTGGTCATGAACTTGCCTTTCGTGGGTCTTGTGTAGAACTAGAAGATCAAGTTCATCATGAAATGCAACTAAAATATCTTCAGATCAACTGAACTTGAGATGAACTAGTGTTTTTAACCTGGTTTCATAATGAAGTTTAATGTTCAAGTTAACTAGTTCATTTGAATTTGTGTAGTTATACTACTGAGGCTTACTAGTTCATTTAAACTTTAAAATGAGCTAGTTTATTGAATAAAAGAATAAGTTAACTATTTCATTTGAATTTGTGAAGTTTCATATCTTCCATATCCAGCTACAGAGCTACTGTTTTTAACCAGACTTTTGCACATTCAAACTGAAGTTTGATATATAATGAATCTGAGAATAAGTTGGCTGGAACTAGTTAAAATGGGGGTTTGATGGGTTTTAAACACATTCAAACTGAAATTTAATGTTTCCTGAATCTAAGAATACTTCAACTAGTTCATTATGATTTGTTCATTCATTTTTAATCGTTTTCTTTTTGTTCAAAGCATCTTACTTTGACTTTTAGCTCTACATTTGTACTTCTTTCATGCACTTGCAATAATTCCCAACCAATTAACACCCATATAAGACCATTATGAAGTAGGCATCACAATTCGTACTTTTTTTTTTTAAAACACTTTAGCTGCACATTGTGTCGACATCTGAACAACTGTAACATTTCACCTGGTTATTCGCGGACTTTCCCAAGGTATATCTGCCTGCCTTGAATAAAATATATAAGCAGAAACTAAAACAATGGGCGTTGTCTGATTTCCCACGCCAAAATATATGTACATATAGTGTATACTATTGCTACTTACTTACACACAATTCCCGTAAATTCCAATTCAATTCAAGCAACTGACTTGGTTCGTGTTTTCCCAACCCAAAAAACCAACAAATACCTAAAATAGAAGAAAGGCTATACAAACAAAAAAGCAATTTTAAGAGCTTTACTGAGCGCTATTGCAACTATGCTATTTCTGGCATTTATTTATGATATGTCCAACTTGTAGTCAAGTTTTTTTTTTTTTTTTTGCAGTTAAAGTGGCAAATTGACTGCCAAAAGGAAAAAGAAGAAAAACAAACAAACAACAGCACAATTACTATTATTACTGCGCTGTATAGATCTCAGCCTCCTGCTTGTGCCCCTCTTTGGGTCTCGACTAGTTGACAAATATGGAGCATGCTCTCGGCTTTAAGACACTTTCCGCTGCTGGTTTTTGTTTCACTTTATTTCTATATATTTTTTTCTTTTTGCGCTTGGATTTTCTCCATAGATATTTTTCATTTGCGCTTTTTTTTTGCTGGCCTTTTTCTGTTGTCTGTCTCTGGTATTATCATTATTTGTAGTTCCTTTATTGCTTCGATGCTCCATTGATTTTTTTAAACCCCTCTTTTGTTGTCGGAACCAAATCGAAGCGCTTTATAAAAAAAAAAACCAACTTTAATTAGTACTATTACAAAAGAAAACAATTTTTTCAGTGCACATTGTTTGCCACGGCATTAGCCTCGATTCAGCTAAAGGCAGGTCCGAGTGCCGTTTGGGCACGTATAGAGCGTAGATTCTCTATTGTGGCTGATGTTGATGATGAGTTCAATGAGTGCTACTATAGAATTGCCAATGTTTAAGTAAACATGAGTCTATTGTTTGGGTTCCAAGCTAAAAAATCGATAATAGCAAGCGTTCAGTGTTAATTATCGAATAAATAATTATCGATTGACGTAGACTAAGTTGTAGGATTAAGCTTAATTTGTTGGCCAATTAATGGCGGTAAAAACAATGCTGCAAGGCGCATTTGCGCATTTTTAACACTTCTGCAACACTAATTACTACTGAGCGTATACAACAAATCGAATTTTTAGCTTAATACTGTTAAACAGTGCTGTGGGGCGTTTTAAAACTCTATCACCGCAATTGCACAACACTAAATTCAAATTTTAGCAATAAAAACACACATTTTATTAAGTACATTACATTTGTATAACTTTACATTTAAAACTTGCAACACCGCTCTCACAACGCAACACAGTGTTGTATAGTATTAAAATATCAAAGGAAGAGTTTTGAAAAAAGAAACAAATAATATATTTAAAGGCTCTAAGCTAAATAAAGTGTACTGGATGCAGACAATTTTCGCAGATTTGGGAAAATGCTTAATATAATAAACGTATTGTGCTGCGCTAGTATAAGACAGTGTTGAATAGTGTTCAGGGGAAGCTTTCGAGGCACTTTACAGCACTTTTTCTAGTTTTTAATAACATGACAACATACAAAATGTTAGTGAAGCTTTCGTTTTACTAATTAAAAGTTGCGCCACCAAAACTAAATATTAATTCGCATCAAACAAAGTTGTTTAAAGTTCGATGCGATATGTAAAAAAAAAAAAAATATATATATATATATGTGTAGTGAGTTACTAAAGGCAAACGAAATGCCGCATGGAACATGGTGACAACAATCAAAATTACCTGCGATGGCGTTTTCATCCAATCCAACTCGTATCTCACGCCCACTCAAACGAATACGACGACAGTAGCAACTGCAGCAGTAGCAGCGACAGCTGCAGCATCATCAGCGTCAACTGGCAACAGTTTGAGCAACGAGAGCGACAACTCGCAGACGAGCAGCGGCAGCCAGAACGCAGGCAGCAGCCAGAACAGCAACAAGAAATCATCGACACGTTCCAATTGCAGCAGGCATCGAGCAGCGGCTGGCGCGGGCTCGCAGGACACGCGCAGGCGTTACTATTATTTTGGCAGCAAGGACGTCTATTGGTGCAAGCAGAGCCTGACGCGCAGCGCCAGCAGCCTGAGCCAGCGCGAATCGAACAACTGCAGCAGCGCCATCAACGGCCACGCAACTGCTGGCCAAATCATTTCCAAGGCGCGTCGCCGACCCCTGCAGCTGTGCAGCAGCTTGAGTGCTGCATATGCGCCGCCAAAGCGCAAGGAGTTTTATTTTTGTGATAAATATGCGGCCACAGGTGGTGGCAGCAACAGCACTGGCGGTGGCAGTGGCACGGGCTCCAACTCCAACAGCAGAGGCAAGCACACAGCTGTACAGCCCATTGATGTGCGTTTGCTGAACTTTCTGCGTAACGCACAGCGCAGATTTCAATCAGCAGCAGCAGCAACAGCAACAACCACAACAACAGCAGCAACTAAACCAAAGTCTGAAAGCAGCAGCAGAAGCAACACCAAAGAACGTGCGTCAGCCAGGAGCAGAAGCAACGACAACAACAACAACAACAAAATCAACAGTAGCAGCAGCAGCTCCCTGCCGCCCATCATCAGCACCGATGATTGGTTTGGTTAGTATGCTTTAATTCAAATATCTGTTAACAATCAGTTCCATAGATCGCATAGATATTTGAACTTAAAAAATTAGTCAAACAAAACAAAAACAGCAAAACTTAAGGCCATAACTAAAACACCACAACAAAGATGAATATCATAAAAATACTATGATTTGCAAGCTAGGCACAGACATAAGTCTTTGCTAACAGATGTTCCAGCTATTCATTTGAATTGGAAAAAGTTCCCATGAAAAGTTGGAAGCGAAATATCCCATCCCAAAAGCGAGAAATAGGTTCAAGCTGAAAGAGAATCAATTGATTTGCTTGAGGCATATTTAGAAGAACTTCAAATCTTTTTAATTATAGCTTTTCGAATAGATTATCATCATAAAATCAATACTTAACAGATGATTAACATATGTTAACATAAACCTGTTAACAGCGCTTAATAACACAAATACTCAGAGATCTATGTTTTATAGATTAGATTTAACATTACTTATAGTAGCAGAAATCTAGACATATAAACTGAATATACATATCATTTTAAAAGTTAGTCCATCCCAATACTTGCAAGAAGAATAAGCTGTACGATACGCAGCCTGACTGTAAGTCAACTAACATGAACTTTAACACGAAACTTAAAGAATGAGTTAACTTTTCCTCCAAAGATGCTCTTCTATATTTATTAGTTTTGCTTAAACTTTGTGGTTTGTGTCTTGCTCTCTGCAGTTCCTTTGTCATTTTCGCAATGCGTTTTGCACTCGAATTATTTCGGACCGCAAGCAATATCTATATCATTCCAAAATACAAAATGTAAACGCCAAGCAGCCCTGTGCCCAATGTCGCAAGTGCTGCGCTGCATATAAAGTTACCAACGTTGCGCTTGGTAAATCAGCTAACATCGGACAAACATCGAAACCCGACAAGAGCCAACACATTCAGCGCCTTGTTTCGGTTGACATTGATGTTGGGTCTTGGGTTTTGGGTTTAACAAAACCATAACAGTTAGTGTCCAATTGCAAGATGTTACCTTTCGAGGGGGGTACGAGAATTGTCCCGCCAATGAGGCAATAATAAAGGCGTTCCATTTGTGTGAAATAAAATGTGCAGTTTATTGAGATTTTTCAAAAGTGAATGGCAGCAAGCTGAAAATGCATTTCTCATGGGCTGACGCATGTTTTTTTTAGTGGGGAATAAAAGAGTTAAAGCAATTGCAAGCAGAACCTACTAATTGCAGTAATCAAGAAAACAGTTAAAGCTCAAAAGAAACACATGAAATTCGCAAAATAACTTAAAAAGATACATAAAGCAAAAGTCAGCTTGGAATAAGTATTTAGAATTAGAACTGAAAGCCTTAGAGCCTTAGTAAAAATAAACTTAAATTGACCTAAATATCTTGAAGCTACAATTTTGGCAATCGTTAACCTAAAGCTTAGCAGGGATATCTTAATCTCTAGATCAACTGCTAATTCTATTAAGATAGTCTCAAAAACGTATCTAACCCAAATGTTCTTCTTTTCAACGCTTGAGCCAACTAACTAACTAACTAACTGACAGAATGCCCCAGAGGGAGCTCTCGTCATGCGGCGGTAACAGCAAATGGGAGGGTTGGAAATTGTATATGCTACAGTTAGTAGGAAGAGCTGGAAAAACAAAACAACAAGAAAATATATATATACTTATATACATATGCAGTTCAACGCCTATAGAGGTAACAAGTACGTGAGAATCTTTTGTATTGCTTCCTCATTGTGTGTGAGTTAGGGAAGGAACCCAACTACTGGAGGAAAATCGGCCGTAGGAGGGGAACCAGACAATCATTTCGTGCAGTTTCGAGCTGGAAAGTGTAAAATAATAATGAAAAGAAAGAAAGAAAGAGGTAACTTTAGTCTGTCAGTGCCTGAGTGAGAGGCATAACAAAAGGCATGAATGAAGCGGAGGCAAGAGAGGAGGCCACATCCCATGTGATGATGGCATGAATGGCGTGCCACAGTCACATAGATGAGACAGGCTATGCCTGACGGATGGACGGAGTTGCTCCGCTGGCTTTTTGGCCAGCAATTTGCATATTGCATGCAAAGCGGGACGCGGCAAAAACCGCAAGCAGACAGCAGGAAGAAGGAAGCCAACTTATAGGCAACATGCAAACCTACCTTTACCCACACACACACACACATATGTACTCCCATATAAGTACTAATTACAATGGCTAGCTGTGTGACAGGTGGGCAGCACCGAGTGTGAGCAAGAGAGACAGAGAGAGAGAGAGAGGCAGTTTGTGGTTAGAGTTCATTTTTTGGGAAATTCAATATAAAGCCAGACATCTGGGAACCTATCAAACTTATCAAATATATACTACTGATCTAAGATATAAATGATTAACATAAACTCACCCATTGATCGTAACAATCGCTCGAAGATTCTGTTAACATTATGTTATTGCTATATATATCAACATATCGCACTCTGCTAAGTGTCTGCTAGGGTATTTAAACTTCGGCATTCCGTTAAAAAGCATTATTTCTTGTTTTTGCTGGTTTAGCTGTTATTGACCCCGTGCCTGGCAGACAGGACAGCTACATGTGTGCAGTTAAGGCATTCGAGTGGAATAATTCAAGGGTTTTTTTTGGCAGCAACGTTTGCGTAGTGCTCGAGGGTGCTTTTAATATCTTTATTTATTGCTATTTTATACGGCACTTACTCAAAATATTATTGCTTTCATTGTTATAGTATATATCTTACTTTTTAAGTATACCCCTCTTTCAACTCAATACGCTTATAATATATATAATATATCTCGACCCTTGCAAAGTTCGATTTTTGCTTACTCTCAAAAACCTTCTTTCGACTCTTCTCACACCTTCTATCTTACCTACTCCTTCTCTATCTACTCCCTTTTCACTCTACTCCTTTTTCTTAGTAACTGTTTTCCCTTTTCTTTATCCTTCTTGTTTTCATTTCTTCTTTACTTCATTTGCTTTCTTTTACCTACGTCACTTTGTCTTTCTTTCCTTCTTTCTCTGTTCCTCAATCTTAAATCCTGATGCTTATCGATAACACAACAATTTCGATAACAGCTTCATTACCATCGATAATTTGTTAAGACAACATGTTAAAGCCTCATCTTTAGTTATTACTTACCGCTAATGCGCTCTTCCTCATAATGTTTACGTGAATTACTTAGGCTCAATTAAAATTTAGACGTCGTTTTTAATTAGCTCTTTGCTCGGCTGGCAATTTGCGCAAGCTAATGAGGATTACCTCATCCACAGCGCCAGCTAAGCCAATAATATAACCATATAAGCAATCGCCTATTGGCATACTGCGCATTTCACACACACACACACACACACACACGCGCGCACGTATACGAACACCCACAACACGCTTTCAACAGTGCATTACAAAAGTGTGTGTCTATACAGACGAGAAAAAAAAAATGAAATAAAGAAAACAATTGTCAATGAATCATTCAATTTTATGGATGCGTTTGCACTTATGTCCGGCAGATTATTGTCTTTATTTTTAAAAACCCTTCTTTTTTTGTTGCTTTAATGATTATTTTGTGCGCTCGAAAATTACAATGCAGATATATGTATACTAATAATAATAACAATAAGACAAGCTGCGCTTTGACAGGCGACATTTAAGCTAATAATATATTTGAGATCATTTTTCAGGCAATTTAATTGCGTTTTAAAAACCTCTCGAGTTTGTTGTTTGATTTTGAAGTTATAAATGGCAATTCTTGTTGTTTGTTTAACACTTTGTTTACACGGTTGCCTAACATAAAGATTATAAATACTATTCTGTTTGGCAATCAACTTTTGTTTTGATCTGTATTTCTTGCTTTTCACAATCTCTTAGTTTTCGGCCTCTCACAATATATCATCATAAATGTTTACGTTTCGTGCGTGCTTTCGGCAGCGCAGCCAACTTAATGCCTTTGCCAGCAAGCATCGATAAATCGATAACACGCGATTGTCATTTAACTGGCAGCTAAACTGACTAACATTTGCATAAAAGTGAAGTGCAGATTGGCAAATAGAAAATTTTGTTGTCAAAGTCAAAGTGAGAACCCAAAGTCATATGTACATATGTACACAAAACATGTCATCATGTCTAGCGGATATTGTGGGGTCTAAGAGCCCCCGCCCGTTATCGTGCGTCTGGGCTGCGTGTGTCATATGTAAATATGTAATTACATTCAACACTTGCCTCATGCAATGACTCGACTTTTGTTTGCTTGGTATGAATCGTGGCTTGTAAGTGTTGAATCGTAAGGCATCTGTTCATGTATGTGTACGTATATCCAACTGACTCATGCCACACATGTCATCAAAATGCGTAAAGTTATGAAGAGCGACTGCAACGGGCACTCAAATCCTACAGTCTGACTGGCGCCGAAGGTCAAGCATCAATTAGTTTTAAGCCTGGATGACAGTAAGACTCGAATCAAACAAAACTAAAAAATAAGGCAATGATCAACTACAAGTCTAGACTTGAAAGCTTAAACTCTAAACCTAATTGAGTTGAATACTAAAATCGATATTTAGTTATCGTTGTATTAATATATTCAAGTAGATAATTATCGTCGTAGTAAGACTATAAATAATCTCAATTAAAACTGAGCACAGCTTGGGATATATGATGCTGACTTTTTAAGTACATACTTCATAAGATCTGACTAATTATATACATACCTATCCAGCCTTGTTATCGCTTAGGATTGAGAAGCGAATTATCGAAATAGATACTTTTTACATTGTTAATCGGTAAATGCTGTGGATATCGATATCGAAAAACGATAAAAGTCAGCTGAAAGCTAATTAAATTAATTTATATAGTTTCTTTGTACTAATATACCTCATAAGGACATCAATTACAGGGCATAAGAAGTGTAAAGTTCGCATCAGAGATTGATATGGTCAGGGGCTTAACTGAACTGACATATCGAAATTGGTATCAGCGAGTAAAAATAAAACGTGCAAAGTTCATTTTGTGTATATATATTCGCCTGCTTAGGGCTTATTAACTACGTTAATGATTTTGTAACAACTTTTGGTGAACGACAATATCTCTTTTATTTATATTTACGGAGAGTTCTCTCTTAGAGAGGAAATGTCCCACTTCCAATAGTTGAAATTTTGAATGTTAACATATCGATAGGCATTTACTATCGAAATAATAACATGAACTCAACTTATCGCTTACACTATTTAAATGTGTTGACTAGATTAATTAGGATTTGTAGTGCTCTTGTTAAGAGCATTGTGTGATCACATTTTGATTTAAAGCCAAGCCAATTGGATCGATCGATTGGCGTGACTTTGAATCAGGAAACCGACGATGACGATGACGACGAATGACGAATTGCATGCAGTCAATTTTGGGAAGTCATGTTCAAACTAATTTACAAAAGAGAGAGAAAAGGAAACAGCAGAAACAAACGTGTTAAATTATACATAAAACTGTGGATAATTGCAATTGCATGAGTCTGTACAATGTGTCTAGTGGTAGTTAACGGATGTGGTTCAGAAATGTTGTTGAATTGGGCAAGGTCAAAACTCAACACGGCTAATTTGATAGGCTTTTACCCGCAATTGAAGCTGCAGCAGTCGCTGTTTTGCCACCTTTCACACAATTGAAACGTAGCCCACGTTGAAGATGGATTCTCCCACGATAAATCGCTGTCTCGCACCATGACTAGAATCAAACATTAAATATGCAAAAAGCGTTTCCGCATGAAATTTACATAAAATCTAAAAATTAAGCAATTCCAAACGAAAAAAGGCAACACACCCAAATTAATTTAAAACTCAATTACGAGCCAAATGAATCCAGAGAACTAACATCAAAAACAAACATCAACAGCAACATTTAAAGTTCTGAGACAAAAACTAAAAGTGAACAAGTTGCGTCTCGCTGGGAATTTGTAGCGCGAATTCAGCTTAAAATGCCTTGAGAATCTTAATGACAAACCCCTGCTGATTCATCGCACAATTAAATTTGTAGCATTTTACGGTAAGGAATAACAATTGGAGGTTCAATGGATACAATGCTTGACAGTGGGATGCTCTCTAAAAAGACAAATATCGATTGTAGCTTATGTGACTCTATCTAATATAAGCTTACTGCTTATTTTTGACTGAAATATTTTGGAGAATAATTGGGGGAGTGGAGTCAGATTTACTGCGGATCAAACCGGCTTAAACTTGCAAGTTTCAAAATTAAGATCTACGAACTTAAAAAGTTCTCCCCAATTTTAACTTGTCAAACTAAATTTCCTTGTTCCTTTTAAATAGCTCCCATAGCTTTAACTTGTTGTCAAAATAAATTTCTTTTGAGCCTGTTAAACTTGTCCCAAACTTTAACTAATTGTCAAACTAAATTTCCTTTCTATCTTTTATGCACAGCCAAAGTAACTCTCTTGTAACTACCTGTGATTCTAGGGTATTACAAATAAAATTACAGTAGCTGAAGCTACTCCTGGAATTGCGCAGTAAAAGTTTTAATTATGCATGTCACATGTCAATGTTTTATATTTGCCAAAAACTCACCATCTCTCTCTCTTTCTCTATCTATCTCTCTCTCTCTCTTTCTCTATCTCCCTCGAACAGAGAGTCTTGTCTTGTCATTGCGTGGGCGTTGCCACTGCGTCGTGTATTCCTTTTATTTTTTGGCGCTCACTTGATTAACATGCGGTTAAAGTTCCGTCATTTATACATAATATATAATAAATACATGTGTAATACATATGCACAAATTTGTTAAAGTATTTGTTTGCGCTATATCAACATGGTTTTGCGTAATTGTTGCTGACTTTTTAAGTTAAGTTCGCTGATTAAATAAACGTGCTTGGGATTAGCTAAATGTGCAATACGATTGCCATTCAAATTGTTATAACTTGTTCCGTGCATTCACTGATAAACACTTGTAAAGTTGTTGCAGCATTGATAACATGCCGTAAAACAGATGGGAAACATTTAATGCGTGCCTAAAAGTAAAGACAAATAACCTTTAAGAAAAAATCGTGAAAAATCTAAAACCTTGTTAAGTTAAAATGTCTCTAAATATTTCTCTTAAATTTAGCAGCCACTTTAACGGCAAAAAGCTCTCACTTTAAATTGCCAATTCACTTAAGTTTATTTTTTTAAATTTACCAGACAGGTTATCCAACTGGTAAATTTGCCTTTGGCACGACTAATTGTTTTTGTATTTGCAAATCTGTGAGGTATTTGTTTAGTATATTGAACTGCAGTGTTGCCACCTGGCATTGAACAGACGTTGCCAGGCTGTTTTAACATTAGCTTTAAGCAGCTGGAGCAAACGCTTGTCAACTAGCAATCATTTGACAGCAACATGAAACAATGGAACTTTCCAAAAACAGCAGCAAAAATAATATGTACTTAGCCAGATCTGAGAAATTTGATACACAGGCTGGCAGGGCGTTGCCAGACAGGGGTAAATCTGTTACCCATGCTAATTGCATTTGAATGCCACCAAATTTCAACTGGGTTTGCATTTAAATATCAATTTGAACTTGAAATCCTATTAGCGAATTTATGAGTAATGCCCGAGCAGTTGAATATTTAATGTGATATATGAATATTTAATGAGCTGAGCAAACAATTCATATTCCGCGAGAATATTTGCCTTTGTGTGTGCCATACTCGGGCAAAGATTAGTTTACAATGGCAGTTAACTAATAGCGTGTGCTACGTGTGTGTGTGTGTGTGTGTGTGTGTGTGTGTGTGTGTGTGTGTGTGTGTGTGTGTGTGTGTGTGTGTGTGTGTGTGTGTGTGTGTGTGTGTGTGTGTGTGTGTGTGTGTGTGTGTGTGTGTGTGTGTGTGTGTGTGTGTGTGTTGTTGTGATTAGATTAAGGCGAGTGTGCCAAGAGTTTAACAATTGACTAAATAACATTCACTTTTTACGCAGACGAAGAAGCAAGCGAAACAAAGGCTAAGGACATACAAACGCGCAAAAGCCAGTCAAAGATAGCAAAGCCAAGGACGACGACAAAAGCAGCCGGCGAGGGTGAGCTGATAACCGTTGAAATCAAACAGGGTCAGTTGAGGCACAAACAGCAGCAGAAGCAACAGCCGCAGCAGCCGCAAAAAACACAAACAACAACACCAACTGCGGCTGCAAAGCCGCCAAAATCAACAACAACAGCAACTGCAAGAGCGCAAACCGGAAACGTAACACCAACAGCAGGTGACAGGAGCGTCAGCAGCTGCAAGGTCGAGGATATGAACAGCCACGCGACCGCCACGCAGAACGGACAAACAACGGTCGTTGGTCATCATCGCGGCTTCTCGCAGCCATCGGTCAACGCGTCAGCTGCAACCGGCGGCACAGCTGGCGATCCATGGTATCTGCAGGCCACCGGGCATCAAATGCCGCCAACCGCACCGCTTCGCCACAATAAACGACCCGCTCCACAGCCCAATTCCATGGGTGCTGTCGGTGTCGGGGTCGGTGTTGGTGTCGGCGTCGGCGTCGGTGTGGGCGTTGGTGCCACAACGCTGCTACATCAGCAACAGTTGAGCCAATCCCAGCCACATATTATGCCGCCGAGCATACCACCGCATCATCATCATCATCGCGAAAACAATGTGGTAAGTGCCATCATGAAGTTGAAAGAAATTGCAGTTGCTCTTGAATTGAGTTGGCTTTTCAATCAGATACTCTTGTACTCTCACTTTGAAACAAGTTGAAATTTAATCAACATTATTGTGCGTAGTAACGAAAACATTAAGGCTTCAATTTCTTATAGCTTAAAGCTCGAAACAGTTATATTTAAAACCAGGCTACTTAAAGCTCTTCCATTATCTTCTCTTAAAGCTTAAGTTTCGACAACTACTAAGAGGAGGATTTAGAATGCAGTCTAGGTGTACATAAATAAATGCTCTACCAATTTGTTTGACTTGTCCTCTCACTCTGAAAAATGTTATAATTTAAACAACATTATTGTTAGTAGTAACAGAAACATTAAAGCCTCAATTACTCAAAGCTCGAACAAGTAGCAGCAAGTAAAGCTCATCCATTAACTTCACTTAAAGCTTGAAGCTCCGACAACTACTCAGATTTAAAGAATTTAAAATGCAATCTTGCTATAGATTAATAAAAGCTCAACCAACTGACTTTCATATGTGCTTCCCTAGATTTGAAAGTTACATATAAATTTTCCACTAAAGCTATCTACTATTATTTCTGCTTAAAGCTCAACTAACTGAAAAGCGTTTTACACAACTTTGCGCTAATTTAAAAAAAAATATGCTCATTAGTTTCTATGTAAGTTTTCGGCACACGTCATGCGGCGCAATCTTATCTAATATATAAGTAGATAATAAATAATGATAGCTCATCAAAGAGATAAAAATGAACTAATTAATTTAGTAACTGAGCTTCAATAAAATCATTATTAAACAGGCTCATAAACAATTTCCAAGCAGATAGAAATTATGCGACAAAAATAAAACTTGCCTCATTTTGTTGCAGCACCCAACACCAGCAGCAGCATCAGCAGCGTCGGCGGCGGCGTCATTGCATCTGTCATCGCATGCATTAAATAGTCATAATTTAATCAACAATCATTCGCCAAAATCGCCCAACCAGACGCAACAGCAGCAGCAGACGACGACAATACACCAGCAGCAGCAACAACAACAACAACAGCAGCAGCACAACATATTGTCAACATTTGCTCCCGCGCCAATAGCAACAGGAACACATGCCCAGGTTGAGCAGGCAGCAGCAGCAGCGGCATCCGTAACCGCAGCAGCTGTTGCCGCCGTCACACAGCAACAGCAGCAGCAGCATATGCAGCTGCTGGCGAACTGCGCTTCCAGCAATAATCTAATGTCCTCCTCGCTAACACTGCATGCGCCAGTGGGCGCATTGCCGCCAAAAAGCTTAGCCCTCACCGGCGGCAATGGCAGCAACAGCGGCAGCAACAACATGTTGGTGCAGTGTACACAGCCAACAGTTGCCAACAGCGGCAGCAGCAGCGGCAACAACAACACCAGCAGCAACACTAGCAACAGCAACACCACAGGCATGTCCACATCGCTGCACAGCTTCGATTTAAACGGCGGCAGCTTGGACAAGTGGACAAGTGGCTCCACAACGGCCATGAATCATGCATCGCTATCGCCCACAGGTGCACCGCAGCAACATCAGTTGCGCAAATGTGAAGTTAAGCTGAATGCAATGCCGTAAGTTGAAAGCTAAAGTTGAGCAACATTTCAGATATAAAACGAATTCATTTATTCAATCTATACAAATCGATTTGATCGATTAACTAGTGCCAAATAAATTATACATTTTACCTTCGAAAGATCCGCTTCACTTTAAATTGCCACCAGCTCTCATTTCCTTTTGTTTGTTCTCCTCCTCCACAGCTGGTTTCATGGCAGCATAACGCGCGACGAGGCGGAGCATTTGCTGCAGCCGCGCGAGGATGGCCTGTTCCTAGTGCGCGAATCGACAAATTTTCCCGGTGATTATACGCTGTGCGTTTGCTTTCAGGGCAAGGTAGAGCATTATCGTGTCAAATATCTGGAGAATAAGTTAACCATCGACGACGAGGAATACTTTGAGAATCTGGGGCAACTTGTAGCAGTAAGTTCTGGCAAATTTTGCAATCTAAAACATCATTATACCCAATTTTTTTTGTATGCTCTAGCACTATGAGGCCGATGCGGATGGTCTATGCACGCAGCTCATTAAATGTTTGCCCAAGTTGGGTAAACAAGAGTTTTGCATCAACTCCAAAGAGTTTGTCGACAAGGGCTGGGTAATACCCGAGGCGGAGCTGCAGCTGCGGGAGAGCATTGGCAAGGGCGAGTTTGGCGACGTCATGCTAGGCATATTGCGCAACGAGAAGGTCGCTGTCAAGATGCTCAAAGATGAGGGCGCTGTGCAAAAGTTTCTCGCCGAGGCGTCGGTCATGACGTAAGTGACATAAATTCCAAGAGAAGCACGTTCAATTAATCTAAGCTTGCTTTGGCGTTTCCAGCACGCTGGAGCATGAGAATCTGGTCAAGTTCATTGGCCTCGTTTTTACCAGCAAGCATCTCTACTTGGTTACGGAATACATGAGCAAAGGATCGCTGGTTGATTATTTGCGTTCGCGTGGACGACAGCACATAACCAAAAAGGATCAAATCAATTTCGCCTTGTAAGCTCCCACATATATTGTCATTGATATCCTTTTAATATTCCCTATCTTTGGTCCTTGCAGCGACACCGCCTCTGGCATGGAGTATCTGGAGGCCAAAAAGGTTGTGCATCGCGATTTAGCTGCACGTAATGTGCTCATCTCGGAGGATTGTGTGGCCAAGGTATCTGACTTTGGTCTGGCACGCGAGGAATGCTACAATCTCGATGTTGGCAAGCTGCCCATCAAATGGACAGCGCCCGAGGCACTCAAAAATGGCGTAAGTTAACTTGAATATAAATAAAAGTACATTTTGGGTTTTTTTCTTGTTAGCGTTTAAAAACCACATTTTTTATACCCTTGCAGAGGGTATTATAATTTTGTCGTGAAATGTGTAACGCATAGAAGGAGGCATCTCCGACCCCATAAAGTATATATATTCTTGATCAGCATCAACAGCCGAGTCGATAGAGCCATGTCCGTCTGTCTGTTTCTATGCGAACTAGTCTCTCAGTTTTAAAGCTATCTTAATGAAACTTTGCAGAAGTCGCTCTTTCTGTTGCACGCAGCTCATATATGAAAACCAGCTGGATCGGACCACTATATCATATAGCTGCCATAGGAACGATCGGTCGAAAATTAAGTTTTTGTATGAAAAACATTTTGTTTATCAAGATATCTTGACCAAACACGGCATTTATTACTTTTACTAAGCTTCTCATATATATACCAAATCCTATTAAGATTGGACCACTATATCATATAGCTGCCATAGGAACGATCGGTCGAAAATTAAGTTTTTGTATGAAAAAACATTTTGTTTATCAATATATCTTGACCAAACTCGGCATTAACTTTTTTCCCTGTGCTTCTTAGATACGGGCAAAGTACTATAAGCATCATGGAAAGGTTGGGTCTGCAAGGGTATTAGATCTTCGGCGAGCCGAAGATAGCCTTTCTTTCTCGTTTTTAATTGGCTTTGTCGCGCATTTATTAAGATGTGTATTACATACTTAACAGCTGTTAGCTGTGGCAAGCTCTAACTAACATTTGTGTGTAATGTTATGCAGGAACTTCAGTCAAAACTTAACAATTAAGAGTTATGGCATATAATATATATATATATATATATATATATATATATATATATATATTTATTGTAGCTTTATAATATAGTAGATCTTATTAAAGCAAACTGCTGTGTTTGAAGAGCTAACACCCGCTTTAAATAACAGTTATACATATGTTAAGACTTAGCAGCTGTTGAAAGTGGTTAACAGGAGCTGCTGCCACTGCTGTGCTTTGGAATTTACAAAGAAGCGCATAAAAGCTAGAAATATATGGAAATATGTTGATTCATTTTATTTTATTATTTTTCAATAAGGTTAAACTAATATTTTGTAATTATTTCTTCCCCAGCGCTTCTCTAACAAATCAGATATGTGGAGTTTTGGCATACTACTGTGGGAAATCTACTCCTTTGGACGTGTGCCCTATCCCCGAATTGTAAGTACTTTAAGATACATATATGAATTTCACAAGTAAAAAAACTCTTCCGACCCACTTTTTAGCCACTGGCGGATGTGGTAAAACACGTAGAGGTTGGCTACAAAATGGAAGCACCAGAGGGTTGTCCAGCGGAAATCTATGAAATGATGCGTCAGGCGTGGGATTTGAATCCAGCGAAGCGGCCAACATTTGCGGAGCTGAAAGTGAAACTGCAGCAGCTAAATAATGCCACGGCGTGAGAGGTTCACGCCAACAACAACTAAAAACAATTCCAATAGCTAATGGAAATTTATGTTTAAAACGTCTTTAGTTTGAGGGCTGGAAAAAGGATAGGAGAACCGCCAAGGCAGAACGAAAGCTTCATTTACACACTGACACTGAACGCAACAATTTTTCGTATATATATATATATTTATATATATCATTCTCTAGACGTATATAACTAATTTACAACAATTTATTTACATATATAATTTATGCGATAAGTTTTTTGTAAGCTTAAGCGAAGAAAACCCAACACAATCAAGCAATGTTAGTGAGTTGCGCCCCAGCTAACGATCTATAACTACAATATAACGATATATACATATACATATATATATACATAAATACATACAAACATACGTACATTACATAAACATATTAACATATATGCTGCGTTGTGTAGTTTACTATTACTATTTCAAAATTATATATATATTTGTGTTAACTGTAGGCTCTATATTTATATTGTTTGGCGCCCCCAACTCAACCAATTGTACACACTACTTTCTCTACTCCTTTCTCTCTCTATATATATAATTATATATACTAATCTGTACGTTTTATGTTATAGAATACGCATACATATGAGTGCCCCGGCGGAGCTTAACTGTCTTTTTGGTGGGGCGTTAACAAACAGCTTTTGTTTATATATTGTTTTTCTCTTCAGCTTATTTGTAAATCCCAATTTCGGGCGAGTTTTGTACAATTTCTGTTAAGCACTTTCTATTTGTAGCACAAACGACCAGCAACAAAAACTTGTACAACAAGTTGCTGAACAAAAACAACAACATTAAGTATAATATAAATAAAAATAAAACAGAAAATTAGTTAAATTTAGTTACATTTATATTTGTATATCTAATCAAAAATGAGCGAAAATTATAAAAACAAAAACCAAGTAAATTATAAATTTGACTTCAACCTATCAAAAAACGAAAAAAAAGGCAGCTTGGGCTGCGCGTCCTTAAAAACTATAACAAGCGAAAAACAACAAAAAAAAACACTTGTGAAAATATGCATTACATTAATACTACTACATATTACAAAAACACATTAAAATCTAAATACTTAGCATTTGTGGCATGTTTAATGTTTAATAATCATAATAAGAATATAAATTATTACGCGCAAGTTTCATCTACTATGTGAAATTCCCCCAAATCAATCCAAATGTCCTGTCTACTTATTTGTTTATTATTGTGGAATCTCTTGCAATCTTTTATATATATATATGGTATATGCAATACATATAGTTGATATATCAGAATGTCGCTTTAAAACCCAGCAAATTAAATACCCTGCAGCATAAGAGAATTTGTAATTTATTTATGCATATTAACAATTTATACTTTTAATTTACATAACTTTTCATGTTTTTATACGTTTCTTGTTTCATAAGAAACTTGTACAATTTTGCTTTAACATTTACTTTTATTTTACACACACCAACACACGTACACGTCCACATTAACTTACATTTAATTTAAAGTTATTACTTTTTTAAAAACAAACCCTAAAAATGATTCACAACATTTTTGTCAAACAAACGCTAAGTTAGAAAAAAAATGCAAAATTTTACACAAAAAATCGCACGAACACGTAATACTTAAATGGAATGGAGTTGGAGATTGAGAAGGATATAAAACTTTTAATAAAAGTGACAAATTATAAATCGTTTTTAATTTTTAAAGTTGGTTTTTAGGCTCAGGATTATGCCAAGGTTAATTGTCGTTATAAATGTTACCTTTTAAGGTCATGTCGCACTCAAAGTTCATGCTAGCTAACAATGAAACTTTAGATCCTGGATTTTGCTTTCGTGTATTCTTTGGAGATTTTATATAGGCCTAGAGAGTATAACCCGGCCCAAAAAACATTTAAGCAACCGTTTTCCTCCAATATATCACTGTTGAGGGTGGAATTTCCCAAATAGCTGAAACACGTATTCATTAGGTTCATATGTAATAACGAGAAAGAAGTTTGAAAAAAATCTTTGAATCTCGGTATCCAAGTGATTTTTCATATATTTCATTGGAAATGAATTTGAAGGCGAAACGCCACCCACCAAATATTCGATCCCCATTTCCACCGAGGAGGAATGGATTTTTGGAAAAGTGTGAAACATCCCTTAAATGAGTTTGAACAAAAATATTTGAAAATAAGTTTGAGGCCAATCGGATGGTAATCAAAAAAGTTTCATACAAACGTTTTTCGCGGATTTTTCACACTTGTTAGCGGAATTTGCCAAAACCCCGTCCTAACGTGCACCTTCGTCACATAAGATAACTACAGTTTTATATACAGAGATATGCTGACTGATAAAAGCGTGTTATTGTACACGTAGTCGTATCCGATTATGTATGTCCGTTCTGCAGACGATTTAAATTGCCTTGCTATTAATGTATACCATTCGGTTCATCTGTGCTTTATCTAATCGGTACAATGCTGTTTCCGATTAGCGTATAAGGGATATTCCTGTTTCTAATAAGCAAGGTAATATTAAATTTTTTAAGGAACCTATAAAACTACAAACATTTTTATGACAGCAAAATCGGGACATCGAAATTATCTCCATATACTCGAACTCTACGGATGAGAGCTTTAATCGGATGACACGCGGAGAATCTGCCATATTCGGCGAGAACGACTATAAACCGTTGCCTTACCATATACCAAAGATGCAATTTCACGATTTTTTAGTTAGATACTGTAACGATTTGTTCTTTATAAATTTTAACCTCTGTACAAAGTTTCCGCTATATAAAAACAAAGCCATGGAACAAGGCAAATTTTAGATACGATAATTGTGTGCCCAAAAGGGTACGGAATACCAGAAGTTCTGTCGGAAAGTTTCTACAAAATAATTACCTGTATTACCGCGAGGTGGAGGTTTGTTTCGTTTTTGTTGTTAAGAGCTCTCAGAAATTATTTTAGTTTAGTCACAAGATTAAATGTGAATAATAAAACTTGTAACTGATTTCGATTCCAAAAGCGTAAGTTTTAATGCATTTAACAAAATGTGCCGTTTATAACATATGCATGCGTCTCAATATATAATTATGATTGCTGTTCAAAAGAGTCCGACTAGCAGATACCCTGCAAACAGCATCATATTCTTTAGCCTTCTCCTTTAAGCATGCATTTAGCATTTATTTACAAATTTCTTTAGTGAACATTTTTATTTTCAGTTAACATTCTTCAAAAAAAACTAATTGTTGACCTAAAATATAAATGGAGATTAGAGCTTAAATTCGTTCATATAGAGTCCTGTTGTTTTTTTTTTATAAATTAAGGCTAAGATTTAAACACGGTCTATTGAGGTTCTTCGAGCACTACTTTTTCAGACGTCGCGTTGCACGTCGTATGGGTCGACTCTCGGGCGTGCTGGGCGGTGCGAATGGATTTATCTGCTGCGGCGTACCAGGTATGCCAGGAGCTGAAGTCGGTGTGGCGGCACCGCCAAAATTGTTGGCCCCGCCATTTGTAGCTGCCGGCGCCGCCGATGGGCTTCCAAAGATATTCGATGCTGCTGGATTGCCAAAGGTAAATGGTTTGGCCACATTGCTGCTCTGCGGCGTGGACGTGATGCCGCCAAAAGCAAACGGTGTATTCGCATTGCCTGCTGGGGCAGCAGCATTGCTGCTGTTGCTGTTGTTCGTGCTGAAGGAGAAACCGCCCGGCTTGGCCTGTTGCTGCTGATTCTGTGCGGCGGCGACAGCGTTGGCAAAAAGATTGCCGCCAGGAGTTGGAGCATTATTGGTCGTAGCATTGCCGCCAAATGTAAACAAATTCGGAGTGCTGCTGGCTGGTTGTGCTGGTGCCGCAAATGCACCAAGGCCGTTGGCTGGCGCAGAGGCTGCTGCTGAGGCAGAAGCTGTTACTGGCGTTGTGTTACCGCCAAAATTAAAACTAGGCTTAACAACGCCAGTGCTGGCCGCCGGTGAGCTGAATAAATTTGTGCTTTCGCTCTTTTGAGCCACGGCGGCAAAGGAGAAGCCGCCCGCTTGTTGCTGCTGCTGTGTTTGTGCTCCTGTTGCTGCAGTTGCTGGTGTCGTCTGCTGTGGCTGCTGATCCTGCTGTTGAGCGCCAGCATTGCCCCCAAATGCAAATGGCTTGGATTCTGTTGCATTGCTGCTGCCGAATATGGGCGTCTGCTTGGCCGTTGCATTGAAACTGAAAGTGCTTGTGGCCGCTGCAGGTGCAGCGCCAGTTGCAGTTGTGCTATTAAAACTGAAACTGTTCGCTGCTGAAGGCGCTGGCGCTGATCCTGCTGCTGTTGCTGTTGCTCCTATTTTGGGTCCATCACCGTTGCCGCCGCCGAAGCTGAACACGCTGCTGCCGCCGTTGCTGCTGGCTTTGTTGGGCAGTGTGAAGGGCGTTGCTTTTGCCACGGGCTTGTTAGAACCACCAAATGCAAATAGATTCGAGCTGTTTACTGCGGACGGGGCAGATGCTGTCTCCGTTGCTGCTGCTGCAGTTGCTGCACCGCCAAAACTGAAAGCTGGCTGTGCTGTTGTTACTGATGCACTGCCAAATACGGGCGTAGCTGTTGAGGCTGCTGCACTACCAAATATTGGCGTAGCTGCTGAGGCTGCTCCACTGCCAAATATTGGCGTGGCTGCTGAAGCTGCTGCACTACCAAATATTGGCGTAGCTGCTGCCGTTGTTGTGTTGTTGCCAAAACTAAACATCTTGGCCGGCTCGGCAGATGTTGCTGCTGCTGCTGGTGTGGCTGCAGCTGCCGTTGCTGCAGCTGGCTTGAAAGCATTGCCAAAGGTACTGCTAAGGGCATTCGGTTCCACGGGCTGAGACGGCCAGTTATCAAGCTTGACACCAGGCGCAGCTGTTGCAACAGTTGCTGTTGCAGCATTATTGCTGCTGCTGCTGTTGCCAAATGTGAATGGTTTGCTGGTTGTTGTTGTTGCTGCTGCTGCTGTAGGTTCTGTTGTTGCCGCAGTGGTTGCAGCTTTTCCAAAACTAAATACTGGAGCGCTTGCGAATGTTGTGGTCGTGGTTGTTGCTGCAGCTATTGCAAATGGCGTGCTGTTTGATGTTGCAGCAGCTGCGGGCTTACCAAAACTAAACATAGGTGTGCTTGATACTGCTTCTGCCGCTACCGATGATGCTGCTGCTAGCACTGTTGCTGCTGGTGCTGCTGCCGTTGCAGGTGCACTGCTTGCAGTTGTAGCGATTGCTGGGTTGCCAAAGGCAAACATGGATGTTGCTGGCGCTGCTGCTGTTGTTGTTGGTGCACCCTCTGCTACTGCTGCTGCCGCTGCTGGCTTGCCAAATGTAAAAGCCGGCAGCACAGTCGCTGCTCCTGCCTCTGCAGTTACGGACTTGCCAAACGTCAGAGCAGGCGCAACAGTTGCTGCTGTTGCTGTTGTTGTTGTTGCAGCTGAACTCATAAATGAAGGTGTTGATGTTGCTGTTGTAACTGCTACAGTTGTTATTGGTTTGCCTGTTGATGTCGGTAGTGTAAGGCCAGGAATAGAAACTCCTACATTTGTTGAGTTTTGGCTGACATTAGGTGTTGCGTTGTTAAATGACAGCAAAGGCAATGTGCTGTTGCTGGCATTTATTGCTGCAGTTGTTGCAGTTGCTGATTCTGTTGTTGTTGCTGATGCTGTTGTTGTTGTCGTTGTTTCAGCTGCTGCTGTTTTTGTCTCGGCTGCTTTAGGAGCAGTTGTTATTGCCGTTGACGCCGGAACATTCGTCGCAAGTATTGTTGGCTTCGTCGTTGTTGTGGTTGTTGTTACAGCTGTTACTGTGGCTGTTGTTGTTGCTGGTGCTGCTGCCACAGTTGCCTTCACAGGCGTTGCATCTGCCTCATCCGCAGACGTTTCATCCTGATAGATTTCACCGCGCAGGCTACTCAACATTAAAGCCAGTTTGGTCTTTTGTGTGCGCTCCAGATGAGAGTTTTTGCTTGCTCCCAGCGTATGTTGTTGCTTGGGCTTGACAAACTGTATGCCCGCATATTCGTTGGCGTCCACATCGGGACTGTCCAGATCTGGTTCTAACTGCTGCTCTTGTTGCTGCTGTTGTCGTTGTTGTGCATTGAACAGCGTCAGTTTGGGTTTGGCTGGCTCGTGCGGGGTCTGCACTACGGGAGCGGAGACTGTGCGCTGGGCTGGTGCCACCGGCAGCGATGTTATGGGCGTGCTCTGTGTCCTAGTCAAATGCTCCAGACGCAAATCAACTGTGGAAGGTTGCTGGTTGCGCTGTATTTTGGCCGCCTGTTGGCGCGGCGAAGTTTCCGAAGAGCTGCTGCTGTTGCTGCCACTACTGGCATTCGCATTGTTTGTGGACGTGTTGCTGGTTGCGCGCATGTCGTACAACTTGCGCTTGTTACTGTGTAGCTTGCTAGAGCTAAGGGAGCTGGCAATGTCATTGCTATAGCTACAATTGCGACGCTTGGCCAGCTGTTCCGGTGACTGCTGTGGCGACACGCTGGCGGGAAAATGATGCGCCTGCATGTGTAAAGCCTGATGTGGATGCTGATGCTGTGGCAGCGCTATAGGCGGATGATGCAAACGTAGAGGCACCGAAACGGTCAGTTCACGTTGCCGCTTAAAACCAGACTGTGGCTGCAACATGGACAACTGATGATGATGATGCTGCTGGTGATGCTGCTGGGGATGCTGCTGCTGTTGATGATGATGATGATGATCCACGTAATCAGCCATGCGATTGCAGCTCTTTTTGCTATTATATTCGTTGGGTTGAATTTCCTGCAAACAGTTCTTGTTAGTTAAGCCAAAGCAATTGCCACCAGAGCCTGCAATGGATAGACTTTGACTTACGCCGCTGTTGATGCGCTTGCGCGAAATTTCCTTCAGCTCCTCCAAGACGCTACGCGTAGGTTCGCTTTCGTGCTGCAACGGCGGCGGATGCATTATTGGGCGATTTTCGCGCGACAACTGATCGCTGATCTTCTCCACGCCCAGCAGCGAATTGGAACGTAAAAGGCTGGGCAATGTGTTGCCACAGTAAAAGCTGCGCTCGGGCGGCGCTATGCGTGTCATGGACACCGACGGCAGGCTGGGTTTATGGCAGAGTGGTGAGACTGCAATGCTGGACCGTCGCGGCTGTGTAAACGGATTGTAAACATTGTTAAAGGATATGCTGCGCTGCAAGCCACGGCCACTCTCCCGCTGGTATTCAACAATGCGCGAGGCTAGGCCGCTGCTATGCACGTCCGCAAAGGTTCTATGTGCGGGATTAATAATATTTATATTCAATTTCAGACATTTAACCATAGTTACTCACTTGGGATCCAACTGGCTGAGATTTAGCCTTTGGCGAGTCATTTTGGATACGCTCGTAGATGTTCTTGATAGCTGATGCAGGCTTCTGTGCTGCGGTGAGCCATTTGTGTAGCTGTTACTTAAACAAACGCTCGAATTACTGCGCTCCCTGGACCCTAAATTTGTGTGAAGCTGCTGCGCCGCCGTTCGCTGTCTGCTAATAAATTAAATAGTACTTTAATGAATATAAAAGTATTACATTGAAGCTACTTACGCAGGCATGCCATCAATCCATGTGGAATCCGCCATGGGTTTTGATAAACGCGGCGAATTGCTCAAACTATAGCGACGCTCCATTGTTTTATTTGTTTGAAATACTTCGTACAGTGCAGTGTGTTTTAGGTTTTATCTGCTAAATATAAGTACTTTTGACAAATTCGAGAGTCACAAATGTGTGAGAAAAAACTTTATTAAATTACCAGGTGAAATGACAAGACACACGCCGAGCAAGCCAAATGGGTTGCCGCCGTAGTATCGGCTATCGATAGGCAATAGCGTCAAGTTGCGATACAACCAACATGCAACTCTGCTAATCTTACTAATGCATGGTAACTCTGTCAGTTTCCGTCCTCCATCTTTCTGCATTGGGTTTTCACGATGGTGAGTTCGGCTGCTATAGTTTTTTGCGAAAAATAAATGGTTTTCGATGTGGAAATGGCCCTGGAGTGACGGATATACAGTAAACAACCGCTGCCAAAGTGTTGCGCTATAAAAGCATTTACATGTGTTAAGTTAAAATTGTTAATGCGGTGTGCGTGCAGCAAACAAACATGAGAGCGCCATAACCTCGAAAGCGAACGTCTACAATCATATGTGCATTCCAAAACATTTCGAATTAATGAAATTAAATATTAACTGGCAATTTTCCTGCTTCTCATTCTTAACAGCCGCCTAAGAAGGACGCAAAGTCGTCGGCCAAGCAGCCGCAAAAGACACAAAAGAAGAAGGAGGGCTCCGGTGGCGGCAAGGCTAAGAAGAAGAAGTGGTCCAAAGGCAAAGTCAGGGATAAGCTGAACAATCAAGTGCTGTTCGATAAGGCCACCTACGAGAAATTGTACAAGGAAGTGCCCGCCTACAAGCTGATCACCCCCTCGGTTGTCTCTGAGCGCTTGAAGATCCGCGGCTCTTTGGCCAAGCGTGCTCTGATTGAGCTGCGCGAGAAGGGTAAGTTAACCGCACTCTGAACTCCAAGCAAAGCAATGTTTTTAATCTATTTCATGTTTTTTTTTAGGTCTGATTAAGCAGGTCGTGCAACATCATTCCCAGGTCATCTACACACGTGCCACCAAGGGTGATGAGGCGTAAATTTTTGTTTTACCGCACATCTACAGAGTCGCACCTTCATTTACAATACTGCAATTGATTTGTATGAAAAGTACCAAGGCTCTGCTGTGTGTAGTAGAATGTTGAATAAACTTGCTTTTTGATGTAAGGAACATGGGTGTCACATTTTATTTATTTTTTGTTATTGTAATTTACAATACATCCAATTTTGTGTATTGTTGCAAATGGCACAGATGTTCCGACTAGAATTGGGTATGTGTCCGTGACACGATCTGCTTGTTGACTTTTCTAATGCAATTGTCTTTTCAAGCAAAAAAAAAATTACAACTAGAAAACGAAGGGAAATATATAAAAAATTAAAATTATGAACTATTAAAAACTATTGATGTTGAAGCAATTTGCTTGCTAGTCACGCTCGATAGTTTTGTGTGAATGTCGTTTTTGTTTGTTGTGCAACCCTATCGCCGTTATAACGTAACGAATGTTTACTGGGTAACATTCACATACATTCAATGACAACACGGCAGATTGGTTGCAGGTTGTATTTTTCGACTGATTTAAAGAAAATGAATTAAATTGCAAGTTCTCAATAAGACAATACAAAAAACCAAAAACAAAAACGGCTCCGCAAACACCTGTGTAACTAAGCGACCGTCCGTGCGGCACGTTAACGTAGCAGGAAGCGGTACGTGCGGGTCATTTGCACGAAAAGTTTCCGCCGACGCTGCAGAGAAATTCTTTAAGCGTTTAGCAACAGAGCCAGCTGGAGTGGGGCCAGAGCTTAGCCCAACGATAATACCACGTATGCAAACAATTACTACAAAAACTTAGTGTGTGTGCGTATGTGTGTGATAACAAGTAGAATGTGTGCCATTTTTTTATTGTTTCGGTTTTTTAGGCCAACGCACGTTATTGACATTTGCCGCTACAATGATACCGTTAACGCACAAGGATCGCAGCAACTTTGGCTATCGCCTGAAGGAGAAACTGAACAGCTGGAAGCGCCTCATCTTCTCCGATCGCAATTCGCGCAATTTGTTTCTATTTCTGCTGCTCAATCTGAGTTTCGCCTTCGTCGAGCTCTTCTATGGCATCTTGACAAACAGCTTGGGTGAGCTTAGCACACAGCATGTGCACATTATCTTATCCAAATCAGAAACACTAACTTAAATTTACTTATCTCCAGGTTTGATCTCGGACTCTTTCCACATGTTCTTCGACTGCACGGGTCTGTTAGCTGGCCTTGCTGCCTCTGTCATTACGAAATGGAAGGCCAATGATAAGTTCTCCTATGGCTATGTGCGCGCTGAGGTGCTCGCGGGTTTTGTGAACAGCTTGTTTCTGCTCTTTATTGCTTTCTTCATACTCTCCGAGGGAGTGGAGCGCCTAATAGAGCCGCCAGAGGTTAAACACGAGCGTTTATTTGTAGTATCTGTGTTGGGCCTGCTCGTGAACCTCGTAGGCATTTATGCCTTTAATCATGGCGGTCATGGACACTCGCACGGTGGCGGCGGCGGCGGCGGACATGGACACTCCCACGGTGGCTCCAGTCATGGTCATTCCCACAGCCACAACGATCACAACAATCAAAATCATCAGGCCATCTCCTTGGACAATGGTAAGTTGAAGTTGGCACCATGTTAACAAAGTTCATATTTTCCTGCTGGTTACAGGTCACGGGCACTCGCATGATCACGGCAGCCACGGGCACTCGCATGATCTTGGCAGTGGCAGCAACTCCCAGATCATGCGTGGCGTCTTTCTTCACATACTCGCCGATACACTGGGCTCGGTGGGTGTCATTATATCGGCTGTGCTCATGCAAATGTTTGGCTGGATGATAGCGGATCCCATTTGCTCCATATTCATAGCGTTACTAATTGCGCTCAGCGTGCTTAGTTTGATTAAAGAGTCTATACTGATATTGATGCAGCGCCAGCCCTCGGCCTTGGATCGTTCCCTGCTGCAGTGCTATCAAAAGGTGACCGGCCTGGCCGGCGTCTATTCGGTGCAGGAGCCGCACTTTTGGACGCTCTGCTCGGATGTATATGTGGGTGCCATCAAGCTGGAAGTGTCGAAGAATGTCGATCCCACGTATGTGGTAACGCATACGCGCATGATCTTTGAGGCGGTGGGCGTGAAACAAATATATATACAGCTCGACTATGTGTGATGAGCGGCGCTCCACCTGTCTATTATCTATATATACATATATATGTATGATTACTATGTATATTGAGCAGCGTGTGTTGTGTGTGTATGTATTGTAGTACGATGATAATTATGTGCTTTTTTACCTAAATTTTAGTTTCTTAGTTTGAGTGCGCTATAAAAACAAAAACAAACAACCCAGAGCTGTAAAGTGTAAACGAAAGTTGTACGAGTTATTTCGGAAACTTTGTTAATTTATTTTTGTAACTTGTTAAATCGACTCATTCCAATATTATCAGAAGCAAAACAAAGTGAACGTAGTGCAACAATGCAGCAACTGCTGTTTATATATAAACTTAGTATAATTGTAATATATAAGTCCCAAACTTATGCATTCAAAATAGTATATGCAATTAATTAGTCTTCTTCTTTTTAAATTCGAAAGATCAAACCCAGAAACAAACCCACATACTATAAACATTTAATGAAATTTGACTGAAAACACATACATTTTTCCAAGTTCCATTATTTAAATGGATACGCTTGCAAGAGCCAGTTTTTACTGCATCAAAATCTAAACGAAATAAAATAGAATTTGTTAATAGCGTTTTTATACACACAAAATTAATGGTATATTCATTATTATTTTTGAAATACCCAAAATGCAAACAGAAAGTATTTTGGATATTGGGCTCTGGAATTTCATTTAATAAATTTGTTATCTTTAGGGCTATAATCTGGTAGGATCCACTTTTTGTTGTTATATTTATAAACAAAATGATTTAATTCATTTTTCTTGCAATTGAATGCCAAGGCTCCCAAATTATCAAATTGACATTCAAAAGCGTTACCGTCCCTTATTTGAATTTCCTTTGCCCGTGTTCAGACCTATGCCTTATAAAGTGGTTCATAGGCAGCGCATACTGTACACAAGCGTACACGCGATCAACAGTTATACACGTGCGCATGTAAAAATTCTATTTGCGAGTGCGAATGTGTGCTTGGTAGCGATAGGCGACACCTCGGAAGACAGTGCACACTTATACACACATTCACAAAAATCTGCTTAAATAGGTTTATATATTGCAGACAAACGGTATACAGCTGATTGAGGTTATATTGAATGCAACAAACCGTACAAAATGTAGGACAATTTTATTCACAGTGGTGCATAAATGCCAAAAGAGAAGGATTGACGTACATGCGTGTATTGCGCATGACAAAAATTGTCGACAACCATTCGTATGTATAATTGTCAAAGGTCAATAACATTTCGCTTGTCAAAAATCTCCAGACCTTGGCTGAGTCATGGCTCAAGGGGAGACTCAGCAAAAAAAAAAATACCGGTGAAAGCAAACCTTCGTAAGTCGGCAGCTGCAATATCTCAATTGCGCCTACCTGAAGCATCTGGGAAAAAAGGTTGTGACAATAAACATCATTTGAAATTGCAGTTTGTGTATATGGTTTCCGTTTAATGTTGTTTTTTTTTTATTACATACAAATGTTTTTACTTTTGTTTTTTCAGAATATCATGTTCTTTTGACAATCCGTATTCAAAACGTTAACGAAAGCATACAAAATTGCGTTGTTGCTATAAAAATATTAAATTACGCTGTTTTCAATTACAATAGTTTTACCATAATTTAGTTATTTTTAGCTACTTTGTGAGTGTGGCTCCTGGTGGACTTTTTCTTATTCTTCCCGGTTCGCCTCATGCTACAACTACAAATTTTGCTCATACAATTAACAGTTATATTCATTGATACTAAATAATATTACGAAATCAAATTGAAAATTTGGACCTTGTCTAAACATAAACATAAATTTTGTCGAACTGTTGCCAAAAATTAGAAAAAACTGTAACTAATAAAATCCGTTAGAAATATGTAATAGTTATGCGTGAGTATGTGTGTCTGCTGTCTGTCTGCATATTTGGGTGTGTGTATGTACAGTGGTGGCTTTGCTGTTGTTCCTGCATTAGGCGATGCTTATTGTTACTGTTGCCGCAAGTCAGCAAGTCGAGACATACACAGAGGCGAAGTATGATCTTAGCACTTCTCCTCATCAAGACCATGCTTGAAGAACATAAACACTGGAACGCTCTCGCCATTGATATCACGATATTCACACATGGCTACCATGCCATCGACGTCCATGGACTCGCCCGTGAAGAATTGCAGTTCCTTGAAACGGCCCAGAATGTCTTTCATGGCTTTGTTCATGTTGGTCTTGAACACATCGACCTGGTCAGGTGACTTCTCCTGTAGCTTTTCTAGCACCTTCTTCATGTAATCCTTCAGGTAGAGAGTATAGGATTTCTTGTCTCCAAAGGCGAAGGATTCCTGCAGACGATGATTCAAAACCACATCGACACCAGTTTCAACACAGGCGTCTGTGCCCTCGTCCTGTTCTTCGGCAGATGGGTTAAAACCCTCGATAGCAATATCACCCTGGGAGCGGCTGACTAATTTTCCATAGACTTCGTAGATAACCTCGTCGACCAGCTTCATTTTGTAGGTGTCTGCGAACATCTCGTCACCGGTAATGATATCCTTGTAGATTTTCATTTTGGCGTTTGTTTTTTAATAGATGCGAGCTAAAATATCTTGCAATATTGCAATTAACAATGCACCGAACCGGGACCACAACTGCCACGCGCTGCAACAGAAAAAGAAGGAACGAGAAAAAAAAAATGGCGAATTATGTTAACTTAAAATTTTTCTCCTCTGTTAATAACAGTGAACACTAATATTCTCTATCGGAAAATATTTAAATTGAATTGTTTAGTTCGGTACTCCTATTTAATACAGTTCACGCAAACAAAAAATGTTCAAATGAGTCACGATACTTTCTAAATATATGTAGTTGGATATGCTGCATAAAAAATTAAATAATTAGGAAATAAAACTTGCCTGACAGTACCAAACGAGTAAATTCTTCGAGATGAGCGATAGTTGTGGAAATATTTCTCTACATAATGAGCATATTCATATTCTTAACTACCGATTAAACCTTTTCAGGTGTATGTTAAAATCAACCGATTGCCAAAACCCAACTCTATTGCTTCTTTTTTATTCGCGGCACCTAAACTAAACAATTAACGGGTTTCGTTTAAGAATAAATAAAAAATAATAAAAAATAAATTAAATAGATTCATCGCAAACTGCTATCGGTAGAAAACACTAATCGATAAGCTTTAGGCAGAAACTATCGCAGGCGATTCCCTCAAATGGAAGTGACGTTGGAGAAGAAACTGCAAGGATTTCAATTGGTAGCGCAGGAAAAGGTGTGTGCAACAACTAATTCAATAGCTAAGAAATAGAAATTGTTGTGTGGCCGCTGTAGTTGCAGGCCATACTATGTTCAATACCGGGCAAAAAGGAGCTCATCTTGGAGCCAGAACTGATTAAGCCGCTGGAACATGTGTGCACAGCCTCCTGGCTTAAGTGAGTGAATTCCTGGGGAGTAAAGGTACAGCTAGATTAACGGAGTACCTCTTCTAGGTTGAAAGGCATCCAGCGCATTTACAAGCATGATGCGAAACAACGTATGCCTCGCGCCGCCGATCTGGTTCATATTTACATGATACGAAGTCTACTTGGCCCATATCAAACGCTGCTGCGTCAGTTGCAGCCGGTGGCTACAAACGAGCCCAGTGAGTCAACGGACTTGGCATTGCGTATGTTTCATATTATTTGTGTGCCCACCTGCTATGCATATTTTCATGCCCTGCTGGAACAGGCGGGATTGTGGGGTGTAGTCCAGCTGCATCATTATAACTGGGATTTCATATACCTTGATCAAGGTGTGCTCAGTCTGGAGCTACCTAATGTGAGTACGAGTTGGCAAGACTTTGGGTTTATGTTAATGCACCTACCATAAATTCCAAATTGTGACTAACAGCATATTTAATCTCTGCATCGCTCTCTTCCCTTAACGCTCGTTGACACAGCTCTACGAAGGTCTCTATTTGCAAGGCAATAGCTCTGTGCTGCCTGCTGTGGCAACGAGCCTTCGGCTGCTGCAAATGATTTGCGGAAAGCCTACTGTGACGATCACATTCGGCAACCACTCGGCGCAACTGCTGCAGTTAATGAAGGCTCTCGGAAAGGTACCGCAGGCCCAAAATCCACCAGACTTTGGTGCCTGGCTAATTATTGACAGAGATAAGGACTATACCTCGACATTGCTAACACCTGCAATTTATGCCGGTCTTCTGTTGGAGGTGTTTCAGCTGCGCGCTGGCGAAATTATCATAGACAACGCCAATAACAAGATACGCAATCAAAAGGTGCAACTTCTCCAAGGCAAAACTGGACCTCCTCCAAACACAGGCAAGCCCAGTTGCATACGCCTGAACTCTGATTGTGATGAGATTTATGGCGATAATCGTTATAAACATTTCGCGCAGGCAAGCAGCTTGGTACGCGCCCAGGTGAAAGCTTTGGGTTTGGAGCTGCAGAAACTTAACGACATGCAGCTAGAGGAAATGCATGACTACGTGGCACGCAAGCTGCCCAAACTCACGGAACTGAAGGCTAAAGTGTTGCGACACCTAAATGCTTCTGAGATTGTCATACAAATGCTGGGCAATTTTCGCCGGCTTCAAACTCTTGAAGAGGACATCCTAAACAACGTATCACGCAAGCGTTTACTCACCGAGATCGATGAGCTGCTGACCACGGACGGACAACGTTTTAATACGCTACGCCTGCTCTGCTTGCTGCACTTGTGCGCAGGCGTTGCGCCCGAGGAACTGCAGAGCTTTGCCCGCAATTATTGCAACATGTTTGGGCATTGGGAGCTGTGCGTGTTTCAGCAGCTGGCACAGGCCGGCTTGTTGCCGGCGCTGGTTCCAGAGCGCAAATCATCTGCCAAGCTGTTGTCCAATTTGCCGCTGCCCAAATTCCAGCAAACCGAATTTCAGGCCAATGCTAATCGCCTCAAGTTGTTGACATCCTGCGCAGATGTGGAGCAACCTGCTTGTGGCAGCTCTAGTGGCCATCCTGCTATAAAATCTTGCCCCAGCTTTGTGTTCAATGGTATGTACATACCGCTGGCGGCGCAGCTTTGCTCCATACTTCTCAATGTCAACAGCGCCGAGCAGTTGGCCGCCAAGTTGGCAATGATCGAGGGTCTGCAGCTGCATGTGGGCGCAGAGACAAATACGCCCAAAGCCTATGCGGCGCAGTTGAAAATGGCGTCAACAGAGACAGCCGACGTTTTTCCGCTGCGACTGCGCAACTTGTTTGTGTTTGTGGTGGGCGGCGCTAATTATGCTGAGATTGCAGCCTGTGATTTTGTGGCCAAATTGACGGGTGCCCAAATAACTGTTGCTTCAGATACACTACTAGCGGGAAGCGATCTTATCGCTGCTGCCTTCAACAGCTGAGTATACATCAATCAAATTTGACATGTTTATATTTTTGTAATAAAACGTTAATTTTAAAATTGCACTAATTTCCCTGTGGGAAATTATTCGGGATGTCGATAAGCAAGACTATAGTTTCACTAAGGTCTGACCACATGTGCTATAAGTGTACCAAATGGTACCCTATTTGTTTAACAGTCCACTGGATCTGTTTTACTTTATATTTTTATAATCGGTTTCAAATATTTTATGATGTTATTCATCCATATTTGGTACGTTTTTGTAGTTACTGGTACAAAACGCAAAAAGTGTGACCATGTTTTTTCCAATGGATAAGACATTTTGTATTTCAGTTAACGGACGTTTATACAAAACGGTGCTTGGCTATATTTATTTTGATTTAATGCGCTACCGATTGCCTCCCGTCATGCCGGGCACACGATACAGAAACCCGCCATCATCATCGTAATAGGCATCTTCTACGCGATATGTGGCTCCTTGACGGTATAATTTGCGTGGTATAACAATGCGATCCTTCACTTTGCTCATCTCATATTTACGCTGGTCCGCAACGCTGATCACAATTTCGGTGCTTTCGAATTTTTGCACAAAACTAGGCAACACACCCGTACCGCTTGGATTGGGCAAGTTTTGTTCCAGATGTTGTTGTTGCTGTGGCACCAGCTGCGAGTCCTTCAACTCCTGCAAGCGCATTTTTCGCTTGTTTTTAACCTTGTCCAGTAAGTAGGTTTCATCCTCAGTCGCCGAAGGAACCATGCCCTGCTCATCTGGTCGCTGGGCAGGCATTCCTGTTGCCAGCTGCTTGTTGCCTTCATAGCCCAGTAAGGCACGAAACTCGGTTCTTTGGGGTACGGGTAGTTCCGGTCGCGTTGGCCACTGCTCTGGCGTTAACTGTTTCAGGTCTCGTCTCTGGCGCTGTACAAACTTTTGCAGGTGATGCAAAAGCTCTGGAGGTACACCCGCGCATTTTCCAGCGTGCAATTCGGTCCAGTTTTGCATGACGCTGGCATCGTGGGAGCGTATGCGTTCCACACTACTTGGCCGCCACTTGGAACGTAACACCTTCTGTACAATTCCCGGTGTTGCCGGAAAACTCTCAGCCAGTCGCGCAACGCTCCATTCGTCCGGATCTCGTTCGTGCAGCAGACGCATTTGCTCCTTTTCCGCGTACAGCAACAAATTTGGCAATTTGGCATTGCGAAAATATTTGTGCTTGATCATGAACTGGCGTACACGATCGCGTTGCTGTTGCTGTTGGGCCTCGTGTTGGCGATCTGTTTGATGGACGAACATAAAATCCGATTCCATGTCGGCATAATCTTCACTCGCGTCGGCACTCTTTTGCTGCAAATCCTGCAGTTGATAGCCCATGCCAGGATTGGCACGGCGGGGAACTCGAGCCAGAAGTCCCCACTGTGCCGTGTGCAGGCTCCTTATGATGAGGCGTGCACTCATTTTAACGTTATTGAAGTTCCGTTTTTACCGCAAGCTATTATGGTAAGACAGAAAGAACAGCGGTATTCCTGCAATTGAAATAGTTGCGATTTGCCTGAAGTTATCGATTAACAGCTGCCATTTTTCTACCCGATTGACCGATAGCCGGCTTCGTGTTTTAGGTATTTTTTAATGCTTCGACGAACAACGCGTTATTTTGCAAAACTTTTTAGACTTGTTTACGATCGCTTAAGTACGTTTAAAATCTTAAAAATAAACAAAAAGGAGCATGTCTACATCGAATAACGAAGGCGGTGCGGGCAATTTAATGGACGAATTCGAGGAAGCTTTTCAGGCCTGTTTGCTGTCGCTAACAAAACAGGAACCCAACTCTGGCACCAATAAGGAGGAAATCGAGCTGGATGTGCAAAAAACAACAAATCGTTTTATTGATGTGGCACGCCAAATGGAGGCATTCTTTCTGCAAAAACGATTTCTTGTTTCCACTCTGAAACCCTATATGCTCATAAAGGATGAGAATCAAGATCTCAGCATTGAGATACAACGCAAAGAAGCGTTGCTGCAAAAACACTATAATCGTCTGGAAGAGTGGAAGGCCTGTCTGTCGGACATACAGCAAGGACACAATCGCCCGACGCCGCCCATGATGCCAGGGCCATGCCCTGCTGGCATGCAGCCTATGGGCGGCCCCGGACCGCGACCTGGCTTAATGAGCGGCATGCCACCGGGCGGAATGCCGTCCGTAGGTCAACTGCCCGCAGGACAACAGCATTTACTGCAGGCGCAGCAAATGCAGCAGCTGCGCATGATGGGCAAACTGCCGCCCAAGTGATTATCTATTATAGCATGTAATATAAAGCATAAGTTATACAAGTTTTAATAAACGAAAACCTTATATATAAACAAGGATGTTGTCTTTTGACTACGGAATCTTGAATACACTGCGTTCATCGGATGTAATAGATATATGCACAGTTGAAGATTTGTAGTTTTATCAAGAATATTTTACAATTGAGTTAAGTTTGCATAAAGAGACAGTCGGATAGGTCGGCTGTTGATACTGTAATACGGGAATAGAGTGGGAGATGTCTCTTCGAGTTAAATATAGAATAAGTGCCCCCTGTAAGGTTTCTTTTGTTTATATCATACCAAAAATACGTATGTGTCGTATTCGTATTCGTATTCTGTGCCATTTATTGTTTGTTATTTTGCTGTGTGTGTAGTTAAATTTTGTAGACCTTAGTAAAGATCGCGTTTAATAGCTATTATATCTATGTATATATAACTCATTATATGTTTGCACGCTAATGTGTGTTTGTGTGAGTGTGTATTGGTATCGATATCTAATATAATTCTAAATGTATTAGGACAGTTTTAAACTTAATTCAGAGATAGAAACTATATAAACTTATGCTTGGGCTATATTCATGAATGTGTGAAAACAAAGCTATTTGTTTTGTTCCCAATGAAAAAAAGCGTCAATTAACTAACATCGAATTGAAAAAAAAAAAACACATGTAATGTTGAATGAGGCAACACGCTATGTAATCGCAATCCCAATTCTACCTCTCTCTAGCGTGAGTCGCTGTGTGCGCATATGATGGACTTCTTATACATAAATAGATCCGATCTAGTCAATCTCGTATACCTTGTCCGCCTCAAAGCCGGGCGGATTGGCATTGGGGGGCGCAACAGCTCCACCAGGTGCCTGTCCGGTGCCTTGATTGTAGCCCGCCGCTGATGGGTTTTGATTGGCATAAAGCAAGGGATTCATGTACAAGCCGCTGGGATGCACAATGTGCGTGTGCAGCTGCAGCAGATCCTTGTACATAGTGGGATCCCCATTGTTCATTTCATTGTATAATTGCTGCAGATAGCTGGGCACCAGTTGTATGACCTGATTCTGTGTTAGCTCCGGATGATCTTTCGATATTTTCATGTTGAGCAACTGCAAAAGAATATCCGAACGGAAACCAAAGATCTTGTTAGACGTAACGCTGCCAGAGGCATTGCCAAACTGACTGGCCATCTGTGCGCCGAAGGCGTTGCGATCATAACTCATGTACTGAGACGCCTGCACAGCGCGCGTCTTCTCTGCCTCGTATTCAGCCCAGGCAGATTTGCGCTCCTCCTCAGTTAGATTCTCGTGCTCCTCCTGCTCCAGCAGCGAATCATGCTCGTGGTATTTGAATATCAGCTTTTCATGCTCCGTCAACAGTTCGGCAAACAGCCGATCCTTGGGCAGAAGCGGCATCTCGCGCTCAACTGTCGGCTTGAGCTCATATGTGTACAGTTCCATTAGATCGGTTTGATTGTAATGCCTAGAGATCTGTTGCTCATCGATAACACGCTTGGCCGTTGCCTGTTTGGCCACCTGACGCTCATAAACCTTTTGCTCCATGGTGCCCATGGCAATGAGTCGATAGATGTAACATGGTTTCACCTGACCAAAGCGGTAGACACGAAAGATGCTCTGCGTATCGTGCGAGGGATTCCACGACACATCAAAGATGACCACACGATTAGCGGCCACAAGGTTTATGCCCAAGCCACCAGCGCGTGTCGAGATAAGAAAGAGTCGGGCCCGTAAATTACTGGCGTTATTGAATTTCTTGCACATGGATTCACGCTGCTCCACGCTGCAGGAGCCATCCAAGCGGAAGTAATCCTCGCCGGGTGTCCAGCAGCCCTTGAAGTTGCCCACGTCACCTGCGGTATGGACAAAAAAGAAAACATTACGAAAATACATAACATATATGAATATTATTTAATGGAAATAATAATTTTTGGCGCGCTGCTTTTAACATTTGGATGAAGCACAGTGAGACTCACCTTCAAATTCATAGCCCTTGGTATTGCTATCCACCAAAGAGAGAAAATGCTCGATGACATCCAAGGACTGTAGGGATTGCGAGAAGACAAGCAATTTGTCACCAATGGCCTCGCACTGTTGCAGTAAGCGGAGCAGGATTAGCAGCTTGGGGGAATGATTAACATTGTTCAGCTCCCTCTCCTCAACGAAGGGCTTCCACCATTCAGAGGGATCATCCTTCTGCGCAGATGCACCGCCTCCCATTAGCTCCACATCCGAATCGCTGTCCACCAATCCAGAGCGTACACCGTTGCGCGTCTTGCGACTCTTTCCTTTACTGCCGCCTGCGGCATCTGTATTGACAAGGGTCAAACTGGCGTCCGACTTAAACGATTCAGCACTGTCCGATGAATTGGAAACAGCTTCCTCCTCCTCGGAATCATCACATATAAAACCTTCCATTTCATCGGAATCATCGTTGCTCAGCAAACGTTTTGCAATAACATTGTCGCTGTTCACGCGCAGATTCATTGGATGTGTCCAGATGCGACGCAAGTCCTGAAAGTCTTGAAAAAGTCGTGCACCCTTGCCGCAAATATCAGAGCTACCCTGGTCCCGATGCGTAGTCATATAATAACCATATAGCTGCTGCTGTAGCTCAGAAAGTGTCGTATAAACGACATATTCATGCTTTGGAGGCAAATACGGCGCCAGCACTGAGTAATCCCGACGCTGTATGCAGCCCTCGAGCAGCTTGTGAAGAATGTGCGAGCGATGCTTCATCAGACGCAAGTCACGCTCCGTAGAGTCCGTGTATTGGCCATTGCTAATCGGATTGACAAAGCGATTCATATACTCTTTATATGTGCCCAATAAATTTGGCTTCACAAACTGAATCATACAATAGTCTAAGTAAAAAAAAAAATAAAAATAGATTAATATTTAATTTTGTTGTTGATATTACTATGATGATATTTGGTTAAGGCATCCCTCAGACGCAATTGCAATGAGCAACAACAGATTGCAAACAGTTTGAGGAGATTTATTTTAGTAAAGGTCTAAAGGCAATATTATCTTCGACTTTCTTTAAATGATTGTCAAGCTTGAGTGTGACTTTAATCAAATGTCATTATTGCATAAAATCAAGTGTCATTGTGGCATTTACTTACATTCTTTGAGATTATTTTGGAGCGGCGTGCCAGTGAGTACTATGCGACGCTTGGTGCGCATACGTGTGACCGCCTTGCTAATGGATGTCTTCTCGTTCTTCAGCAGATGACCCTCATCGCAGACAACCAGATCTGGGCCTGGCTCGACAAGTGCATGCTGCAGCTGCTCGCGCTGCTTCTTACGCAAGCCCTTAGCCTTTTCATTGGCCAAAATGCGATACATATCGTAGCCCAATATGCAGACGCCGCCCTCTTCGTACCATTCGTTCAGCTTGAAGATGCGCGTCGGTTTGTCCTTGTAGCGTGAAATGTCATAGACCTCAATGTCGCGACGATGGGCAAATGCCATCCAGTGAACAAACTCGCGAGCCCAGTTATTTACGGTGCTCAGTGGCGAGATGACCAGCACACGCTCCACGCCGGTGCGCCGAGTGTTTGTGAGCAGCGTGTGAGATAGCGTGACCACTTGCAGCGTCTTGCCCAGGCCCATGCAATGAGCTAGTATACAGCCGGAGCCGGGCTTTTGTTCGCTTTCCTTGAGCGTCTCGAAGCATGCATCCCACATGAACTTAACGCCCGCCACCTGATGAGGCTTTAGCTTCTTAAGCAGACCCTTGTCTACCTGGAGCAGCGCCTTCTTTGAATCCTCGTCAAAGTCTAGTATCAATTCACTTATTTCAATGCTTTCCGACTTCTCAAATATGCGATTGTAGAGCTTTTGACGCTCCTCGATACGTTTGCGGCGATCCTCTTCCTCTTTGGCTGCCTCCTTGGTGGTCATATCCAAATCTTTAGTCTTGATTATTTTGCGTATATGCTTGCGCTTGTTCTTGTTCTTCTCGTCGTCGCCGTCATCGCTATCGCCACTGGAATTCTTTTTAATGCGTCGTCGTTTCTTTTTTTTCTTGTCCTCGGGCTCAAAATCAGATGACTCCTGTGCGGAGCCGGCATCCTTCTTGCTTCCAAAAGTGCGCCGCTTCCGTTGTGGCATCACCTCACTGGCGCTGCTCTGGGCATCCTCAGCCTCGCTATCAGAGTTCTCTTGCTTTTCCTGTTCCGATTCCGCTGGCTCATCAGCTGCCTTGTAATCGGAGTCATTATCGCTGCCAGTTTTATCGCGCCGATTGCGCTTCGAGGTGCTCGCCTGCTCCAGTTCCGAATCAGTGCTCATCTTGCGCTTTGACTGCACTTGCTTAGCAGCTACTTCGTGCCCTGCTACTGCTGCCGATGCTGTGGGCAGCTTTAGACGCTTTAGGCGCACTACGCAACGACGTAGCTTTTTTGTGGGCTCCTCGTTTGTCGCGCTGTCGCTGTCAATTAGCAGCTTTGAGAGTAAACTCTGTTTAATTGGCTGCTTCTTGGGGCGTCCTTTGCTTTGCTCCGACGTTGAGGAGCTTAGGCGTGAATTGCGTTTGGTTTTTTGCACAACAATCTCTTCTTCGTCAGTTGACTCCTCGTCGTCGCTGAGTTCGATAATGGAAACGTTTTTGTTGCGACTTTTGCGCGGTGGCAGTACAGAGGCTGGCCTTAAATTTGTTTTTGCCTTAACGTTAACGTTAACGTTGGCGGCGTTTCTTGTGGACCTGGTGCCGGAGCTGCTGTTATTGTTCTTGTTGTTTGGCTGTGCCAGCAGTTTCTCCAGCGGCACAATACTTATTTTGAATGCTGGCTTGTCGTCTGTAACAGTTTGATCGTCCGAGCCGACCGCTTCGTTTAGTGAATTGATTTCTGCAGTTGTAGCTGTTGCGTTTCCGTTAATGCCATTACTTTTGCTGCCTGTTTTGTTCGCTTCAATAGTTGTTTTTGTTGAGTTCTCGTTGTCATTGTTGCTTGTGTCTGGTTGCTCCGTTTTTATACTTTTGACATTTTGCTCGCCGCTGTTGCCGCTTTTGTTGCTGCTATTGTTGCTGTCGTCGCCGTCCAGTGGATTGATCAAAGTTGCAACAAATGTCTCCCGAGGGTCCGACTTTTCCTCTCCCATAGGTAACAGCGTGTAGGAGCTTCTTTGCGCCGCGTCTCAATTTCGAACAAAGCTAAAACGTTTAACAAAAAAAGTAAATACAACAAATTTAATACATTTTGTTTGTTGCAATTTTCATCATTTTAGTTCAATTTGCTGATCTGCTGTTCGACGCGCGTTTGCTTTCGGCTTTTTTGTTGCACCCTGCTTCTTCTTTCACAATTGTGCTTTTTTTTTTGCGAATGCTCTAGTTGTGCCTTTATGTGGCTCGATTGGTTGCGGACTTTAAACAAACTATTTGTTTGCAAAAGGGAAATGCACGCATACTGTTTAATTATAACCGATCGACATTTAAACGATTTTAAATGGTTAATTTTTCAACATTCCACCGCCGCGCTTTTTGGCACAGACGCGCTCAGTACCGCACACACACACACATGTATATACACATACATGCAAATGCGCCACTCACCTATTGCGATTTTTCACTTGCTTTTTGCATTTCGCACTGCACTTGCAGTGTACTCACTGCTTATTTATAAATTATTTATGAATAAATTTATTAAATCAAAATGAATTACATATATTTAAAATAAAACAACAGCATCGCACTGCCAACGCCGCCGCTAAAAATTTTATTTGCTGGTATACACAGCACACAAGCACACAGATGTTGATAATGGCAAGGGCAACTCTAGCGCCGACACTAGAGGTGAGTAATATTCGTATAACTGTTATTTATCACCCTGTGACTTGACATCTGAGGGATCACAGTTTACAAAAATTAAACGGCTGATTGGGAAAAAACGAAATGTTATTTTTAGCGAATTATTGTACAAATTAAAATATGGGTTAGCCGGATCTAACAGATAATGTAGTCTACCAGTCACATTGTTGTCACTGTAATTTAAAACTAGAATATTGCTTATATTTACTTCATTTCGATAGTTTTTGCGGACATGACTAAGTAAACTATAAGCTACTAATAAGGTTTATATTTGCTAGTTTAGGGGGCAACAAATGTTGCTTAAATTAAAATTTAGTTTTAATTTACTTAATTGAATTTGCATGTAGTCAGCTGTTTTTCGTATAGCGTTGCCATACCTTAATTTAAATGTTAGGCGCTGCCAACACGTGCCGAAAATACGAAGCAAAGAAAAACACCAAAAAATGCAGAGAAAACATGCTACCAGCCGAAGAAGCAAAAGCAATAAAAAAGAGGAAAACAAGCAGCAAATATGTTTGATATAACGAGGCAGCGGAAGAGACAAAAATTATAAATTAGTGTAGAGAAAAAATTTGCCCAGTGTGCGAAGAGAAGCAAAGCTGCATTCATTAATTGAGTAAAAACGACAAAAACCTCAAGTAGCTATGAGCAATAACAACAGCAACAATATCAGCAGCAGCAGCATGCCATACCCGGAATCCGAGGAAGAGGAGGAGGAGCTCAGCGGGTCTTACAACATCAATGACAATGGGGGCCAGTTAAGCGACTGCAGTAGCAGCAACAGCAGCGCCACCAGCAGTAGTGGAAAAACGGCAAGCAGCTCTAGCAGCAACTCCAGCGATGAGGACGATGACGACGACGATGAAGAGGACGCCACGGACCAGGACACGCGCACCGATTCTGAATCGGATGATGGCACCACCACGCAATCCGATGAGCTCGAACTAGCTCAGCTCAGCGAGCGGCACATATTTCGATTGCCCCGCGGCCTCTGCGAGAATGCAAGCGTCTTCCATGAATTCTTTTCCGTGGAGACCTGGCAAATGCTGCCCAACAATATGCAGGCGCAACTGCAGCCGTTGCTGCCTAGCTATGCAGCTCTGCTGGGGCCTTCTCAGGCGGCAGCGGAACAGCAGCGCACGCTGCTGCAGCTCTTCAATGGCGGACTGCAGCGCTTTGGGCAGTCGCCACTGCTGCGATTGCAGCGCCAGTTGGAGGAGGGCAGTCTGCGGCCGGATGTTTTGCAGCTGCGTCTGAGCATTGAGCGTTCGCAGCGACGTGAGCGTCGCTTCCAACAAGCCGAACGTCTCAGTCGCTTGGCCAAGGAGCTGTTTCTATCCCGCGAGCAAATGCTGCAGCAGGTATATACAATGGCGCCGCCGCCAGATGGTGACACATTCAAGGCGCAGCCCTGCCCACGTAAACGAAAAACGCCGACACTTCACAGAGAGAACAAATTCTGTGTGGATCGTGCACGCAAACGCTACTGCCAGGAGCTCGTGCAGCTGGCACGCGACCTGCAGCTGCAGCCCGGCGACATCAGTGCCGACGAGCAGGACGAGGAGGCTGCACAGATCGCCATAATTGACGAGGAGCGACAGCTGAAAACGGAAACAATTTCGCGTCCATCAAATGCGGCGGACAAAAAATGCATTTACAGTACCTTCTTCAAGCGCCGGCCAGGCCTGGATGATGAACAGGTGCTGCGGAGGATGCAGTCAGATAAGATACAGCCGCTCAACGAGAAAAACTTTAAGAAATACCTACGCGACTACAAGCGTCGGAAACTGCAGCAACCGGTGAGTAAAGCATTTTACCAGCTGTCGCGAATTAGATATGGGTGCGTGTCACGATTTTCAAATGCGAGTAGCGTAATCCAAGAAGAGGCACGACTTAACTGCAAATGCAGCAAACAAGAGATATATGAGATATTAAAAACGATGGTCAAAAAATTGCTATTGTTTTCTTTAGTGTGATTCTATTCAAATACGAATCAATGCCTACTTTAAGCGATTAGTTTTTTTGTATTTATTTAAAAGAGTTAACAGATTTCGAATAATATTACTAATTCAAAATTCGAATTCGACTCCCAGCATTTCTAAGATTTTAAGTGGTTCCAGTTTACAGTTAGCGCTTTTCTTATTCTGCAAAATTAACTCAAAGTAATAATCATTATTATTTTACGAGGCAATTTGAGCGCAATCCACTTATATCGATTGAAATTTTTAATATTTTTGCACTCAACTGTTAGCGTTTAAATGAAATATTAATCAAATATATCGGCAGGATATTCAATCCTGGCTTTCTGCTCGCTGAAAACGAAATATTGCACAACCCTTAGCCGCTGCTTAAGAGCCTTTTGTTTATATAAAATATGATATAATTACGTTCATAATTACTAGAATCAATAGAAAATATCATGAGAGTAAAACAAATCTATTTGGTTTCAGCAATTGCCGGACTTTGACACCGCTGATATACGACTGCGTGATATTTGCACACGCGCCCAGTTTGTGGGCAGCTTTAAGCCAGGACGCAAGCCGAAGGCACTAACAGCGCGTTTCAATCAGCAGGTCAATGAGCCGCCTGCCCTGGTGCCCATTGGTGGCAAGGCCAAGCAAGCGGAGCAGGCCGCCGAATTGCTCACCGATGATCCGCAGCATCTGTACGGCCGCGCTGCCCTCGAGCCCGACGAGGAGGAGCTACAGCAGGAATTGCACGAGGAGCAGACGGAGCAGACAATGCAACAAATGTCGAAGACATTTGCGACTGCAGCTGCAGTTGGCCTCGCACAACAGTTGCCCAAACTGGAGCCCATTGCGTCGCGTACTTTGTTCAGCAGCTCGCCCCGGGCATTGGTCAAAGCTGGCGCTCATATCACCGGTAGCCCCACAAGGGATGCAGCAACAACTGGCACGCCACGTGCACACACCTGTTATTTTTCACTGTTGCGCGACTTGTTTGTGTCCACGCCACAGCATCGTTTGACCTACCAGGAGCTGCAGTCGCAACTGCACAAGTGGCGCACGGAAAGCTGTACTGGTGGAGCACCGGACTGGCTTCGCCAGTTGCCCAACGATTGGACGCAGCTGCTGCAATCGGCTGTTAACTTCTTGTCCGGTGACTTTGTCACGCTGCCGGCGGAATATGTGCCCTACATTGAGCATAAGACCCAGCTAAACATTTATCAGTGGATTGGCGCTGGCCGAGACTCGGATGCGCGTCTGCAAACGATCTGCCAATTTTGGCTGCAGCGACGCAAGGAAGACACAACTGTGCAACAGTTTCCGCAACAGATGCAGGCACCGCAACAATTAAGTCCCGTTGCGGTGCTGGATGTGACGCCCACACCACCTCCACGCTGTCCCACCAGCTGGGCGGTACGTGTGGCCACGCAAGCGGAGATGCTGGAATTTCAGCGGCAGGAGCGCCTGCGCTTCGAGCAGCCGCATCGTCCCTTCACATATCGCATGCACGGCTATGAGAGCGTTGTGGGTCCGGTCAAGGGCATCTATACGCAGAGTTTGGCCTTAAATAAGGCACGCGGACATGCCGTCATGGTGGACGACAGGCCGCCATATGTGACCATATTGACGCTGGTGCGTGATGCCACCGCACGGCTGCCGAATGGCGAGGGCACTCGCTCAGAAATATCCGAGCTGTTGAAATGTTCGCAGTTTATCAATCGCCAGGCGGCAGAGAACGTGCTGCAAACGATTGTGAGCGGCGCGCTAGATCGCATGCATGGTGGCCTGGATCCATGTGTCCGCTATGATGCGCGCCGAAAGATCTGGATCTATTTGCATCGCAATCGCAGCGAGGCGGACTTTGAGCGTATGCATCGCCAGAACCAAACTATGGTCAAGCAGAAACAGCAGCAGCGGAAACACACTAAGCCAAAGAAGGATGACGCAATGGACACGGCACAGGAGCTGCCCGCATTGGTAACAGCTACTGCAACAACACCAGCAACAGCAACGGGCACAACAAGTGCTCAATCACCTGCCGTAGGTGCTGTGCTGATCAAAAAGCAGCATCAGCAATCAACGCTGCCGTTGCAGGTGAAATGTCCGCCGGTCCCGCCCCTCAAGTATCATATACCGCCGAGTGGCACGCCCGCCGGGCATGTTACTGCAACGAGCGGTGCAGTGCCGACCCAGCAGCTAGCGACTGCACAGAAATCTCTGCTTAAGGCCACGCAGCGTAGCGGCGTTGTGACCCTACTTGAAAGATCGCCCACAGCGCCAGGCGCTGGCACCGTGCAGCTACTGAAAACATCGCCCAAAATGCCGCAGCAGCAGCAGCAGGCGGGTCTTAACTGCAGTCCCACGCGCAATACTACGCCCATACTGGTGTCTACGCCCAGCGGCCTGCAAACAGTGCATGTGGCCGCCACGCCCAACAAAAAGCTGGCCATCAAAAAGCCCATTGTCATCAATACGCCCGCACAGACGCCAGCACCGGGCGCAGCAGCAGCTGGTAGCTTCATTGTGCCATTGGAACAGCAGAAACAGCAGCAGCACCAGCCGAATAAAGCATCGCCCGCGCGCCCCCAAATGCCCAAGAATATTATACGCCTGATGCCCGCCGGTGGAGCAGGCTCAGTTGGCAGCAAGCCGTCAATTGTGCAGTTGCCAGCCAGTCCGGCTGCAGCCAAGCCCACGGCGTCTGTCCAAATACTTGGACCTCGAATGCTTGCACAGACCACAGTGCGTCCGTTGCAGCAAAAGATTGGCGCTGTCTCCATTGTCAGCAATAAGCCGACAAGCACGGGCAGCGGCAGTCCAATTGCCAATGCCACAGCCAGCGGCACGGGTACCATTGTCAAGATGTCGCCCCAGGCATTTGCCACGCTGCAGCAGCAGCAGCTGAAGCAGAAAGCCGCAATTGCTGCACAAACTCAACAGCAGCAGCAGCAGCAGCAGCAGCAACAGCAACAGCCTCAACCACAGCAGCGAATACTCGTGGGTAAGTGCATAACGTATGCCCATTTCTAAAAAACACCTGATACTCAAAATGTAATGCGCTATGGGGTAATATATAAAACAGTTCGTCCTGACTGCAGACTGAAGCTTCTACTGAAGTTACTTCATGTCCTCACAGAACCATCATGTTGGCTTGAAACTCATATCTAAAGGTCTTTGTGCGAATGCGTTTAAAGTATCAGCTAGGAATTTTTCATAAAACGATGCTCATATTTTCCGCTCTGATTTTCTATTTGCAGGTAACACGGCAATTTCGTCGAACAAAAACATTGTGTTCCAGGCGCTGCCAAAGGCGGCACCCAAAATACTCAGTACCATGGCCGGGCAGGCCAAGCCGCTGGCCACCGCGAATCTCTCGCCGCAGCAGCAGCGCATTGTATTGCAGAGCTTCAAGCAACCGGTGGCGACAGCAGCTGGTGCCTCGCAGACAACAACGCGAATCATACGCACGACCCCTGCGGCAGCAACAACATCCGGTGGCACGGCCACAACAACACAAGGCGGTCACATATTGACGTTGGAGAGCCTGCTGCAAAAACAGAACGCTGGGAAGCTCATACAGCTGGCCACAAGCACAGCCGGTGGCAATGTCATTACGCTGGCGCCCAGTGGCCAAGCCCAACAGCAACAGCAGCAAGTGACCACGACCAAGCAGCTTCCGACAACGGCGCGCATTGTGACAGCCGGAACTATGGTGCCGAAGATCATTGGCAAGACAACAGTTGTGCCCGGCAAACCGCTGCTGCTGCATGCCAAAACTCTTAAACTGGGCGGCAATACAGGGGTCAGTACACAAACACCCACAGCCACAACGCTGACGAGCGGCGCCATGAAGACGGCGCAAAACATTGTAATTGGCGGGCAGACGGTGAAGCTACAGGGAGCGGTAAGCACGTGGAATTGTAATCGTCAAGAAGCATCTATAACAACATATACCCATTGCAGACCATTCCATCGCGCAATGCGTCAGGCGCACCTATGCAGACGGTCATCATGGGCAACCAATTGTTGCGCCTCGCCACTAGCAGCAGCGCCAGCGTGAACAACACCGCAACCAGCAGCAATAGCCTGGCCAGCACGTCCAGCGGCATTGCGAGTGCGCCCAAAACGTTGCTTATTGGCGCTGGTACGGGACAAACGCTGCGTCTGGGCAAAAATGTGCTGCTCGCTGCCAGCAGTGGCAGTGGCAATGTGAGCACCACAACAACAATGGCAACGACCAATGCAACACCCGCCAACAATCTTGTATTTGCTGTTCAAAACAACGGAGGCCAGTTGTTCTTTACGCCCGGACTGCAAGGCGTCAATCTAAAGCCGTTGTCCAGCTTGAAAGTGATACCCATGGCCACGGCGACAACAGCCGTTGGCGCAGGCAGCGGCGTCAAACTGAGTAATGTGACGACGGCAACTGTTGATGCGGTGGCTGGCAAAACATTAAACACCAAACTGTTACCCGCAGCTGTGCTGAAGACGGCGAGCGGGGGGCAGGGAAATTAAGTGGAGCACACATATGGCAGAGGCTTGTTAAAACTATGTTGTTTTCATATTCAGTTGTTTGGATTTAACCATTATCATTTATATATATCTATATATAGTAGTTTACATATGTAATTTACGATTTTTAAGCAAAAAGTTGAACACAAATTTTGCTTCGTATAATAATATGAGAATTGAAAAGTTGGGCAATGCACAACTTCATTAAACCTATTATGTTTATTTGGAAGAAAAAGACCTACACAGCTGTACATTAATATAATAACAGACAGACAAAAATATCTATAATAAAAGTTCAGCAGCTGCTTTAATTTAGCAACATACTTTTCTCGAACACTGTATCGCATCAACGACGCAGCCGCAACACAAAATAATGAAGCCTATGTTTTCTAGGAAATTATCTGCTAATGAAGTATACAAAATTAAGAAAAACTAAATGAACTATTGAATATAAACAATGACATGACAATGGCTATGTATGAGTGTGCGTGTGTGTTTAGTATCCAGTTATGGCCGTTCTTTCAGCTGCTTGAGGAGCTTACGAACATCGCTTATTCATCAGAATGGCGCCTTATTGTGCTGTTTTAGATGTCGGTTAAGTTTAATTTTTAAATCGAATGTTCTGCCGCAAATACTACATTCGCACAGTGACTTGATGTGGCGCGGGTTGCTGGAATGTTGGCTCCTGTTGGTATCATCTTGTATGGTATTTGTTGTACTTGCTGAAGTCTCATTGTTAGAACTTTGTTCCAAAAAGTCTGATTGACCGATGCTTGATGCAACAATTGGCGGTAGCTGTTCCAGTTCGATTGCCGATTCCGGTACAGTTGGCTGTTCTTCGGGCGGCTTTCGGTGTGTAGTCAGCACATGCATTTGCAGCTCATTGGCATCGTCAAATGTGCACTCGCAGAAGGCGCACTGTATCAAATCAGTTTGTGTTGTGGTGGACGTTTCTATTGTTTGCATTGATCCCAGCTTGCGCGCCAATTCTTCCTCATGCTCTGCGGTAAAATATGCAATCAATGATTAACCTTTGAATATAATCAGCCAGGAAATTAATTGAATACACTTACCCTCAATATGTCGATTGAGATGAGCTTGCAGCTGCCGGTGCTTCATAGCTGATGGTTAAAAAACAAAATATGACACTAATAGGGAACGAAATAGTTAATTGCATACAACTTACTCTTGCCACAGAAATCACATTTGGAGCGCGTATGCACCGCTAGCTTATGCTCTTTAAGCGTATCTTTGGAGTTACAGAAGAAGCCACAGATGGGGCATTTGAGATGCTTTTGTAGTTTGTGCCATTTCATGTGAAACCTCAGACGTGATTCGTGTGCATTGGAAAACTTTTTGCCGCATATATGGCACTCGCAATCCTTGAGCATATGTATACGACTCATGTGCTCGTTGTGCTGTTCCTTGCTGACTGAAGCATGTCCGCATAGCTTGCAATAGACGCCAGGCTCCTCGATTGGCGCTGGTAGCGTGACCAATGCTTCGCCGTTATCATCATCTTCATAGGTGAATTTAATAATATCATCATCGTCATATTGACTTTCATTCGGCTGAGGCGATCGCTCGAACAGGGTGGAGCTAAAGCCATTTGCAGCGGCTAGCTCCTCAGGCTTTACTTGTGCAAAGGTGGCCTCCTCGTGCAGATTATTAACCAAAGGCGTTGCTGGCTGATATTGTGTCTCTGGTGGCACACGAGCCGTGTGCTCCTCCTTGATAGGTACATGTGGTATATCGAGGGGAGCACAGACGCGCCTGCTGCCATCCTCTTCGCTGCCCTCCTCTTCGTCTGTGTCGAGATAAATGAAGCCACAATATTTCTCCGCCTCACCTGGCGGATCTATTTCCTTTTTAATCACAACCCCATTGTGCGCACGCTTGCAGTCAAGCTCATCAAACTGTTCCTGTGTCTCCAGGCAGCTGCGCTTAAAGTTCAGCACTTTTTCAAACTCACCAATGCACGCAATGCACATGTACTGAGGCCGCCCGTCGTTTCTGTCCACCTGTAATAGGAGTTCATTTCAAATTGTTGCCTAACAAACTATATTCACAGCTACTTCAAGTTTCCAGGCTTTCATTTGCTCCACTATTTCCTGCATGTTGCCATTGAAAATGTCGCCGGTGCCGTTTGTAAATATCGGCTGTATGATTGCATGGTTAGATATGAAATATATGCCGCATGCTCGGCACGGCTCAATAACGTCATCATCCCCGAAAGTATTTAGATCTGTGCAATCCATGCCGATTCAGCTGTTTTCTGGTCAACTGCATACAGTTAGGTCATTAATACGAGTCCAAAAAATCTACCAAAGTAAATGCACAACGCTTCGTTTATTGTATATAATATGACAGTTTGCTGTATGCTCAAAAATATCACAAATTCAGATCCATAAAATAATACCAACTTTAAGAAATACTACAATTTATTGAAATGGTCAAAAAGTATAAAAAATCATAATACATCCATCTATGTTTTATTTAATGGTATAACATAAAATTATAAAATTATTAACTTAATACAATACAATATAATATATGCACACACAAAATTATCAAAATTAATCAATTCGCACGTTTGTATTAAAATACCGCACAATAACTTTGCTTGCACCATTTTGAGTAGAATTGAGTTGGCAGCGCAACATCATTTAGATGTTGCCAGCCCTAGCTAAATGCATGAAAGAAAATAAGTAGGAATCATCACGCAGTTAACTATTTTGGGGTGTTGAAGCCGAACAAACAATTTGCAAACCATTTGGCTTGCGAGTGAAGCGACTTTATTATGAATTTAACGGAGCAGAATCCGTATGGCAATGGCCTGCTCTATGCTGGCTTTAACCAGGACCAAGGTATGTACATCTACTTTGTTTGTTGTTTACATATTCATGAGCACGAAGCTTCAACGTGCAATAAACATACTATATATGAATGTATGCAATGATCTACTTATCTTATTACGCCGCAGGATGTTTTGCTTGTGCCACGGACACCGGGTTTAGGGTGTACAACTGCGATCCGCTTAAAGAGAAGGAACGCCAATACTTTCCTGAAGGTGAGTCTGTGTGTGTGGGTCTTTAGTCAAATGGACTAAAATAGCTTGTAGCAAATATTTTAGATTGGCTTTATTTTTAATGGATTTTAAACCAAATATTTCTATATCTTTTTGCTTACTTTTCACGTGAGAAGATATTTTCTTCTCTTTCGTACAAGTTGGTGCTGAATCGAAATCTTTAAATTCCTGCATAATCTTGATTTTATAGTTGTGGCATCCACCAAGTAAATGAGCAATATGTTCGGCTTTTGATTTTCGCAAACTTGTTTCAACGAATATTTTACTTTACAATTTCAAACAATTTTTGAATTATTTTTCAATCTGATTTTAATGGGCTCAAATAGGAAACAACAATGTCACATTTATATAACAATAAGCTGCGTCTATAACAACAACTAGCTTTTTCCACAGTTGATTAACAATTTTCATTGTATTTTCGCTTTTGCAGGTGGCCTCAGCCATGTTGAAATGCTCTTTCGCTGCAATTATCTGGCGCTTGTTGGTGGCGGTATTCGGCCCCTGTATCCGCCCAACAAGGTGATTGTCTGGGATGATCTCAAGAAATCACCGGCCATAACTCTGGATTTTAATCAACCTGTGCGCGCTGTACGCCTGAGACGGGATCGGATTGTCGTTGTGCTGGAGGGCATCATTAAAGTGTATACATTTACACAGCAGCCACAGCAGCTGCATGTGTTTGAAACTAGCTCCAATCCCAATGGCTTGTGCGTCTTGTGTCCGCACAGCAATAAAAGCCTACTCGCATTCCCAGGTCGACGTACCGGTCATGTACAAATCGTTGATCTTGCCAATACAGAGCGTGCCCCATTGGAGGTGATTGCGCATGAGGCGGCCATCAGTTGCATTGCATTAAACTTGCAGGGCACTCGCTTGGCCACCGCCGGCGAGAAAGGTACCCTTATACGCATTTTCGATACGGAGAATGGCAAAAAGGTATCAGAGCTGCGGCGCGGTAGTAATCATGCAAACATATTTTGCATCAATTTTAATCATCAGTCCACAATGATTGTTGTGGCGTCCGATCATGGAACCATACACGTCTTTAATTTGGAGGACAACAAGGCGCGCGAATCATCGCTTCCGATTATACCCAAGTATTTCTCAAGTCAATGGAGTTTTGTTAAATTTTCCATACCGCAGGGACCTCGCTGTATTTGTGCCTTTGGTGCCGAATCCAATTCGGTTGTGGGTAAGTCCATTAAAACTAAAAAACAACTTGTTAACTATCAAATACCTCTTTACCTCTTTAAGCTATTTGTGCGGATGGACACTACTACAAATTCCTATTCAATAACAAAGGCGAATGCAGTCGGGATGTGTGCACGCAGTTCCTTGAGCTGCAGGATGACGAAACATAAAGTCGAACAATTACTGTGTGGCACCTATATAAGCATATTAATATACATACATGAAATTCGTGTTACACAATTTAATATTTAAGCATGCTTTAAACCTACCTTACAAGGCGAAGTTCACATAAAACTGTAGTTAACAATTGTAAATGTTACACAATTAATTCGACTTGCCGTTCTTCCAGCTGGGATCGCTTGAATTTAGAGCTGCTCTATTACTCAAATTTGCGGAACGTCGCTCGAATTGCATTCTATATCTTATAGACTTGACAATTGCAATACTGAATACAGTAAAAGAGTTCAAATTTTCGTATTTGTTATTCAATATATTATTACGAGACGTGTTGTAATGCTCGAATTTTTAAGTATGTGGAACATGGATCGAATGGCATATTAAATTAAAAACGTCTGAGTGCTGCAATACTCAATGCAGTAAGTGAAAGACTACTCTATAATATACATTTTGTTAGTTCTGGTTTTCACACAGATTCAGTTTTTTGTAATAGGCATACATGCCAATCTTCAATGGAGAATCGTACTCTACAGGACTAAAGTGCCCTTTTACAAGATGTGCGGCTCATTGAAAACACCATTTTAATCGGCAAACGGTTGCTAAAAAGGATTCCGCCCGAAAGTTATAAGTCGCATTACCTGTAATAGCATGCTTGTAAGTTTTCGATTAGGTACAACTGAATCCGATTAGCATATATTTAAAATGCAATTATTTTATGGAAGTGTGCGCGATAACTATCCCAAACAATGCGCAGATGTCAACGCGGAAAAGCTCAAGAATATCATCTTTGATCTTGGATCTTGGATCCATCAGCCCCTGTCTGTGGGACGAAGTACTGTACTGGCAAGGATCTGTGCAAGAATAACAAGTAAGAGTGCTCTAGTCGGGAGCGCCCGACTACGAAATATCCTAAACTCAGCGTCGAGCCACCGTTACAAGCGATCCTGCTTTCTTCTATACTATACATACAGAAAACACAGGAACGCTCGCCAGCTGCGGCTGTTCTTCTTCCCCCACACTATGGTGATTAATTTCGGTTTATATAGTTCGATTACTTTGATTTTTAGGTCTTAAATATGGCACGGAAGAGTTTGTAATTTGCAATGCGAATGACTTTGCCTCTTAACTGGAGCTTGATACCATTTTTGGGGCGAATGGAAGATAACCGTATAGAGAAATATGATTGATCTGTGTATATCTACATAATCTACTATGTTTGTATCTGTAGCATTTCAAGATTCAATGAAGATAGGAGGATTTATCGATGAGTTCATATACACCCCTTTCCTCCAGGCTATTTCTTTAAGTTATATCGTGGTTTCCACGCGCCAGTAATATAGGCAGAGTATTTTTAAATTAGTCTTAGGAGAAGCTCATTAGAAGTCCTTCATTCCAAATTTGGTGGCTCTTAAACTGATTTAAATATAGATTTCACCGATTTGTCATGCTAGTTGGCTTAGTCATAGCCATATACAAAAGCTTGCTATTATCCTTTATGATATCAAGGGAATTTTAGCTCCGTTGATTATTGCCATCGTCCACAATGACATTCCCGTGATATTCCACGTTCACATCAACTCGTCAGTTGTTGCCGAACTTACATCAAATAATTGTAATTGATATGCCTAACTGTTTCCACTGTAGCTAATCGAAAACTTATAAACGTGTTATTGCAGGCAATGTGAAATATAGCTTTCGGGCAGAGTCCTTTTTGGCAATCGTCTTCTGGCTAAAATGGATTCTGCAATGACAGGCACATCTTTTAAAAAGGCACTTTAGTCCTATAGAGTGGGATTCTGGATTGATGATTGGCACATATGCTTATTATAAAGAATCTGCGTGAATACCAGAACTAACACAATTCGCAACTTCCTGTATTGATCAAACTTTCACTTATTAAACAAATAAAACAGCACTAACTGAGATTTTTGATCCCGACACTTAACTAATTAGTTTTACAGCCCGCCACAGTGGTCAGTTCGGACTAGATCGAGTACTCTGGTTTTCTCATAACTTTGGATGTATCTAAAATAGTAGAATATTTCCGATCCGTATATATGCAATATATATATATATATATATCTAAGAAACCATGGCTAGGTAATTCGAGATTAATATATGAAAAAGGACGGAGCTGTCGAAATGATATGATGTATAATTAAGATTAAATTTAAACTTAAATATATTGTGTAACAAATGTTATTTAAACAAGAAATATAACTAAATATGGTATTACTTTATTGCTTATAAATATCACTGGAGTGTCAAAAACGTAACAAAAATGTATCTATCGAGCTCAGAGATGCGTGGTATTGCTGCTCTCCTCGAAGGCAAGATTGGTGGCGCCTCCAAGTGAACTGGCTGACCGTTCCAGAGTGGTCCGTGGCACAAAGTCACTCTGCTGCAAATGAATAATCTTTGCCTGCTGCTGCGGGCTGATCGGCACATGCAGGTTCTGTAAGTTGTCCAGTTGTATGGCATTTGGTGGGTTCATGGATTGATTTGGTTGTTTTTCGCTTGCCTTCTGTGGCGGCTGCTTGCGCAGCAGATTCATGTCCGATTTCTTGGAGAAATGCGCCTCAATTTCCTGAAATCGATTGGACAAGTGTTAAACAAAATGATATTGCATTGCTTACAACAAGGTTAACTTACGGCCAGCGTGCGTCCCTCAGTCTCCGGCAGTGTATAATAGAGCACCACGGTGCCAATGAAGGCAACAGTGGCATAAAACGCAAACGTGCCCGGTAACGTCAGTGCACTAAGCATGACCAGGAAGAGCTTATTGGCCAGAAATCCAAAAACGTAGCCCACGCCGCCTGCAAATCCGGACGCACTGTTGCGTATATCTGCGGGGAAGACTTCGCCAATGAGTACCCAGGGTATCATGCGTATGCCCAGATGTGAAAAGAAGGCCGAGAGTAGCAATAGAATAAGCGGCACCCACACCAAATAGTTGTGCTCCTGCTTGGGCACAGTCAGCAGCAGATCCTCTGCAATGGGTGGCTTTGATGGCGTCGCACCAATACTGACGCTAACAGGTGAAACAGCTGCTTCAGGGAGCAGCGTGGTGGTCTCAACTTCCTGCACCTGATCTGGACTTAATGTTGTATCCAGCTCCCGTTTAGTACGATTCCATAAGTCCATCGTTGTGTCAAACATTGCCATCGTGGTCGTGTCCTGCTCCAGCTCTGGCAGCAGAGTAGTCAAGTGCTGCTGCTGCAGCTGCTCATCCTGATATTGATTCTCGAATATTCTTGATATATTCGCTTGCGAAATGATGCTCTCTTTGGGCACAATCGCTGAGGCATTAACCACGACATTGTTCACCGCAAATCCGGGGACATCGTTGAGAAAGTACGCATAGGTCGCTGTGCCAAAGAAGCACAAGCCTGTGCCCACTGTCGAGACGAGCACTAACGGCCGTTTGCCCGTAAAATGTATCAGAATTACGCCCAATATGGTGGACAGCATCTCGGCGACGCCTAACAGGATCGTGGCATGATATTTATTCATGGGTGCTTTCAGCGTATGAAAGATCTGCACGGCATATGTTTGAAGAGGCGTTTTCCCGGAAAAGTGACCCGTAAAGAAGGTGAACGAGACGAGCAGGAAAGGCGCCAGGAAAGTGCGTTTTCGCCACATGCGCAGACGCCTCTTCAGTGTGCGACACGCACTTGGCGCAACGCCGCCATTCTCGGCAGCCTCCTCGATGGCCTTCTGTGTGATGAGCTCATCGTACAGCTGATTAAATTCCGCCTCAACTTGGTGCTCCGGAACCCAGCCGCGTAACCATTGCAGGGATTTGACCGCCTCGCGGAATCGCTGCTCCCGTATTAGCCAGATGGGACTCTCGGGCACAAAGCACAGCAATAAAATTGTAATCACTGGAAAAGCGGAACTCACCGCCGCCACGCTCCGCCAGTCCATCAGAGAGCCAAGTATGAATTGCACAAAGACGCCCGTGATGACGCAGGTGGTGCCCAGCGCTGACAAAATGCCTCGATACTTCGGCTCCGTAATCTCAGCCACATATGTCAGCACCTGCAAAAGGTGAAGATCATTTAGTATTTTGACATTAACTGCTGCTTGCAACAATAAGCGGCATTTTAAGGCGACCTTCGAGGCCATCTCACAATGACAATACACTTCTGCCCCATGCGACTACGTACATATATGTACATATGCTGTGTATGTATGTATGCATGTGTGTGCTTGTGTGTGTGCTTGTGCAAAAGTATGTTCTATGTGTACATGTGGTAAGCAATGGCATAAAGAGCCTCTTAACCAGCCTTAAATGCAAAATGTATAATTGAGAATTAAACAAGTGCCGCCTTGACAGTTTTAAGTGTTACCAGGTGCGATTTGGCTTTCAAAAATTTGGCATTTTTATAACGTGCAGTCTTTATGCTTGTTGCTCGCTATTATTGAGAATCATCTTGTTCCGAAAAAACTTAATGATGATTATTTTGATTATCTTGACAAGACTACATCGCGTGAATTTCATTGAATAAACAATTCTAATCGTGACAGCACAATCAAAGCTATTCCGGATATTGCAAGAAATATAAAATATTTAATTAAAAAACCAAAAACGATATAGACATCATTTTCTAATTTCTGGGCTAGTTACTCTTTCAGTTTTACGTGTAATATAAAAATTGTATTACTCTTGTTTTTATTAACAATTTAAAGCCAGAAATATGCTGGAAGAGGTACTAAATATTACAAATTACAAAAAGTAAATGTTTAAGCGTCACGTTGGGCGCCAAGATTTATTCGTCGCATTGTGGGCAGGGGCAGACTGGTAGTTGGCATAATAATAAATGTGAAAATCGGGTGCATTGTTTTTGAAGCAAGGTCAATCTTACAGAACTTGGTTACAGAAAAATGCAATTAATTGGTTAGTTGGTTAGTGGGCTTGTTCTGAATGGTCATGATCACTTACTGGTGCCTCCATCAGGCCGCCGCCGAGACCAGCCAAGCATAAAGCCGCATACAGATGCTCCGTGCGCGTGGCAAAGTGAAACAAAAGCCAGGCAGCCAGTATGGGCAGGTTGACAAACTGAAAGCGTAATCAGATACAGATACATTGGCACACAAAGATACAATACAATAACAAGAGATCACGAGGCTTGGAGCATCAGCATAATTGCACAATAAAACCAGGCGGTTCATTTCAATTTCCAGTTCAGTGTGTCAATGTTTTGCTTTGCTGCTAGTTGAGATTTATCGCTATATATATATATATATATATATATATATATATATATATATATTTATATAATTGCCTTGGATACGCACCTGCATAGCTCTACGCTTGCCCAGAGGCTGCGTTAACAGGCCCGAGAAGAGACAACCCAGCGGCACACAGATTAAATTAATGGAACCTGCGGAAATAATTATGAGCGCGAGAACTCTAATCTGTTGTATCCCGACTTACTGAACCACGATATTTCCTCTTTGTTAAGCACGATATCACTGCTCTGGCCCTCGCTGCGCCCCTCGCCGCCCTGTATGGCTGGTATAACAATTGTGGGAAATCCCAGAGTCATGCCATAGCCTGCATTAGGATGTGCATATAGATTTTTTTTTTTTAGAATTTACTATGTTTCATTTTAACCAAGATCAATTTGCGTTTTCAAAATCAGGGAATGAAGCCATTTCTTCATATTAATCGGTATTAATTGAAATTGAAATATACAACTTTTTCTGGCAAAGAAACTGCTTTTCTAGGGAGATAAGTTCACAGAAAACTGACATTATTTAAATAAACGAATTTTCCATTGTTCATTGTTAGTTTGAATACTATATTGATTAGCTCCTACGAAATTCTCCAGCTTTTCATTCCCTGATTACACTTAATTTAGCATCAAATATGCACATCTAATTAAAAATCCGAGTATCGCAAGTTATTTACCGAATAGCAGTGTGTTCTTAATACTAACAGCTAGAAACTGTGGCAGGGCCTGTCGAAAGTTGCTGACTTCCACATCGAATACGCCGGAAATGCGGCGATTGTTGTTGTTGTTACCATTTTGCATGAATAAAGGACGATCATTCAGCGCGCTGTTAACGATAATAATAATAAATAAAAAACAGGTTTTTTAACATAATGTTGTTAAGTCACTTTTTATAGTAATTTGAGCAGCGGCGATTTAATTTGTTGTTTTTTTTCTCTCTCTCTCATTACCCATTTTTCTCAGCTAACACAGCTCCCTTGCCATTGAACATGATGGCGTATACTTGATTTGTCTGCTGATGACGTTTTAAATTGTGCTTTGGTCATGCGTTTCACAGCTGGTGCTTATATTTTCTTAAGTGTTTTGCATAGCTAACAAAACAATACACATCAATGGCGGAGCGTTCAAATTAATGACACCGCATTGGCTGCGACCAATTTAACGAATCGTATAAGCTTAACGCATCAAACTTAACGCATTAATCTTAACGCGTTAAACTTAACGCTGCCAACTTAATAGATTGCACTTAACGCAGCGTAGCTTGCGCAATAAACTTAACGCTATCTTAACTTAACGCAACACTTCGCGGCGCCGTTAAATGTGAATTCTCGAATTATCGAATTTCTTAATTGACAACGTATAATTGCTCAAAATTCAAAACGAAGCGCGTCACTGCAGCTGTTTTGTTGTTGTTGTTGTTGTTTTCGGCTTTCTTTGACATATTTTTGTTACACTCAGCACGAATGATTATTATGCGTTTGGGAATGTCGCATTTTTTAAAACAAATGGTTGTTACGTGTTAATATGTGCAAATTGCTTTAATTTCTTTTGACCATTTTTATGATTGTAGCTTCGAAGGCGTTCATTAAGATATTTAACAGTTAACTTATTAACATATTTTTATTGATTTGGGGAAAAATATTGAGCTACTCCAAAATAAAAAGAAAAAAAAAAACACAAAATAGTGCTTATGCTTAAGTGGCGAGCATTTATTAATTATTATTGATCGTATAAGTTTTACGAGAAGTCAACGCTATTTGCATAAACAATAAAATATCAACAGCACAGCTGACACCTGAGGCAGCATTATATTTTCGTAAAAAGCAGTCGGCGGCTTAAACCAGTTAAGTTCGCAGGTTCAGCGTACTGATGTCAACAAAAGCAAGTTTAGAAACAAGCTTTTCCTGTAAAAGCGCAAAGCCTTAAGCTGTTTAACTTTCCTGCTAATTCCTGCTATTAATTAATAGGTCAGAGCCAGGTCAGACCTTCAGAGCGGCATCTCTTAAGCAGACGCATAAACCAGTTAGCAACTTGAGAGGCTCTGTAAGGTTACCTTTCACCTACTGCAGCATCTTTTCTTTATCGTGTCTTCACATAACCGCAGGCTAGAAATTGAAATTGTTGCTTTTTGCTTTTCTAGGGTGTGCTGTTGTTTATTTTGACAGCTATTTCTGGTACTTTGCGCCAGCTGGCACGCACTCAGGTGTTGGTGCCATCTCAGGTGATGGCACGAAGAGTTTATAAAAACAAATTATTTGTAGTTTTACTGTCTTTTGGAAACTGGTTTGTAATTATGTACCAAGAATTTGAGGTGTGTAATGAATTTGGCTAATGACACACATTAGTTTGCCAATATATATATATATTATAGTCAACAGCTTTTATTCAACATATAGCTTCTAATAAATAATTATCTGGAACATTAGCAGATATATTGCTTGCAAAATAATTCGTATTTATGAATTTCGGATCCGTTTGGGCTGGTCAAAGCGCTTGCACAATCCGAATACTAATTGTTAATGCAAATACCGTAAGCCACAACCGGAACCGCAGAATTCTGGGCATAAAAGAAACCTTGAAATCGAATAGCTTATATTAAATTGGCATTTACATAATTATTGATTAAATTGTGTATAAAATTTCCAATTTGTTTAACAGATTTCACACATTATTTGCACTTAATATGCCGTTACATAGAAAATTTGACGGTATATTGTATTTTGTGCGATTCACTTTAGGCCAACAACATTGCGCGTCGCTCGGTCAAAACAAACTGAAATCTAAAATGAAACAGGCCCGAAGCTCAGCTCAGCTCAGCTCAGGTCGTCACTTACAGCAAAAGCAAAATAGCAATAAAAAACAACAAAAATATAAAAGCAAATACACATGTTTGCTGCAAACGCAGCTTACAAAACAAACCCTCGGCTCTCTCTCTCTCCCTCTCTCTCTCTCTCTCTCTCCTCAGTCGCCATTTACGACCCTGCTGCCGACAGAGTTGATTGCGGCGCTTTGATTGTAAATAGCTTGAAAAATTCACAAAGTTTCAAATAGGTGTCCCATATAATACTGGGTATTAAAAATATTTTTAAATGAAACAATGTAATTTAAAAATATTTATATTAAGTAAATGATGAATATTGCCAGGTTGTCAAAAGATTATAACCATACAATTCAGTGTTATTAATCCGATTACTATAACAAAAACTTGGTCACTCTAATAATGTAAGCGAATCCAAACTAAAGACGGACTATTTGGGCTTTAGAAAACGACGCAGTGCAAAAAATGTGGGGAGTATTTTGAATAGCTATTCTGCCTCTATTAATCTAACTCGATTAAATTTAATCAAAATCTTCACATAAGGCGATTATCTTTAAGTATATACATATTTACATAAGCACACATACATACATACATACAAAAGCGCAACGTAAGCTTCGTAACCAACTTTGCTTTAAGCCTTTGAAATGATTTGCACTTTGTGTTTTATGCCTAGCTATATGCTAGCATATGTGGAATTAACAAAATCTATAAAAACATAGGTATGAAATGTCAGCCCGGTTCGTTCTATTTACCGGTGCAAGCGAACAGAAACCGGTATCTAACGTTATCCTATTTATACTTTGTATCGAAAATAAAATCAATCAAAGCTGCGCTCACAGTACCCACACGTACACTTTCACACACACATGCACACACGTAGTATACACACAACTGGTATTGTCGTTTAACATAGCATTGCAATTTTTTTATTTTTCCTAGCGACAGAGCACAACCAGCGCCCGTCAGAACGACAGAGCACATAATGCGACCAGACTGACGGAGACTTAGCGAGAATTTACACATTGGCAATTAACAGCAAATAAAACGGCATTTTAGGAATTAAATTGTATTCGCGACAAAGAGTCAGTGAATGCGAGAAATGGAAACAGGTTTAAAACAAAAATAACCAAAAATCACCAAATCAAAATCGAAAACTGTACGCTTTGAAACTAAACTAAACTTAAATAGAAAATAATAACAATGCCAGCATTCCGGTCTATACACATTGTTTACTGTGACTGAAGCGCACCTGGACTAACACATTTATTCTAGTTGTAATAGTAATTAAACAATTCGCTTTACACCTTTTACGCTAATATGAAAACATATATAAACTTAGCTGCAAAGTGTTTGGTGCTAAAAATTAATTATCGCTAATATAGTTAATTGTTTCACAGCGGATTTGACTCAGTCGAAAAGCAGACGATCTTATAAGTGCTAAAGCCAGGTTCAGAAGCTCTGTTACATCGAAAATTGGCCAGAACTTAATTGTGATTGGGCTTTGCGTTTCGTTTCCAATAAGAAAAAACTGATTGAGACGATTTTGTTGCAGGCCAGGTGTTTCATGATTTGTCGTGTTCATTTTTCTTGGCTGCAACTCAAACACAGACACACACACACACACACACACACACACAATACACTTGCATTTCCGTTACAACATTTCGGATCGCTGTCAATTTCCGAGCTCGCATGCAAACGAAGGTCACGGTAGACAACAACAATATTGTATAGAATCGTACGAACAATTTGAAATAAACGTTTTTGGATGCCCCGCACACGTGATCATCGGCAGTGATTTATGTTTGCTTTACACAAGTGTGTAAATTGCAATGCACTGACAGCATTACTTCTCAAATGATAAATTCTCTCACCGAATAATTAACGGAAATGCGAAATTTAAATTTTTAAGGCATCAGTCGATTATATAAGCAGCGCACACACACGCGCGTAATTTGATTTTGTGCGAGAGCGTAGTAAGTACTTAATTGGCAGCGAAAATAATTTTGGAATGACTTTCAGTTCATAGTGGATGCCCTTACATATGTATGTACATACATTCGCACACGCATATTTACGTACATCATGGGCGTTTGACGACTTATGTTTCTGCGCAAGCGAGCCTCCGCCATTTTATTTTTTATTTCTAATAGCTCAGGGATTTATGTGTCCATTCGATGCTCTTGAACTCCGACGGCGCACTGATGGATCCTCAAACTTTTCTTCGCTTAAGCATTGTAAATTTCAAATACCGGCCAAAAATGGGTTTAAGCGACCCAATAAAGTTTTTGGTTAAGAAATTAGCTGCAAACTGTTAATTGCACAAGCCAATACAAACGCACATATGTATGTACATGCTTGAAGCGGGTGTTTTGTGACGTGTTTGCCCACACTGCTTTTTAGATAAAGCAAAAATAATAGGAAATATTTCAACAAACTTACATAAATGGAAAAATAAATACAAATAAATGCTTCTACATTTGCTGATAGCAACGTAGGCTTTTTGTGTTTGGCGCCATTTGCATGAACGCCCTGTGCTTGCATAAGCCAAAACGCATTCACAATGGTTTTTGTTTTTAAAGTGTGCACACACTGAACTAATTGGAAACGCCACACAAGAAATAAGATTTAAAAACTTTGAGTGTGTACACATTGTATATTGTGCCAATTGTAACACGATTTTTACCGCGTTTTTTATGCAACGTCCGTATTCCGTTTAACGCTTTTGGTCAGACTAGTTACAAAAAGAAAATGAGCGCTGCTAATGAAGAACCAAAGCCGGCTAAACGCCCCACACCCCCAACAATAGGCACTCATAACGGAACGTTTCACTGTGACGAGGTAGTTGCCTGTTTTATGCTAAAACAATTGCCCGAATATGAGAATGCCGAAATATTTCGCAGTCGGGACGAAAAGGCATTGCGTGAGAAATGCGATATAATTGTAGATGTGGGCGGCATCTTTGACCACGAGAAGAAATGGTACGATCATCATCAGCTGACTTTTAAGGAAACCTTCAGCACGGTGCTCCCGGAACTGGACGACGAATTTGACATAAGGTAAGGAAAATTAGTGACCCGATCAATTTGGAACTTATCCAACCTGTTTATTTGTAGACTGAGCAGCGCGGGCCTAATTTACTGCTTCTATGGCGAGCGTGTGATACAAAGTATATTACAACGCGAGAGAAATGTGCAATTATCCACGAAAAATTTAAAGCTTGCATTTTTGCAAATCTATCGGAATTTTATCAGCGAGCTGGATGCCATCGACAATGGCGTGCCCATGTTTGAGGGTGGCGAGCCACGCTATAAGATATCGACACATCTGTCGGCACGCATTAGCAAAATGAATCCCTCGTGGCAGGAAACAGGCGTTGATAGCGAGCAGCGCTTCCATACGGCCATGACTGTAGCTGGCAAGGAATTTGTTGAGAACGTGCTAGAAGTGGCCTGCTCTTGGATTGCGGCGCGGGAATATGTCCGTCAGGCACTGGAGCAAGCCAAATCGGTGCATGCAAGCGGTGAAATACTTCTCCTAGAAAGATTCTGTCCGTGGAAAGTACATTTGAACGATTTGGAAAAGGAATATGGCGTGGAAGGTGTGCCCAAGTTGGTTATCTTCAATGAGGGTGCCAACTGGCGTGTTGCAGGTGTGCCCGTAACGCCAAGCAGTTTCCTTGGTCGCAAGTTCTTGCCCACACATTGGCGGGGTCTTCGTGATGAGGAGCTGTGCCAGAAGGCTGGGACTAACGATCTATTATTTGTGCATCACACAGGCTTCATTGGTGGTGCCAAGACAAAAGAGGCTGCGCTGGCCATGGCACAGAAAAGCATAGAGTTTGTCGACGAGAACACGGCTTAAATCAATATGCAATAAACTAGGTCATTTCCTTACAAATTTTATTTGCATCATGTTTTATGAAAAAAAAAATGCTTAATCCATGCGAGTCTTCAGCGTGCGCTCCGTTATCTTGTCCTTCTCGATAATGTAGACAGTGGCGCCCCAACCGCTCATGGCATCACGATCGAATGCATTCACCATTGACTGGGCGATGACCTCGAACAGCTGATCCGGTTCCAAGTCCGGGCGCCATAGTGTCTCGCACATGCCATACAATTGCTCAGCACAGGTGCCAGCTACCACAAAGTCATCAGGCTCGTTGGGGCATCCAATAAGGTCCATGTTGCAGATGAAGGGCTTCATGGTCTTTGGATCCAGACCTGCCACCACCGGCTCGATGAAGTAGGGTCCAAAGCGATGCTCGTACAGGAAACTAGACAGCATGGCCGAAAATGGCTTGGGTGCCATCTCCCGATTCTCCTTAGTTTCGTATATGTTTTTGCGGAACATCAGACGATCGCGTACTGTCAATATGTCCGTTTGCAGGCCAGTCAATCCTAGGAACATCCGCGGTGCAATGTGGAAAACCTTCTTAAAGTCTGTGGAGATGGTTTGTGCCTGCACGCCAAAGCGATGATCCGTTGCAATAGCCACGCAGTCCTTACCCCGCATTGCGACCACGCAACCTCCGTTATAGGCCAGAATAGACATTGTTAGTTATATTTCACTCTGTAATAAAGATGGGCGTAAATTAGATTCGCAAAATGCTAAACGCCGCTTCGAAGATGACTTTTTGTTTCTGGCCGTATGCTCGGCGCTGCCAGATTGTTTTCAAAAGAAATGTACTAAATTAAACTGCAAATTTATGGCCAGGCTGCCAGTACTTTTTGATGTGAAAGTGTTATCGAACTGACGTAGATAATTTCAAAATATATATACGAAATACTAAGGGGAGTCCAGCAAATAAATATGATGCATTAAAAACGAAAAACGCAATAAGCGTGATGTAGTTTTTAAATAAGTGTACAAACACTGCTGCAAAATACTGTTAGTTAGATTAAATTTTGCATCAAAGCTGAAAAGAGCGCGGAATAAGTTACAACTCAATGGTGCAGCTGATTTAGTATCGATATCTCTTACCAAACGCACGTCAAAGATTAAGTCAATCCGAATCTGATTGAATTCGTTTTCAAACACAAAATTAATGACATTCGAATAAATTTGATTTGCATGAGCTGTAGTTGTTGGCATTATTCTAAGCATATTAAACGAAATCGATAGACGCCTATCGACCGCTGTCAAAACTATCGAGTGGCAATAGCATACAGCAGCACGATGTCCTCTTAAAATTGTATAAAATTTTACATAAAAAACAACACTAAATGTTTGAAGTGGCGACTGTTGTGCACACGTTGTTCCATTGCTCGCGCCCAGTTTTACTGCAACCGAATCCCTATAAACAATAACAACAACAATCAGCAAGGCCGATAGGTAAGCCGACTGCAGCTTGCACAACAACAATATTAATTATTGGTGAAATATTGCAAGTGCAACAGCAAACAAATATTGTAAATACACACACAGATATTAGCCAGCAATCAAAATGGCCGAGGCAATGGTCGTGGAAGAGCGCCCCTCGGTACCGAAACGTTTTTTCTGTCACATGTGCAATGTGGAGATTAACATTCCGAATACCGATTACACTTGCCCACTCTGCTCAAACGGATTCGTTGAGGAGCTGCCAGCGAATGCGCCTGAATTGTCAGCTTCTACTAGCAGCACCAGCAGCAGCGCCACCAATCACGATACGGCCAATGCTGGCACTAGCTCCAGCAGCAATACCCTTGGCAGCGGCGCCGGCGGCAGCGGATTGATCAACGTTGAATCGCTGCGGAATGACATTGTATCGCTGCTCAGCATGCGGAATGTGCCCAATTTGGAAATAACGATTGAGCCGAATCGACGTCACGCCAGCGTAATGCACGTGGGTAATTCGGGCGGCGGCAATGTGTCTAGCGCTCCGTCAAGTGCAGCGTCCAGCATTGCTGGTGGTCGTGTGCGACCTGCCAATTTGGATCGCTTGGACAATGTACTGTATGATTTTCTGCAAAGCTTGCCATTGGCAGGCGCTACGGCCGAAATTGTAACCGGTCCAGGCGGTGGCGGCAACGGTGGCGGCACCGGCCATTCCCATATGTTCTTCATGGGCAATCCAGGTGATTATGCGTGGGGACGTGAGGGTCTCGATACAATCGTTACGCAGATGCTTAATCAAATGGAGACATCGGGGCCGCCGCCGTTGTCGTCGCAACGCATTAACGAAATACCAAATGTGAAAATCAGTGCCGAGGAAGTGGAACGCAAAATGCAGTGCTCCGTTTGTTGGGATGATTTCAAGCTAGATGAATCGGTACGCAAGCTGCCCTGCTCGCATCTGTATCATGAAAACTGTATTGTGCCATGGCTGAATCTGCACAGCACCTGTCCCATTTGCCGCAAGTCATTGGCCAACGATGATGACAACGACGACGCGGACATTGATGAGGATTATGTGCTCCTCAACAGCCTTGTCGATGAGAATGGCAGTGGTCGCAGCGGCAGCAATAGCAACAGCAATGCTGCAAGAGCCGCAACATCCACAAATGCATCTAGTCAAACGGTGGCCTCCCAGTCGGAGCCAACAGCAGCAGCCACACAACGCAACAACGTGTTCACCTTTGATGATGACAATATGTTTTTGGACTAATTCGTGAATGCATATTATGGATGAATCGGGACGATCGAAGCTGGGATGTGGATGGTATGGGATGGGATGGGATGCTAAACCTGATATTCAAAATTGAAGCCTATGCAGCTCAAGCGTTAGTACACAAAATCTAAACAGTTGCATATATTTATAAAAAGAAAAAAAAAGAATTTCTTAACAAAATCAATTACACACACGCTTTACTTTTGTTGTTATTCAAAATACGGGCTGGTAAACAATATTTGCAAATTTGTTATCATTTCACATTTTGGCTGATGCAATAAAATTTTGTAAGCGTAGTGAGGCGATTACCAATTTTTATAGGATGTTATACAAATTATGTATAAATAACTTCAATTATATTTATTGTACTAAAAACTTAAAAAAGAAAATGTTTCTGCGCTATATTCTAAAATACAACAGTTTTTATATACAAATAAACTGTAACTAGCTACTAGTTAAAAAACTAATATGTAAATCACCTCAAGCTAATTGTGAAGTTTATAAATCACAGCAAATTATTTAATAATAAAAACAATGCAAGAAATTTGGTATTCATTTTGCAGCTGCGCACTAAAACGAACAAATTCGAATAAAAACATAATTAGTCAGCTGTCAAGAAATGCAACAGGGTGGCAACGCCCAGCGCCGAATTTGTTTTGTTTGTGCATGTGTTTGTTGTTGCTGGACAAGGGCGCATTTTTTGAGCCAATTTGTTTAAACTAATAACTAATAGAATGCTCTAGCCAGTTGGAGCGGATGCAATATAACACTATTAGAGCATGGCAACAGCAAGTGGCAGTAGCGAAATTGTTATACTCACAGAAGTGGTAAGAAACAAAAAGCGTATTCCTACTCGAAGGTATTTTTTTTTTAATAATAATTACGCAGGTGCGTGAACAATATGTACGCTATTTGGAGCGCCAGTTACAGGAGAACGTGTGCGTTTGGGCAGCAGCTTCCAGGAATCACCATAAGCCCACAGCCTGGGCATGCATTGCGCACAGCGTCAAGGCATTGGAGACACATGCAATTAAAGCCTGCCAGGCGGCACAACTGTATCAGCGTGCCATGGTCAAGATGGTAAACTGTGTAGAATAGGCCATGTGTTCCAAGTTTAGTTTATACACTTCTGTTTAGATCGCCGCGGTGCGACGCAACACGCAGGAATGCCGCCTAGCGGATGCGCTTTTCAACCAAATGCAGCAACAGCACGTCGTCGAGGATACAACGTCAGCGAAAGCCCCAAAGGCGAATCCCAGCATCGTACATGCCCCATCGTACAAGCGGCTAGTCGATAAGGCAACACAAACGACAAGCGTGCCGAATGATGAGAAGAACGACAATTATACAAGCTACACGCTGTCACAGAAAATCGATTTGTTTCAGTCACAGCTCGCAGAACTTGAATGCAAAGACCAGCCGCCAGCTGAAGTCAATGGCAATAAGCGGCCCGCAACACCCATGTCCAGCACAGAAGATGAAGTAGCGCAGGAGCTGGCCAAGCTATTTGACGATGAACCAACCGATCTAAATGCCATATTTGGCCTTGAGATTGACACCACAGAGGCGCCAGACCAACTACAAAAACCCCCTGATATGGCAGCTCAGCTGAAGGCCCTGCCATCGCCTGCCACGCCGTCACCTGTGCCGTACAGCCAAAGCTTTACGGATCTAAGAAACAGTCTCTGGCCCTGCGAATTGTATGCACAACGGCGACGCCTCAACGCATGCTTGGTGCATTTGCTGGATGCAGACTGGCGCTATGAGGATGCGCTAAGATATAAATTCCATATGCTCTTTGGCGAAGACAGTGACGATGAGTTTGCCACACATATAACTAGTCCTAGCATCGATCTAGTCGATGAAGTCCTGCTGGCCAGCTGCATATTACGCATACGTCCCTGGATCGTGCGGCACTTGATGCGTCCGCTGCAGGAAGGCCTTATTGCCAATCGTTTTCTGTTCAAAAAGGTGGCCAAGATGCTTGCCAACAACATTGTGCTGACCAATCCATACGCCAGCGAACGGCAAGTGAGGCAGGCCGTGGAGCACATGTTTTGCATCCAACCCAGAGGTGTTCAAAGCGCACTTGATCTGGAATCGTTGCCGCCAGTGTTCATCGAAAGATTTGAAAGTTAGGCAAAACGTAAAAACTATTTTCTAACATTAAATTATTCTCAAAGAATGGTTGATTTCAGACAATTCTACGTAGGCAAAATGTTTACTTTCAGTATAACATTCTTCCTATTACATGTACAAGTAATTAGTGTTCCTAGTTGAAGGTATTATTAATTGTTTGGAACTTATGATAAGCAAAACATGTTTCAACTTTTAAGCCATAAATCTCAGTAATATAGAGATAATTGAAAAACAATGGCAGATTATTTAAAAGTACACTTATTTCAACTGAAAAGTTCATTTCATTATGCTTTTTAAGTAAAAGAAAGAAAAAAACGAAAGTCAATTGTGTAGAACCGTTAAGCCTATAACCAAAGTTTCGCCATGAATTTTAAAATTAAGATAAAGGCTTGAAAATCAAAATTGTTGATTATCAATGCAGCTTTTGAAAGCAGTTTGTATGTATATAACCGAATATCATAACGAATCAATCCGTTTTCTAAGATTCACATATAGTTTAACTAAACCACAATCACACTAATAAATATCATTTTGTTTTTTAAATTATAATTAATTCAATGATTACAATAATTTTTCTTTCTGCACATCTCTGTTCAATTGTTTTTTATAATTATATAAATTTTAATATATTTAATAAACGATACATATAATATAGTGTTTGACGAAATTGCGGCTGCTGCTGCGACGGCGGCTGCGGCTACTTTTGTTGTTGTTGTTGTTGTTGTTACTCTTACGGCTGTGTATGTTGTTATTGTTGTTGTTGCTGTGTTGTTGATTGATAATGTGTTGTTGCTGTTGTTGTTGTGGTTGGCTATGGTGTTCCATTTGTTGTTTGCGTATTGCTGTTGTTACTTAGTCTGCAGCAGCTACAATGTGTGGTTGTTTTTGCTGTTATGTTGTTGTTATGTTATGTTAAGAGACACTACCTAGTATCGGGTATTTGATTTGTGTTTGCCGCCGCATTTGCATTTTGTTTGTATTTTTGTTGCTGCTGCTGCAGCTGCTGCTGTGAGCCCGTGGCAGTCTCTGCTGGCTGTGGCCGACCGCGTCTTTCGATCCCACCTCGATCAACTGCTGTTGGCCTGACGCCAGTTGCACTGGCTGCTGCAGCTACTGCAATGCCACCGCCAGCACCTACGCCGCCTGTTCCTCCACCTGCTCCTACACATCCCCCTGTTGCAGATGTGCCACTCGTTTGTGTTGTTGCTGTTGTGTTGGCTTTTTTGTTTTTGTAGCGATATTCATCGCATACAAAATCCTCCGGCGAGGTCTGTTGCATTTGATTCACCTGTCGTACCACAGCACGTTGCTGTTGCTGCTGCTGCTGTTCATCTGCATTGTTATTGAGCAGCGTTTCCTGTTCTTCCTGCTGCTGTTGCTGCTGTTGTTGCTGCTGCTGCTGGCTGTCCCCGCCACCCTGCTCCTTATTTACATTATCACTCTTGGCCAAACAGTCGCCATCCTCATTGGACGCATTCAAGTCTAGCTCCTCTGTGCAGAGCAAAGATAGCCACAGCGACTGCACAAACATGGAGCTGCCAAGCGAAATAAACATTGATAACTGAACTTAAGACACATGTGTATACAGTTGTAACTCCTACCGATCGGCCCGCTTGCGCTCTACATCCGCCCACTCGGCATCCGTTAGTGTGGGCTGCATAAATTTGGCCAGCAAGTACTGCGATTGCGATGTATCGCCAGCCGCAGCTTGCCCGCCAGATTGCCCAGACATGGCGTTCGTGTTGCCGCCGCCATTGGCCGTTGGTGCACCACCAATGCCGACGCTAATGCCCAGCGCATTGCCAGTGCCACTGCCGCTGCTAATGCAACTGTTGCCGACCGCCTGCAAGGATACAGATATGTTTATATATTAGTATTGGCAATTGAGAATTGTATATAAATTGCATATGGCTACTTCTCTGGCGTTGAGTGTATTAGCGGCCAGGCTGCTCGACTGCGTTTGCTGATGGCTGCTGGCCGATGAGAAGCTCGCGCCCACCGGCCATTCTGAGGTGCGCAGATTAGGCGGTGCATTCGCACTACTGGCACTCATGCCACCGCTGCCAACTGCACTGCTGCTGCCGCCGCCGCCGCCGATCACCTCGGCCATGGTGGCATTCGAATTCGATGTTGAGACTATGGGATGCGTGCGTCTTGGCAGCCGATCGATTTGGCGCGATGCCTAAAATAACGAAAGCGTTAAATGCAAACATTCACAAGCTTTTTTCTTTCCTGATATACACACAAGATCATAAAAACAACAACAAAACAAATACGCTGCTTACCGTCAACTGTTGCCGATCCATTTGCATTTGCATCTGCAATTGTTGCAACTGCGATGTTGGTGGAACGCCACGTCTGACGCCGGATAGCTGTGAGAGCAGCTCTGCGATGGGATCGACAGATTCGCGACCCGATGGCGACAATGCCGACAGTCCACTCGATGAGCTAAAGTGCATATTGGAGCGACGCGTACGCGGTCCGCCCAAGGTGCGTCCAGGTATGCGACGCACACCACCGCCATGGCGTATGGCCGAGGGCTCGTCGTATTGTCTAAAGGTTAAGGCAACCAAAACAAAATTAAATCCGTCTTAACTTATAATACCTGATATATGCTATTAAGGAATTGCCCTCTTTGCATTTGAATGCTGACGACCTATTGCCAAGTTGTAATTTTGCCAAGATTTTGATGGGGAACAGAAATATATAAAGACTTTTCGAATAAATTATAAATCAAATGAATGGCTGCATATATTATACATTAAAGATCCTTTGGGAAACTATTTACTCGAATCGAATGGAATTTTAGCTTTTTTATCCGATTGTTTTACAAATTTACTAAAACGTGACGAAACGCAAGGTTTTGGGTCGCGTGATATTATCTATAGACTAATATAATTTATCTGTGATAACTAATGTTTTTAACTAAATGCGTTTATGTTTATCTACATTTTTAACTTCTTTAGTCTAATTCCTATTCTTAATACTTCGCTTCATTCAATAAAATTATTTTTGGGGCAATTCGTTTGTTCAATCTTCAACACAAAACACTTTCGGTTCTTTTCCAAATAAAAGCTATTTGGTGAATTATGTTGTTTTGTGAAAAAGGATATCAAAAAGGATATTAACTCTCGCGGTCCTTGCCGATGCTCCAATGTTAGATGACCTGCAAAATCATCTGTGACTAGATTCGGCTCACCGCCTGGCAATCCGGCACAAACGGGACAGACGACCTCCAAACTGGTCTCCGTATGCTCGGCGGAGACATGCTCCAACAGGGTGGCATCGCTGAAGCCCATCTTCTTGCAATAAGGACACGTAAACGATTGCGGCTGATCCGTTGTTAGCATTTCACCGCCAAAATACAATTCAATATCGGAACGGGTAAGTATGCACTGCATGGGATGCTCAACCAGATGGCGAGTGGAGGTGACGCCATCCTCATAGCAATCGGCGCACAGATCATAATCATAACAGATTAAACACTTGTACCGACGTCCAGTGAAGTTACTTTTTAGACATGAATCGCAGCTCACACCTAATGCACATTAAATAGTGTACACAAATCAATATAATATATAATTGACGAATTGTTGAATTGAATTGAATTCAGAGAGAAAGGCAGTGTTACCTTCATGACGACTCATTATTTAGCAGCAGCAGAGCAGCGGTAGTGTCACCACCAGCAGCAGCAGCGGCGGCAGCAGCAGCAGCAGCGACGTCTTCACGTCCACTCGATGGGCGCCGTTTCGTTTTGGGCGCACTCTACCGTTCTGCCAGTGATTTCGATTTGATTTTATTTCAATGAACTTTCGGATGAGCTTTCAGCACTTTTTCGTTTCTTTTCTTTTTCGCACTATGTCTTGTGTTGGAGATTCCTATGTACATATGTGTAGAATGCAAAGGAGCTGCAAGGCGAAATGAACAATAAAAAGGAGCTTGTCAGTCATCGAATGTAAACAGATGACAACAAAGGAAAAACGGCAAATTAAGTAACAAGGCTAACATACATACGATTCTATACACACAAACACACACACATTTATTCACAAACGCAGCCCGCCCTCACAGATGCAACGTTTTTTTTTCTTTCTGATTTTCTTTTCGCCTTTCTTTGCGAAGCTCACAGAAGACGATTACGGTTCTTTCTCTTTGGTGTTACCTTTCGCGTTTGTCGCCCGAAAATGAAATGAATAGAAACAAGCAAAAGGCATAAATTGCACACACTTCCCCCTCTTACGTCTTGCATTAGCACGCACTACCACAAGCTTGAGAGCAATGAAATTTTTCAATACAATAGCGAAATCGGAGGTTGAAGGGTAGTGCACTAAGAAAAACCATAAACCCGTGCACAATAATATTTAAGTATTATATATATACTATATTTTAAACCATGCACAGTAAACATTTATTTTTAACTTTTTCGTTTCGCGAAAATTTTCAACTCATTCGACCCGTCCGTCTTCGTCGTCGTGTGCTTTTGTGTGTCTCTGCGCTGCTCGCCCCCTTCCACCTCCTGCTGTGTTTCGAGGGCTGCCACATTTGCCAAAAACTTGTGCAATGACTAAACTTTAATGTACCAAGTAACAGCGCCTGCTATTAGCAGATAGTATAAACAAATTGTTTATAAACAATTAGCACACCTTTTCGTTTAAACAAAGTGTAATTCCTCCAATATGTACTGACGAATCAGCTTTTCACATTGGCGTTACCATACTAAACCGAATGAGTGGCAACGCTAGATCGAAATGCGTAAGCTTTTCGCAATTGCCCGTCACACCATACAATGCTCGACACATGAATAGAAACCATGCGCTTAAAGCGCATGACCCAACAAGCTGATTGGCAGCTGATAAACACACTTCAGCTATTCAAATGAATTGTAGTGCACATTTCTCCGATATATTGCAATTGTGGCCAGGGAGGCGGGTCTTATTTGATTGTTTGAGCATGTGCACTTTTTGGAGAAACTACCTATCCAGATGTCAAAGAACTGTTATTCTTTTAGTTCTTCTAGTACACTGTAGCTTGTTAAATAACTATGCCATTTACACGGTGACACAGAAATACATGCAAGCGATAGCGCTGATAGGTTTACTTGTTTCGTTTGTTGTGGGAAATTAAATTTAAAATTTATATGACACTATTTTTGAGCTTTTGGCGTTTTCTTAATTCAACGGCGGGTAAATATGGTACATTCATCTTTATACACATGTGCATTTGTGTGTGTTTTCGTGTGCATATATGTATGTATATGTGTAATATATACAATCTACGCAATTGAAAATGATTTCAACTGAAATCTTTGTTCGCCGCAAATTTTCATTGTACTCAAATAAAAATAAGTTGCTTTGTCGCTGTAGACTTTTTTTGTTATTTCTATTGCACTTTGTTTGGCAAATTCGCATTACATACTGACGCATGCAAGTACTTATGCATGTATGTATGTATATATTCTTTTTATACACGTTCCCTTTTTTTTTTCATTGGTTGTTGCGCTAGCACATTTTTAACACTAATTTGATGAAACACGTACATGTAAATTATTGTGCTGCAACATTCACTAATTAATTATTATTTACTATTTAAATTAAACACTAGCACTCAAATTAATATGTAATTGAAACGAAAATAAGTTATATCGAGTTGAAAGCTTTCCCCCGACTGCAGCTGCAGTGCGACCATACGTCGATAAGTAAAAAAAATACTAAATAGACTGCCCACGTTTTCCCAACCCTATTGCATTGAATATACACCGCTTGGTTCTTACATTTATTTAGGTTTTAATTTATAACTGTTCAATCTTCTAGTTTTTCCGGCGGCGGTCCACACGGCTGCAGCATGCGTTCCATTAAATTAAACCGCACACGCGCCTTGGATTCGTTTTCGGCGATGGCAAAATAATTCAGCATATCGTAGTGTCCCATATAACTGGCCAATGAGTCGCGGTGTTGATTGGTCAACCACTCAAATTTCGTGGTATCCGCATGTCCTGTGCCAATGTATTTGCTCTGCAGATGCTCCAATTGACTGTGTATGTTATAACGTTCGCCCATTTTGTGAAAAATATTAATTTTTCGTTGCAGGCTAAATGTTGCGTTTGTTTTTAGTGATGTTTGGTGCAGTACTGAACTAGTTCTGTGAAAGTGAACTCATGAATGAACCGACTGTTAATGCCGTGCTGGCCACTGTTAACTCACTGTAAACATACAAAATGTGCGGCCGAACTTGTTTGTAAGTAATTCGTTTTGATTTAAATGCTAGCGTCAATAATTGTATTCATATGTTTATTATATAGAACGCTTGATCCCGACCAGGTGCTGTGTGCGTGCAAATACCCAAAGAGCAATAAGGTCAAAGACGAAGAGGACATCAAGCCGGAATATGAAAAGCCCGAATGGCGCGCAGAGTTCAATTTAGGACGGCGTTATCAAGCCTCCTATAACATAGCCCCCACAGACATAACACCCGTTATGTAGGTTGATCTTAAGTTGCAATTATAGTAACTGGGACTTAGATTCTTTTGTACACCCCTTTAGTGTCTCTGCAGCGCACTTCAGTGAGGCTGAGGATCAGCAATGTGCGCGCACTGTTATGCCCATGATGTGGGGCATGATTCCTGCATGGCACAAGGGCGACTATCGCAAACATGGTCTCACCACGAACAACTGCCGACTGGAGCATTTGATGGATTCCAAACTGTATCGTGGACCCTTCAAGCGCGGCCAACGGTGTGTGGTCGTATGCGAAGGCTTCTACGAATGGCAAACCACAAAGCAAGCCAAGGCATCTGAGCGTGAGGCCTATTTGGTCTACGTGCCACAGGAGTCGGAGGTTAAGATCTATGACAAAAGCACCTGGTCGCCGGCGAATGTGAAACTGCTCCGAATGGCTGGCCTGTTCGATGTATGGCAGGATGAGAGCGGCGACAAGATGTACAGCTACAGCATCATTACCTTCGAGTCCAGCCAAATTATGTCCTGGATGCACTATCGCATGCCAGCGATACTTGAAACGGAACAACAAATGAATGTGTGTGAATAGACATTTTATTGGAAAAAATGTTAATATATTAATTTATAGGATTGGCTGGACTTCAAGCATGTGAGCGACGCTCAAGCTTTGGCTGCACTGCGTCCGGCTACGGCCCTGCAGTGGCATCGTGTTACCAAGTTGGTCAACAATTCCCGCAACAAAAGTGAAGAATGCAATAAACCATTTCAATTGGCAGCCAAGCCTGAAAAGCCGAAGGGCATGTTGGCCTGGCTAACTGGAAACAAGACACGACAGCAGCAAAACAAATCCAAGTCCGGCGAGGACGAGCAACTGCAGGTAGCGGCAACTAAGGAAGCCCCAAAACGAAACCCAACCTCACCTCATGCTCTGCAAAGCTCTGCCAAGCGACCGCGCTGTGAGTTAATCAATGCAGAGCAACAGGAGAGCACTGATGTACAGGTTAAATCGGAGGCCACTGTAAAATTAACAGTTATATAGATATTTACAAAAAAGCTTCTAAGCTCTTCTCTTAATGAATATTTAAAGCTTTGTATAGTATTTAGAATTTATTTGCATTAAAAACCAAAAGATTTGTTTCCATTACCCAATTCTATAAGTATGTATATAACTTTGTTGTTTTTATACCCTGAATCCATTAAAAACGGGTAAAACGGGTATAATGTATTAAATGTATGTAACAGGTAGAAGGAAGCTTTTTTGACCCCAAAAAATATATATTTATTCTTGATCATATCTAGCCATGTCCATCTGTCCGTCTGTCCGCCCGTCCGCATGTTTGAACCCAAGGATCTCAGAACCTATATGAGCTAGAGACTTGAAATTCTATATGTAGGTCCTCCCGTGCCCGCGCACCGATGTTCGATCATTTATCACGTTTCCAAGCAATCGATCAAATCGATATCGAATTTTTTTTTTTTTTTTTTTTGGTAAATAACAAGAGCTAGAGTCTCCAAACTTCACATGTGCATAGCTTCTAGAATAGTATACATATATATATACACTAGCGGGTATAGCCCGGCCTTGCCCGTGGCACGTATAAAATAAGTGTTCTCAAAAAGCTTTGAAAATGATTTTGAAACTGATCGAACAGTAAACAAGAAACTTTCAAGCAACCGTTTTCCGCCAATATACCACTGTTGTGGGTGGAATTTCCTAAATCGCTGAAACATGCATTCATTAAGTTCTTATGTAGATCCTTGAAAATAAGTTTGAAGCTGACACCACTTAAAACTGCACCCAAAAACTCTTTGAATCGCATTTCTACCGAAGGAGATTAGATTTTGCGAAAAATGTGAAACACGTTTCAAATGCTTCTTCATATAGATTTGGGGGCGAAACGTCATTATTATGTCTCGAGTAGTGCGAATCGTGAACCTAAACAATATATGTTTAGTAACAATAATGTCATATTTTCCGATTACTGAACATTACACTCACCTATACAATTGCGCTGGCCTCAATTTTGTTCTTGTTTTCATCGCTAAAACGATCTGGATCAAACTTGGTCGCATTTTCGAAGCACTTGGGATCGAGATGGAAGCCACCGGTGGGCAGCCAAATGGCGTCGCCTTTCTTGATCTCAATGTTTTTGCCATCGACTCACATAGGCCACTTGCGCAGCACCTCCGACTCCACCTGGTCCAGTTGGCCAGTTGGCCGCCGTCTAGATCGCTGTCGAGCTGTGCCACCTCCTTGAAGCACATGAACGACGCCGATGTCGCAAATCCGGCAAGGAAAAATTCAAAGCATTGTGCAACTATGTCACGATCGCTCCAATCGCGAACTGTGCCCGATTTTGGCCTATCCGTGTGAAACATGCCGCGCGCCTCCATCAGCATGTTGATCATGTCGGAGCGCACAATGTTGTGCTCCTGACGATACTTCATGGCATCCAGCACCAGGCGCACAAAATAATCCACGCTTTTCCTGTCAAACAGCGGTATTTTTAGTAGCTGCAAGGAGTTGGAAAATGTATACAAGTACATGGGTTATGTATTCTGGTTCGGATAGTCAATCAGTAGTTAATGGCCATATTACCTTAAAGAATCGTTTGACGGTAGTAAAAAATAAAAATAGTTAGTTCTGCAGCGCATTAAAGCTGGTCATCCTCTTGCCCATAATGTAGAATGTGTTGTCCCGATCTCTGAAAGAGTTCACCTGCAATCCAAATGCCGTTGAGGCATTGACATCGTTGGTGAATCGCGAGCATTTCGTGTCCAGCTCAATTCCGTTTTCTGGCACATGATCTGGTTTCAGGCAGTCTACTGCCTCTTTGGGTTCGATGTCCATCAGCTGGAACATCTGACGCATTTTGCTGCCCGCAAAGGCAGGACTCAGCGTGCTGCGCAGGTCCTTTCAACGAGTATCGCGCCTTAAGAGAAAGGAACTACTGAAGAGATTGTTCATGCCATGCGGATTGTCTTCATCAGTGCCAAAGAAATTTCGATGGTTGATAAAGGTTGATAACGTCACAACAGTTTAGGCATGTTTCCTACGAAGGGATACGGTTTATCATAGTCAATTCCTCGCTCCTTGAAGAAATTATAGTTGGCTGTGGCCCAGCGATAGGCCAGCAGCAATGCGACGGAAGAAATCGCAAATAGCATATTGAATATGCTGGCCGGCTAGCCAACCCGTACTGCAAACATCAAATTCAAACTAATCGAGCCAGTGCTTCGCTTCTATGAACGGAAGCTTTTGTTCTGAGCTTTAGCTTTAGCTTGTCGCCATTGAGTAATAAATATGCAGAGGAGGCTTTTGGATCAACAGTTATTTTTCAAAATACATACATATGTACATATGTGTCAAGAGAGAGCAACAGAGCAACAGGAGAGCTCTGATGTACAGGTTAAATCGGAAGCCACTGTAAAATTAACAGTTATATAGGTATTTAAAAAAGACTTCTAAGCTCAGCTTAAAATTTAAAGCTTTGTATAGTATTTAAAATTTATTTGAATTAAAAACCAAAAGATTTGTTCTCATTACCCAATTCTATGATATAAGTATGTATATAGCGTTGTTGTTTTTTTGTTGCTTAATTACAAAGGCTTAGCATATAAAAATTGATTTAAATTTCATTCTCTTATTTTGTATACCATACGCTTTATTTGCTAATTTGTATGTTTAAAACTATGAATGTTTTATGTAAATAATATTTATATAATGCGCTGTCAACGTTATTTGAGCCGCGTGTGTTGGCAAACCCGTTAAAAGTAGAGCTTGCAATTTTCACAAATTTGACAAAAAAGAAAATTAAGCAATAACTGTTTTCAGTATTTGCACTTGAACTGTTTTTTCCGCATGCAAAAACAAATAAAAGCAAAAACTGAGCAACAACAAAAATTGGTGTCAATGTTGCAGTGCCGGGAGCAAATTGTAGTGGGCGGGTGAGAGAAAGAGCGCAACCCATGATTTCTACAAATGAGTGAGTGTGGGTGTGTGTGTGCAAGTGCTTACAAGTAGAATTGTTGTTTATTAGTCTAGGAATTACACATGTAATTATTTTATTATGTATACATATATAAAAGTTGTATTCTTTTGTTCGTTAATGAACTTTGCAATTTGCATGAGTGATTGCTTTACAGCTATTTCAAATACTTTGCACTGCTTGGCAGAGACACCGACACAGCATACATATGTATGTGTTGTCTCCGCCTGTGTGAGTGTGCGGATTGGCGGCTTTTCGTGTGGAAGCGAGCAATGATATCGATATCGAGAGCGTGTACGGTACGTGACTACCGTTATGTGCCTAAGTGCCTATTTACGAGTCTACAATTTATTTTGCATTATATCTGACTTGACGTATACATATACCATATGGCATATATGTATGTATGGTGGCTAAAATATTTCAACAATTTTTTAGCATGATTCTTTTTATCTTTTGTAGATTGCACTTGAAAAATAAGTAAAACTGAGTTTTGCACAGAGTGAAGATGAGCGCGTGTCATAAGCAAATTTTGGAAATAAGTACTTCCAATAGATTAATAGAACATTTTGTCTGGAAGTTTATGAGAAATAATGTTAATGGCGATGACAGCATATTTTCAAAAGTGATTTTTTCTAGCAACTCGAGTTTCATAATATGCCTTTTATAAGAGCCTAATATTGGATTTTGAGATGTCTGCAATTTATAGAATTATAAACAGATAAAATACTATCTGTAAGCTGTACAATTTAATTAAAGATGCACTATATTTACAGAACACCAAAGAAACTGTTGCTTGCAATATTCATGTCGTGCTTAGCTAGCTGACACGCGCTCATCCCTAACCGAGTTAAAAGTGGACGTGTGTGTGTGTGTGCGAGAGAGAGAGAGAGAGAGAGAGAGAGAGAGAGAGAGAGAGAGAAGGGAATTGCATTTACTCGAATTGTGTACTAAACATATTAATATTCAGATCCTCGAATGTGGTCGTGTTGGTGTGATCGAGCATTTGCAGCATATCTGAGAACTCCTGACCTTGCGGCTGCTGTGCGCCCGGAACGACTGCAGCGCCTGGATGTGCATGCGCATGCGGATGATGGGCATGCGGATGCGGATGTGGATGCGGATGTGCCGGGTGTGTGGCCGCATTTTGCCAATCCCAAGGCGTTGCCGCGGGCCCCGCCTGATATGCAGCCGCCTGTTGCTGCTGTTGCTGACGTTGTTGTTGTTGCTGCTGTTGTTGTTGTTGTTGCTGTTGCTGCTGGCCATTGCCAGCGCTGAGCTGCGTGTAGGTGGGGCCGCTGGGCGAGCGCGCCGGGCTGCTCTGCTGATACGCTGGATAAGCCTCAGTGGAAGTTGGCTGTGGCTGCTGCCCGGGCATACCTCGCGCGCCCCAGGCATTGGGAGTGGGCGAGGTGCCCGACTTGGGCAGCTTGGCCAGCGGAGAGGGTCCGCCGCCCGCTGCGGCGCCATAGGGCGAGTGCGTGGCGTCATAGCTATAGGCGACAGGTGTATTCTGCGCCGAGGCAGGACGTGGCGGCGGCGCCTGCATGTGCATCTGGTAGATGCCACCATCGCCGCCAGTGGGTGTAATCTCACGTCGCGGCGGCTGCAACGTATAATCGACGCCCGGCGCCTGCACATAAACATGTTGTTGCTCTGCCTGCTGCTGCTGCTGCTGTTGTTGCTGCTGCTGCTCGGGCGTGGCGCCATGCAGCGTCTTGCCGGAGCTGTTCGTGCACACAATGTACTCCACCTCATCCGTGTAGGGATTGAGGAAGGCATAGGCCTGCGTGCGCAGCCATACGAACTCGGAGCTCTTGGCGCGGGCGCGATAGAGCAGAGAGAACATTTGTCCCTTCTGCTTGAGCACCTGATCGAAGCTCTCCTTCATGTGGCTCTGGTCCTCGGGATGAAAGAAATCATAGCATATCTTGCCCAGCAGCTCGGTGGGCGTATAGCCCAGAATGTGCAGTACACGCTGATCCACAAACGTGAATTTGCCATCCAAGGCGTGGCGTGTGATGAACTCGCTCTGATTATTGCTGCCGGTCATGTCGTTGGCAGCCGTTGAGGTGACCTGCAGCCGGCCAATGGCTACCAGGCAGCAGTGGGAGGCCATGTCATCCACATCGCGTTCCATGTGCACATTGGGAAACATGTCCGTGGGCGGCCAGTTCTTTATGTAGCCGGTGCAATGGACCACAGCATAATTGGAGCCATCCCGGGAGGGGCCCAAGGAATTGCGCTGCTTCAGGCGATTCAAATGGCCAGAGACCATGGCGTCCGGATTGACATTGCCCACGCGCATGCGACAAATGAAACCACGGCGCGCGCCCATGCTCAGGCGCATGCTCGACTGATGACCCTCCTTTTTGACTGTGCCCGACTTCAGGTCGAGGATGCGGCCCGCATTCTGTGACTCCTGCGTGGAGAGCTGTTCGCGTATCTTGTCCCTATCATCCGGATGGATGTGCTCATACAAGCTAGTGCCATACCAATCGCTTTGCGTATAGTTGAGCACCGGAGTCACCGAGTCGGACACATAGATCACACGGCCCGAATCACAAGAGACGACGAATAGAAAGCCATCGGCTGCCTCCAGGATTAAATGCTTCAGTTCCTGGTCTGTGAGAAAGGAGGGCTTGTAGGTGCCATCGCTGCTCGTATTGCCTGTGCCACGCAGCGCCTTCATGTGGGCCACGGCCATGCGCAGGATGGTCAGCTTGTCGGGCTTGCGTGCCAGGGCGCTGCAGGTGGGCACCATGTCCGAGAGTTCCGTTATGTAGGCGGTCATTTTGTTGCGACGGCGTCGTTCGATTTCACAATGATTCTCGCGGCTAGCGAAGCGCTCCTTGTCCTGTATGTTGGCATCGTCCATGATCCGAATACTTAATTAGCCCACTCTTTCACTCGCTGTATATTTATTTGTGTGTGTGTGTGTGTGTGTGTTTGTGTATTTATGAGTACTTCTCTTAGTTTTGCTTTGCTCTGCTGTTCGCTTTCTTTATGTGGGTCGCTTTGCCGCGACGGCCCAGCGCACGGTTCTGAAAAGTGATTCGTGTGTTGAGGGAGGGTTTAGTATTTTGTCTACGTTTGCCACTGTATGTGGGCATGTGTGTATGCAAGTGTATGTATGGCCAGTTTTTGTAACAACACACAACAAATTTAGCCAACAGTTTTTACATTGTTAATTTTACACTATTAAAACATGTCTGAAGTTCAACACATTTTAGCGCCGTTAATGAGAGTTTTTAACTATTTTATGGTAAATTACCAAATTTTCTTCCACGAATTGCACACACACGATAAAATCTGAAACTGTTTACTGTATACAGTGTGACCGTGCCAGACATTAAATACCAAAATCTTCCAGACTTATCGAGGCAAAAATGCAGCTCTGTGGCGTTGCCAGATAGTTTAATGGTGATATCGATGATTTTCGACTTGCAGATAATACCACCAAATATCGATGCACTCAAAACGCGACGTTAATTTAAAAATACTATAGCAGCAAGTAATGGTCTATTATTTATTAAAACTGCTCATGAATTTAAATGTTCTTGATAAGTATTTAATGGTATTACAGCATTGCATTGTCTTACATATATCATATATAGTTTCATAAATTCATTTACATTTATTCATAACTAGGCATTGTACCATTTCATTTCGATTTCGAAATAGTACTTGTTTTTAAAAAAATTAAAATTAATTATCAGTAGTGGCAATAACATATGTTTTATCCGCTCTAAGACTCAATTGTCAATTTCAATTCTTATAACAAAATAGTTAAGTAGCTTGCGCTACATTTAGCATACTCCTTTGTTTTTGCATCAATAAGTTGTTTTTTAATACAATCTTAGGTAAAGTATATATTTGTTCTGGTTGTTTGTTTGTCTGTTTTTCATTTTGTTTGCTTGAGTTAATTAATTATTGGCAATACTCTAACTGCATGTTTTCATTATCCTTAAAATGGGTTTAGTTCATTTCCATTTTATTTCAATATTTGTTTCAAGCGAAGTCTTTTGTTCTATGTAGTTTTTTTTTTGTTTTTGTTTTTGATTTTTGTTTGTTTATAACTGTGCACTACTTAATTGTAGGTTTCATAAAATGCGTCTCTTTAAAGTTGCATAGCGTGCAGTGTTTATTTTTATAATTTTCTTTCGAATGAAATCGTCTTTTATAGTAAACTTCAGCATAATTCGTTGACTAGAAATTAACTTAAGTACTTAGGATTAAACTTAAATATGATATTTTCGTCTATTTTGGTGCAAAATTAATTGGCTGAACAACATTTTTCTTAACATTTCGTGCTTAAAATAGTCTTTTTTTGTTTTTCTTTTGGTGTCTTGTTTTTTTTTTTTTTTTTTAAGCTTATTAGCGTATGCATTTTCATTTAAACATTTTAAGTTGACGGCAGAGTTTTGGTTCTTCTATATATACTTTGTTTGTTTTTCAACTTCTTAATTGTGCATTTTATATAGTTGCTGCAAGCTTAAACAAAATTTTTCATACAGACCCTAACAATTTTATGCTACAATCCAAACATTTAGCACCAAAATGATTTAAAAATACGCCAAATAAACAAATACAATATATTAAGTTGATTTTGTGTTTCAATTCTTTTGCACAGGTTTTTAAACATTTTGTCATTATAGAAAAACTACGTAAATTTGCAACAACTTTTTGTCAACTTTACGAAATTAAGAGCTATACAAAAATACTTTGGTTTTTTATATATTTATATAACATGCTAATACATCGCAATTGAATTCTTAAAAAAAAATTAAATATATATATTTAAATCAATTGAATTAAATTGAACAAATCTTTTGGCTTGTCGCCGCAGCACTTAGCATTAAAATCACAAAAAATTAAATATTTATACTAAGCATACGAGTAGAGCTAAGGTTAAGCATAAATAAAGTCAGTGTTCCTTTTTTTTTCTACAACTAGTTTTCTTTTTTGAAGTTTGTCTTTCTTTCAGTTATCTGTAAAAATATCAGTTAATTTTCAGGTTCTATATTTCTTGTTGCTTTTTTTTAATTTTTCTTTGCTATCAAAACTAGTTGCTAATACTAGTTGCTTTAAAAAATTCATTGACGAATTTGTGTTGACATATTTTTTGTTTTTTTTTTGCGCTTGTTACAAATCTCTTGCTAAACATTAAATTTATACTTCTTGCTTAATTCGATTGCGAGTTCAAAGTTAGGAAATTGCTGCGTCTTTCGAAGAAAATGCGCTAAGTGTGTGTGTGTGTGTGTGTGTGTGTGTGCTAATAGACGACGGTTTTCTTTGCGTATGTGTGTACTTTGTTTTTTGGATAACTGCTTTGGCCTCCTACGTGGTGTAGGTGCGTATTACATCGCGTATGACTGCTCGGCAGAGCGGACACTGACCGCCGCCAACGCCGCGCCACTGCTCGATGGCGCAATCGTAGCACATGCACATATGCCCGCACATGTAGAGCACCGAATCAATGGGATTCTCATAGCAGATGGTGCACTCGGCGCTGGAATCGGTGCTCTGCTGGTCGCTGAGACTGTCCTTCCATTTGGTGCCGTTCAGTGTGCTGGTGCTTTGGGCAACCGGCTGCATGGGTATCAAAGAAAAGGGAATAGATTAATATTGTATTTGGATACGAGTATTTGAAATTATTTCATCACATTGATTCAATTAGGAATTCGATTTTATTTCACAAGCGCAGCCAACTTAACAACACGACACATATGTGTGGTGCTGCCAGATAGTTGGAGCTTGAAGTATGTCCATTCAAAATAAAAATGAGAAAACTGTAGATTTGGTAGGAATAATAAAATAAGGAAATAAACTTAAAATTTCTCAAGCACAAGCAATATGTTAGCCATGTCAGCCCATTAAATGGCTAACATATATATTAAATTAAACTCTCGCATAGAGATGGCGCAGACAACTTAACAACAGGCTTGCAATTTGTTCGTGCTGCCAGACAGTTAAAGTGACAAGTAGGAGCTTTTTGGAACTCGCCTAAGAAATGTCAGCTATATTGATGGACATTATTCAAAATGAATCTCTTCTATGAATCGCTTTGCTGATAATTGTTATTCATTCAACTCACCTCAATATATTGCTGACTGCTGGTGGTGCTAATCAAAGTGCCGCTGGAGCAGGCGCCGGCCAAAATGCCGCTGCTGGTCACGGTGGCCGCGGCGCTTGCCGCCTGCCGCCCGGCCAGCTGTCCGTTGAGATCATGCGAGCTGCTGGCTGGCGGCAGATTAACGACGAGCACTGTGCCGCCACCATTTGGCTGTATCTGCAGGATGTCCCCGTTGGAGGGCATGCTGATCATGCGGCTGCCATTGCCGGCGTTGGAGGCCAACGTGCTGCTCGACTGGGTAACGTTGAGTTGCATTTTGGATGCGGCCAGCATCTGGCCGGCATTCAGGCTGTTCAGCGACTCGGCCATGGGCAGCATGCGTGAGCTGGCGGCAGTTGTCGAAGCAGCTGCAGCTGCAGCAGCGGCGTTTATCTGCGGCTGGGATGGGTAGGCCACCATGTTGGGCAGCTGCTGGCGGAACATGCGCAGCGATTGGGTCGAGCCGTAGACATCCAAGAATGCCCACAGCTGGAGCGATTGATCCACATGCATGACGACGACGGCTGGGCCATTGTTCTTGCTGATGCTCACCTCGCCGTTGGGCGCCACAAAGAAAGCGATCTCATCGCCGCGCTGCGGCGCCGCAGCAATGTCCTTGCTAACGACCCAATATTCGGGACGATCGAGCAGGAAATCCGAATCGTTGGGCAAGTCATTTGGCTGCAGCAAGGCCGGATTGCACGAGGTCAGCCCCAGGGCCAGGGCGCCCACATACATCTGCTCCGTCTTGAGCACCTGGACAATCAGCTTCTCGCCAATGCGTATCGGCCGCGCCGTGAACACATAGCCCTGGCAGAAGTCCGACTCGGTGCGTGAGGCGACAAAGCGATCGTGCGACAGCCGCACATTGCGTCCCTTCGTGATGTGAAAGGGCACGGGTATCAGCCGTCCATTGGCATTGTAGCGCAACGGCGGCAAGCCGTTCGCCAGATCGTGCTCAATAATACCGGCAGCCGTGCCGGCCAAATGGAGCGACTGCAGCGACGGCATCACATGACGCTCCAGCTCGTGATCCACAACGACTCCGGTGCCGCCGGGCAGCGAACGACGCGATTGCTGCAGAGGATGATGCGCCGCGAGCTGTTGCTGGGGCTGCTGCTGCTGTTGCGGGGGCAACTGTTGCTGGGGCAACTGTTGCTGCTGCAGTTGTTGCTGCTGCTGCTGCTGCTGTTGGTACATGTAAATGCGTGCATCGAGAAACTCAATGCCCGTGCAGTTGCCATAAATGTCAATCACAGTCCAGAGCAGGCCGCGCGTATCAATCCCAGATAGTATGACGCCCTTCTCCTCGTTGTTGATGCCATAGATGACATCGCCGGCATTGTTCACATAATAGTACAAAATGTTATCCTTCTCGCAGTATTGCTCGTGCAGTGCCTTGGCCCAGAAGCCCGGGCGATTGGTCAGATCGGGGCAGGCATATTTAGGCAGGGCGCCCTCCAGCGAGGCCGGGTCGTTGCTGGTGAAACCGAAGCGTATGCCGCCGTTCCAGTTGTTCGAGATCTCGGCAAACTTGACGCAAATCCGTTCATTGATACGCACCGGACGTGCCGAGAACGTAATCGCACGGCAGAAGCTCTCGAAGCGACGCGCCAGCGTTCCATCCCTGGAGATGCGTATATTGTCGCCGTGCACCGTATGGAATTGCAGGGGCGGCAAATTGTTGGGGCCCGGGCAGGAGGAGGGAGAACGGCGAACTGCAAAAGAGAGAGAGAGAGAGAGAGAGAGAGAATTGCATATGAGTAAAAGAGAATCACATAGTTGACAAAGAGCGCGGCAAATTGCAAAGCTTAAAGCTTGTTAAAGCACATTTAACAGACGCTTTTAGCTTTAAAGCTTTTGAGTGAGTTTTAAAGCTTGCGGCTTATTTTAATTGTTTTCAATACAATTCTTGTAGTTAACGTAGGTTACTTAAGCTTTAAGCTAAAGTGAGCTTAAACTATATTCAGTATATCGCTTAAAGCTCTATTTCAGCTTAAAGCTGTCTATTGCCAATTTCAGTGTGAGTAAACGATTTAAAGCGCTTGGAGTTAAATTTAACACTGTCATAGCTTTCCATCTCTTTCTCAGCTAAGAGCTGTACCCAACACTTGAGGATTTCGTCACATATACTCCACATACCTTTCTATGGAACTCTATGCACATTACACTTGAACTCTTCCGAGAACTTCGTATAGCAACAGCTGCTACACATTGTCGCAGGAATATCGAAAGTTGATCGAAATGAAATTTTAAAAGAATTGTCAATTTACGAGTTGAAAAGAAAAGAGTTCAATAATCTGCCCAGCTCATCAAAGTCACGTGCTGCGCCATCTAACTTTTAAGGGTACTTGCCGAAGGGGTTAATGCCTCTTGCCAGGGGCTACTGTTAAGAGTTTGTAATATGAGAACTAGCACATGGCTTAGGAATCCGTACGCTTCGTTGGATTTCTCCAGAGTGTGTGTGTGTGTGTGTGTGCGCAGTCAAATATAAAGTCTACCTGCGTGAAAAACTATTTCCTTTGACTGAATGTAACTCGAGACGGTGCTGCCTATTTGCTATAAAATGTAGCTGGTGATTGTAACTGATGGTAAGGTTTGGCAACAAGAGTTGCCAGATCGCATTTAAATGTTTGCTCAAATAAATAAAAGACTAGGAATAACAATTTAACATTGCGTAATTCAAAACTTAGACGTTTCTTTTGTTGTGCGTTGCTGTAAATTGTAAGCAATAATCTTAGAATTAAAAGATCTTGGTAAGAAATATTACATGGTTTGCTAGGAAGATGCCAGATCGTACAAATGCTCATTTTAAATAGGTTAGCTTGAGGATAAATCTTTGATATCTCAAGTCGAATCGATATCTTGCAAATAACCGATGCTCGCCAGATATAATTAAATGTTTATTCGAATAACTTTTCGTCTGATCATTACAATTATTGCACCTTGCGAGCCCTTGAGAGTAACAGCAGCTGCCTGACTATTACCACACGCAAGACAAAAATTAAGCTCCAGTAAACTGCGATATTAATAATGATCAAGGTATCGGGGCATTGGCGACAGGTTTTCGGCATTGGGGCATGGCATATGGAATGCGGCGGCATGCCAGGCAACAGTTGCAAAATATGCCCGAAGAAAATGGGCCGACAGACAGATCAAACAGGCACTGCGACAGCAGGACGACGTGGCCGGGACGTCAGACGGCGGGCCGATTACCATGTTGATATGCGGCGCGTGGCAGCGTCTCAGGAATGGGTCACACACACACACACAGGCAGGCACACACACACACACACACACACACACACACACACACAGTCACAACAGGCGGTGGCAGCGTCTTGAAGGATCCTTTTGTGCATTATTTGATCAGGCGGCATGTGGCAGCTGCCCGTGCGCCAAGGCGTTGCCTTTGCGAGGCAGCTGCAGCGAGACAGGTAAAACAACCCTGTATGCGGCTAAGGGTAGCAAGGCGATCAACAGGGGTTGCTGGCGACGAACAAATGCAAAAGGGAGAGATAGAGAGAAAAAAACGACAGATGTTCAAATTACGAAAAGCGCTTAAAAGAAAAAATTTGAAACTAAGCTAGAGACAAGGCAAAGTATCTCCATCGAGGGTTGAAATTCAATGCGTTCGTTGCCCCGACCATGATATAGGGGTGCAAAGAGAGAGAGAGGGGGGGGGGGGGGGGGGAGAGGGAACTGCATGTGAGCAGAAAAATCTGTGTGGCTGCAATTCAAGTAGAACGCGGCAGAAAGCAGAAAGCAGAACTCATACTCATATGCTAAGCGCGCTTCCGGCACAGCCCGGAAGTCTGGGCCAAAGGAAGCAGCAGCAGCCCGACTTCCGCTTGGCCGAGAGCAGCAGCAGACCAGTTAAAACAATACCAAAGATCTGCAGCTAGGCCGACCGAGTACATTGGCGCAGAATGCATTGCATCAATATTTATGATATTGGCCGCAACGAGGAAGTCGGAAATCACGTTTGGGCCGGCTCCACTTTTGCTGCTGCTGCTTCTTTGTTGTCGTCTACGTGTATTGGGGCTTATTAGCTGCAGGATGTCGCCTGGCGGCAACGGCGACGCCTACTTTTTGCCACAGACCTCAATAGTCCAGACGTTGTCGACACGAATGAATGAAATACTCGTAATATCATGTTTTCTTCTTTTTATTCTTTGCGATCCAACGCTTAAATCAAACGGTTAACGCGCTACGCGACGATCATATCAATTAGCTGGCAACTTTGGCCGCAACATGGTCAATTAATTAGCTGGGCCCGCAGCTAGGCGCTCAATTGGAAAATGCGACTGGGATCACGATGAGCACCGCCGGATGGATAATGATTGCACTGAACATCATTAATGATCGTGGGTACAAGGATTAAAGAGTTTAGAGATCATCAATGTGTAGATCGGTAGTAGAAGGAGGGAGGGAGGGAGGGAGAGAGTAAATGATCTACAGAAAAGATCACAGAATTTCATCTCAGTTATATATAATGGTCTATAGATCAGTTCTACAAAGATTCGATTTTAAGGCAATTTCCTTTATTCATTAGATCAACATGTGTTAATGATCAGCTGAAAAGATCATAGTATAGATATCTACAAATATGAGGAAGTGAAAATTTGTTGATCAGCAGTCAAAAAAAGCGATCATTTATATTTAGATCGCGGCTAAACATATATTAATTATCTACTGATCAGTTGAAGTAGAGTAGAACAAAGTCAAATAGAACAACTGAAGTAGAAATACCTGATGACCTTAGATCTGTGTAGCACTGTCTTTGCCCCTTTTACAAGCGGCGATCAAATAAATATAGATCTCTGTAGCAAATGTCAAATGACAAATAAACTCAAACTGATCGTAAGCAAAATGGATTGGAAAATCACGATGGGGATCTGTAAAATGGAATTCTTTTAGAATATATCATGCTTCCATGATTAATTGATTGTTGATCAAATGAAGCGATCATATTGTGCTTCTATATCTCTAATAGTTGCGATCGTATATTTATCGATCGCTAATGAGAAAACTTGATCTCTGTAGAGAGCAGCTGAGTGGAGTAGATCTCAGTGATACAGCGATCTGCGATGTGTATATCTGTGGAGACTAGATATCAGTGCAATTTGAATATTTATTTTCATTGCAATTAGCTTGTTACTCTCAGGATCAGCTATACGCAAATTGGCCAATCTGAGGCACACATTACAATCATTCAGGGACTGCGCAAGTTCAGCTTTTTTTTTTTTTTTTTTTTTTTTTTTTTTTTGGAGTTTTGCCGACAATCGACATTCGACATCATCAAATTGGCAAACGTGTCCGAGCTGAGCCGAGCTGGAAACGAAGCGAACGATCTGCCAAACGATCGCAGGCAAATTTTCGTACATTTTTTGTTTTTGTTTTTGGCCAAAGGAAAAACCTGATTTACCGTTGAGTGCAGACGCGTCTCAAACATTTCCCACGCTGGCCGTGAGCAAAAAATAAAAAAATTCCCACGACTCCAAATTTGTATATATAGGAGAATATATATATATATATACATTTATATATATATATTGTGGATGCTTGACTATTTTCGGCTGAAAAACCTGTAACAAGCTACAATAATTGCAACTGCAGCGATGAGTAAACTCTTAAAGGGGCAGCCGCAGCTGCCTTTGCAGCTAGCGGGTGGAAAACTGAAAACCGAAAGAAAAAAACAAAATAACAAAAATGTGAAAATCATGCAGGTGTCATAAAAATGGCTGAGGTAGCACTCAAATTGCCCAGTTGGGCCATTGTTAGCCGCTTCATGTAACAGATCAACGATGAAGATCACAAAGCACAAAACAGCGACGGGCTGTAAATTGATCGTTAGAAATCATTTGGAGCCGACTGATCATTAGTTTGAAACTTGAAGAGCTTCGAATCGCATTGCAAGATATTTACAAGCTTTAAGTGTACCAATTTTTGAGGATTGATTATCTTTAAAATGAGCTTGGGCCAAGGCAAATATTAAATAAAGTCATGTGATTTTGAAGCGTGGCTAAAAAGTCTTGTAAACAATAGCTTAAGGATAAGCCATGCCAAGCTTTAAGCTAAAAGTCTTTGAAGCGTAAGAAGAAGGAGAGGAGCTTTAAGCGTTTATGCTGAAATATGGAAGAAATCAAATAATTAAGAAAAGCCTTTCGTTAATGCCTTCAATCAGTAGATAATCAAAATATAAGTTGGAAACGGTTTCTAACTAATTTTTAGATAGTTATTAAGCTTTAATAGGGCTCGGAATGAGTTGAAGAATTTTGAAAGCAATTCATATAAAGCTTTTCATATCAACAGCATGAATGACGCCTTGAAGCAAATAACTATTCAAGTGGTTTCTTTATCAACAATTTCTTTTTTATTATTACACATACATTTTTTTATTGTATGTTGACTTGTAGCCCCTCATAAATGGCGTCATATTGTGTGCAATTAATTAACATAAATTAACGCTGATTTGTTGCGTACACAAGAATTTCGCATAGAGTTCATGGTGCAGGTTTTATGGGTGTGAGAATTGCCTGACAAGTGGCAACACTGGCCAGACAAGTCTGCCCACAAATTGAGTTATGCGCTGCCCACGCAATCGGCATTTTTTTCTAACTAATTTTCCCTGTGATCGTATATATGTGTGCTGGTATGTGTGGGCTTGGGCGTCTTAAATGAGAGTTAATATGTAGGCTTTTAGTTGGACAAGCCT